AAAAAAAGAGATTGGTTATGATAAATACAAGCCGATACAGGGAGTAGTTATTTTCATACAATCAATTTGTAAATACATTTACTAAGAGGGAATCTAATATTTTTCATAATTCTACTAAATAATTAAAGTATATATTTTCAATTCTATCATAATCTCCTTTTATTCAAACTCTTGATTCTATATTCAGTTTTATGCTCATTTGGCTTCGAATTATTGGATTTAAGGGCTATTGGTTTCTATTTTATTTTATGGTTTTTTTATCTTGATTACCTGTTTATGATGTTATTTGTTTGTCCTAACTCTGAAACAATCCCAAGATCTCTGAAAATTCAAACCAAAATTGATATTATATTACTAGGTATATGCTTTGAGATTCTCGGGAGGCAGAATCTTTTTTGTATTTTAAATCTGGAAAGTAGAAAGCAATCTAAGCTTTCGATTTCGGTCAACAAGATATTGAGATCATTTCAAATTAAATGAAATAGGTTATAAAATAAATATCATTTAAGGATTGTCATATAATATATTTATTTATTATAATTTTTAAAATGAGTGAAGAGATTGAACCCTACATATCTAAGAAATTTGAGATCATCCAGAAATTAGGTAAAGGAGCATATGGTATTGTGTGGAAAGCCATTGATAAGAAGTTGAAACAAGTATCTTTGCTAATGAAATTTCAAATAGGTGGTTGCCTTGAAGAAGGTTTTTGATGCATTTCATAATGCCACTGATGCTTAGAGAACATTTAGAGAAGTCATGTTTCTTCAGGAATTGAATGGACATGAGAATGTCGTTCGTTTGCTGAATATAATGAAGGCTGAGAATAATAAAGACTTATATTTGGTATTCGATTATATGGAGACTGATCTACATGCAGTAATAGTAAGAAGTTCTTCTTGAAGATTAGCGTGCCAATATTTTGGAAGAAATACACAAGAAATATATTGTTTATTAAATCTTAAAAGCTCTAAAATTTATACATTCAGGAGAATTGATACACAGAGATCTGAAGCCATCAAATGTCCTTTTGAATTCCGAATGTCTGGTAAAGGTTGCAGATTTTGGCTTAGCTAGAAGTCTAGTGTAAAATGAAGATGATGGTTTGAATAATACCATAATTTTTTATAGGAATGGTTCTTCTCACTGAATATGTGGCTACTCGTTGGTATCGTGCTCCAGAGATCTTACTTGGTTCTACAAAGTATAGCAAGGCAGTCGACATGTGGTCTGTTGGTTGTATTGTAGGAGAATTGATTCTTGGAAGAGCCATTTTTCCAGGGACGTCATCTTTGAACCAAATCGAACGGATAATCGAACTCCTTGGGAAACCAAAAGCTGATGAATTAGAATCTTTAGATAGTCAATTGGCTGCTAATATTCTAGCTTCGATCAATATCTCGAAAAAGAAATCCTTTGCATAATTCTTTACTGGGGCTACAGAAGAAGCCCTTGATTTAATAAGGAGATTGCTTTGTTATAACCCAAAAATAAGATTGACTGCAGAACAAGCTTTAAAACATAAATATGTTATAGAATTCTCGTAGCCAGATGAGGAGATTGTGAGTTTTCAGCCATTCAAAATTTCAATGAATGATAATAAGAAATTCACCATAAAGGAGTATCGTGAGTCATTGTATGCAGATATTTCTAAGAGGAAGAAGGATCAACGAAAAAAGTGGCAGCTCAAGTATTTAGCTCAATTGGGTGTCAATTTGGAAGAGGAGAATGATAAAAAGTAATCTATTTAATTCTATTTTATAGGCTCAAAAACAAAGAACCAAGTCCAAAACGACAAGATGATATGATAGATTTAAATAAGGTGGACGATTTGCAATTAATTTATCATTAGCAAATGCAACAATAAGCTTTGTAATAAAAGAAAAACTAGAGACCACAATCCCAATCTGGAAATCAAGTTAGGCAACACAGTCAAGATGTTGCCAGAACTATTTCCTAAGAAAACTCAATTTAACAGGTCCAAAATACCCAATAAACTCATCATAAATCAAACTCGATAGTCGCAAATTCTAATCAATATAAACAAGGTTATTATTATCCATTTTAGTAACCAAATAACAATTAGTAAACTTCAAAATACAATGGAATCAATAAATCAGCTAACAATATAGTTCAATAATAAATGGGAAGATCATCAACGGGATACTATTAAAAAGTCAATAAAAAATGATTTATGCTTAAGACAATATAATTTATAAAAATAATGAAAACTTCATACTGTTGGCGTAATTAGAAAGTATAGGTATCGCCCTTGACTTGTCCTTAGAACAAATCCAAATTCGAAAATAGACTGGCCAAAACTAAAAAGTAACTAAGCTTTCATGAATAAGAGAATTGGAATGACGAACACATTATAAAATATCGTAATCACTTAAAAGATGTAAGAGAGTTGAGGTAAAGATGGCATATCATTGAGAGACCAATGAATGCCTCGATCTCTGAAAAGGCTAAATCTGAAATCCTAGACATGGAATAATCAGTAATCATCCTATATAAATAAATAATTAGATACAACATATATCCCTTGAAAAACCTAAAAAGAAATCAAATATCCGTCCATTTAGTTCCTAGTAGTAGAAACTACTATCGCAAATTTCACAAATATACTCGTTTTAATAATGCGCTAATCGTTAAAATAAAATGAAACTCTTTTTATAATCTGATGACAATTATGCTAATCGATCATTCAGATATTACAAGAATTTTACAAATTATCTTAACTCGATCAAATGACTCTTTATATTTATATATATATTTATTAAAATTTATATTATGATCAGAATCTTAGATTCTGGAGACTTAATATAAATAGTCCATGAGCACAAGCATGATACTCTTTAGGATATTCTTCAATAAATTGGATTTTATATGATATAACATCATTGTGAAAAAGGAACATTTTGAAGGGTTTAAACCTTTTACTTTAACTATCTTAATTTTAGAAATACGAAAGATACATTTTATAAAGTTCTTTATAAAAACAAATGGTTTTAAATAGCAAAGGAATAATCTTTAATTAAATCATATTCCTTAAATAATGAAGGTCATCAAGTTAAATTGTGTTATTGGTGTTGTTTAAGGAACTCTATATATTCTTAAATTTTATCTAAAAAAATTAACCAAGAAATAATCAGTGTATTCTGGCATGAAATGTTCTATATTCGCCAAAATATATTAATATGATGTATCTTTTTACTATAAGTAGTATATAAGTTGATTTAATATTTAAACGAAAATAAGAAACTATTCTTAAGTAAGTCGTTTTCCTTATAATATAGGGACTCATAACCTTATGATAATTAATAATTTATATAAGAAATATAAAATAAAATTTAATTAAAAACATATTATATATTAAGCTCCTTTACCTAGACAATAGAGGAAATTAATTATAAATATTTCATTTAATGAATTTTTAAATTATAATGTTAACTATCTTTGAATATCAAGATTTAATACTTAAAGGTAAAATATAAGTTTACCACATAGAAATCTGTTTTATATTATTGGTAAAATTGTCTAAACTATCATATGTGCTTGATGATTAACTTTTATTTTTTTGGTTGACTGATCACGCATAATTAATTTTATTATATTTTTTCTTTATAATCATAATTAAAACTATTCAATTTCTATTAATCAATAATTATATATTAAAGATCATCTTGTTCAAATTTTGGGTTATCTCTACCATCATTATTCTATTTTTAAGGTTGTTTTTTGGTTATAAAAGTTCCAGCTAAAATGCAGGATAAGAACCCTAATGTTGAATCGAGAGATGACAAACAAACAAAAATTTTTGGTAGATGATGTGACTACTTGAATTTAGATTATATAGTTTTATCAATATTTTAAATAAATGTAAAAGTCATAATTTAGATTTGAGAATAAACCTTCAAAGCAGTTTCCATTAGACAATAAAGTTTGGAAATTGCAAGAGCACCCATGCATAAATGATGAACCTTTGCTCATTGAAGAATCAGAAGTAGGCTATCAAATTGAGGTTATAAAAATCTTCAAGTAGATTTACTAAAATAAATTAGCGATTCTAGATGTCAACAATATACTGAAAGTATTATTATAAATAATTATACTGTTCATTCTGTTTCACAAGTCTTTGACAATTAATTAGATTCAGAACTTGTACTATCCAAATAAATTTTAGTGTTCTGAAAATATGAATAATAAATGGGACCAATATCAATTCAAGCAAATTCCATGAAAATCACATAATTTTTTTTAAATCTATTAGACTAACATTCTTTTATTTCATTTATATCAAATATTACATCAAAGTCATTTATTCTTAAAATGCATTTTTGACAGCATCATCACTTGTTTGCAAGAATTATCCCAAATATTTATAACTTAACTATTAGCATGAATTTGAAGATTTAATGAAATATAGAAGTATAATAGTGTATTTGTTGACAGAATAATTAAAAAAGGATAAAAAAGATTTAAATTATTAATTCTAATAGTGTAATTTCTTATAATATAACACATTCAATAGATCATTTGGACCAGAGCCAAGGATGCTAAAGTGCCTATCTGGCTGTCACTCTCTTCTTTGGTTCAAATGCTAGCATTGGAACAAGAAAATCTTCTATTTGATTTGCATCTGAATATGAAAAACCGTATTCACTCATTAATATTTTACTAATAGAGGTTGGGTGCAAATCCTTTAAATAATTTAATTATCTACTTTAATGTTAATTAACTAGCCGGTTTTGTTAAAGAATTCCCTGCTATTAGAACCACTCAGTGCCCATTTTTTGTTCATTTTTCCTAAAACTTCCATCATTTAAGCTAAATGATCATCTGATTTCTTAAATCCTTTTCCCTTTTTCGGCTTGAATAAATAGTCATTAGTAAGTAATTCAAACACAATGCAAGCAGTACTCCAAATATCAGTACTAGTATCATATTCAATTCCCAAGATGGCTTCAGGTGCTCTATATTCTCTAGTCTGTATATTATCTGTAAAATGCTTATTGGTCCAACAGGCATTTCCAAAATCAACAATTTTAATTGATAAATCTCTATCTAACTTTATTTTGATATGCTCTTTCCATCTAATTTATAAATAACAATATTATACTTCAAAGTGTATAAAGTTTCTTCATCTACTTCCTCTGATTCTGACTCATCGCTTTAATCTTCTGATTTCCAATCTTAATCGTCTTCATCAGATGAAATTTCTTCTTCTCCACTGTGACTTTTCTTTTTATCTTTTTAGGCTTTTTCCTTTTCCTTTTGTAAATTTCTATGTTTATGGACATGATGGATCTCTTCTTTTTACTATAATTCTTAATTCTCTTTTTCTGGATTAATCTATTATTCAACTTAATTTTTTATAGTTTCGATATTTGATATTTATTCAGATTCATCATCTGTTATTGGCTCAAGTTAAACAGTATTTTAAACAGATTAAATATTTGTAGAATTTTAATCTTAATTTAATTAAGTACTCTGTTATTATATTGATGAATCTTCTTATATCTGTTCTTTAATAGTATTATTATTTGTATTTAATTATGTATCTTTTTATAATTATTATTGTTGAATTAATTGTTATTTTTATGATTATTACTATAATTAATCTTGCTATTATTATTATTATTACTGTTATTACTATTAATCCTGCTATTGTTGTACATCTTATTATTATTCAGTTTATTATTATACCTAATAATCTTTTTCTTATTACTATTATAGTTTCTTTTATTTCTACTTTTTTCTCTTTTCCTATTTTTTATTGGTTGTTTTCATGGATTTCTTTAATTTTTCCAAAAATTTCATGCTTATTGGTTTTTTTTAGACCATTTTCATTTATTCTACAAATTCCCCAAAATTCTATGGTTTCAATTAAAGCATAATATTTTCTGGCTTCAAATCTGTGTGAATCATGTTACATACTTCGTGCATATACACTAATCCAATTAAGAGTTCTCTTGTGATTTATTTTACCAACCACATGCCCATTCTTTTATCATAGTCATCAAAGTGAATAATTAAATCTAATAAAGAAGGTCCTAGCACTTCAAAAACTGTACAATAGTGTTTTCCATGCATTCCATAATGAATAAAATTGTCAACCATTTCTACACAATATGTTTCATTCAATTTCACTTTAATATCCATATCCTATTCTGTATTTTTAATGTTTGGATCACCCCACTTAAGAGTTGAATAATCTAATTTTGGAATCTGAGACAATTATTCTTAATACTAAATCCATTTATCATCCTTTATATGCTTCTATAAATCCCTATATTTATTTGAATTGAATACTTCAAAAGCTCTAATTCATCAATAGCACTTTCTTGATAACTTTATTTGCTTTTCTATATTTTCAATGCAACATGTGTCTCAGATTATTTATCATGCGCCAACCAAACAGTTGAAAAGTGCCCCCATCCAAGTTTTTGAATAACTTAAAATCTCCCATTGTGAAATTTGTCTCCAATACTAACGGGATGATAACCATCTTTTTTGTAATCCTCGTAATCTTCAGCTTCACTGCTATTTTCATATGGATCAGACGATTTAGAAGAACAGGAGGAAGATGATCGAGATGGAGGTGAAGCAGGTTATTGAGGCTGTTATGATTATTGCTCAGCTATTCTTTTTTGCTTCAAGAGTTCAGAGATAGGTTTCTTATTCTTCTATTTCATAAAATACCACTCTTTATTCTAAAATTAATTTTTAATTAAAAAAGAATTCGCAAAATTTATGTCAATTTTATCAAAAATAATTTACTTTGATTGAAACCAATGCAATCATAATCATGATCACTCCAAATCCATCATATATAGTAAGTGTATGTATTTATTCCTTAATGTCTACCTCAAGATACCTCAAGTATCCCTTATCAGTTAATAGTAATACTCCTGATTGCCAACACTTATATGCTAAAAGTCTATTATTGATGACTTTGCTCTATTGTTCAATCAATTCAATTAATTGCACTTTTGAATTTTATAATCTGACAAAATACACAATGCTTTTTCTCATCTATTGATAATATTGTATAATATACTGCATAAAGTTGTGTACCATCTTCTGAGAATTATATTTCATCTACTTGTTCTATTTTGTAAAATTCAATTTTGTTTGATGTAAAGTATAATAATTTTGCGTTGATAATCAAAATGAACTTCTCAGATGAGTGTGCTTGATATAGAACAAATAAGTTTGTCAATTCTTTCAGCGATATTTGATATTCGTAAAGTTAAATCAATTTTGTCTCATTATTCTTTTAAAAGAGAATGTGCAATGTTATTGATGCCATTATTCTACAAGCAAGTATAAGGACTTTCCCTTTTTATAAGTATTTGAATTAATCAATCATTTTCATGTCTTTGCATTATATAGATTTCAATGTGATATCACTGCTCTTCAGTCTATATTATTATTGTTTGTATGAGATGGAACAATTGGAATTGTTAATGACCTAGAAACTTAATAGTAATTCTTTCATGTAGGTGTGATTTCTCTTCTGCTGGCAAATGCTATGATCCTCGTTGTTGATTTATTATACTCTAAAATCTCATACTCTATGAATGCATACATTCTTTATCATATTCAATAATCGTTGAATTATCTACAATCAAATAATTCATGGATTGCATAACTTTAAATCGTGGTAATGGTTTTGGTTCTAAATTCAAAAAAAGGGAGTTGAATAAAGAATATTTGAATTTATCATTACTAGTTGCAAAATCGTTATAGACTTCTGCATCTATTTTCTCTTTAATATCTAATTGAGGTATTTTTAAAATCAACCAGATTATCCATATGTAAATTGTTTCAATTATCATATAATATTAAATTAAAATGTCTATTGCTTGTATAGCTATAATAGATTCATAGGACAAACTGAACTTTATTGATTATTACATAGATAATGAAGATCAAGCGCATTTCAAATTTCAAACTTACACAGCTCTACAACTAATAAGTCCTATTTTGTAAAAGAAATTGAATGGAGGGACAACAACAGAACCTTATTTAGGAGTTCTGTATACAATCTATTTGCCAAATAATGACTACGATGTGCATGCATATATAACGATAACACAATTGAAAATGATCATATTTATCAAGCAAGGTACCGAAAAATTAAACTTATTGGCAATTTTCGAAAAGATATATGGATTATATCGAGCCTCTAATTTCAACCCTTTTCACCAAATAAATCTTAATAAACTCATAAAACCAATGGTTATAGAATTCAATGGAATTTGATTATATTATATATTAAAAAAGTTTAAGAAATTCAACAAAAGTATTTCTCTAAAAGTGTTTATAGAGAATCCAATGAAATAGGTTTCGAAATTATTTCATTCATTCCGCTCTAATGTGCTAACTCTGCATTTTCCAACCCATTATAAGCAGAACACATCACAATGATAGATTTTTATCGTTCATTTTGTAATAGTTTAGAAATCTCTAATTGATTTTTAATTTAATACCTCACTACTAGTAGTAAACCCATTCTTTCCTGGCATTTCAATATCCATAAATATTAACTTATAGGCTTTGCAACAAATATTTTACTATCTCTATCTCACCTTCTTAATTGCTGAATCTCCATCATATGCACTATCTGCCTTGTATCCAAAATTTTGAAGTAATGCCATTAAGGTGATATGATTGAAAGGTACATCATCAACAATCAAGATTTGGTTGCATTCACAATGATTAAGGAATTTCCTAGAAGATATATATACTCTTTATGCTGAGTTCTTAGTGTCTGATCCTAATTCCTCTATATCCCGTATTGATGAATCCTCATCTTTCATCATTGTACTGACAGACTCCTCTATTGAAAAGCTAACAATTGTGTAAAATCCTTTTTCGCTCTTGATTTGCAATTCGCCATCTCCACCTAAAAATTTTGCTATTCCTTTTGAAACTCTGAGACCCAATCCCATCTTATTAGATCCTTAGGGTTAGAAGATGGATTAATTTGACAGTGTCAACATTTCTTCATTGGATATCCCTTCACCATTATCCCACACTGAAAATATACATTAAGAGACTCTCTTTTTTAAAGATAACACTATTCTGCCTCCTTACTTTGTGAATTTGATTGAATTGTTTAATAGGTTTACCAAAATTTAGGTTATTCTTAATTTGTCACTATAGATTGATATTTGAGAATTATAGTTTAGTATAAATTCAATCTATTTTTACGAGCATTCTTATTAAAATAATTCTTTTAGATCATCAAAAATATCACTTGCTTAAAAATTGTTTAAATTCAACTTAAAATCCTCGCATTCTATTTATGCATAATCCAATATGTCATTTATTTAAAAAAGCAATCTACGACAAGAGATTATTGCTAACGATAAGTAGTTATCATTTAAAGTTTCATCTATTTTTTTACTTAAAATTTGCAATAAAGGTAGTGAACTATTTAAAGGGGTTCGTAATTCATGACTGAATGAATTCAATAATGCTTATTGAAATTTGAATCTGTTAGTCAGTTCCTTCAACTCCTCTTTATCTGTAATATTTTCAATTATAAACAGAAATGCAATATCTTTTGTTTTCGTTTATAATTTAACTTCATAAACTTTAATTTAAAAATGCTTCTTTCTGACTTTTAGATCTTTCACTACATGAAACTTAAACATACGAGTCTAATCAGATGCCATAGATAGGTTGTCTTAAGGATTAATCTTAATGAAGCTTTTATTTAAAAATTCACTCATGACAAACTAAATATAGGAATGGGTCCCTGCATCTTAGATGCTTGATTAGAAGGACCCTTTATTCTAGATGTTAACCTTCAGCCTATCCGACAACCAGTTAGCGCTATTAGATTTGATTCCAGTATTATATTAATAATGACTGGCTGAATTTTATTTCAATTTCCTCAAGGGAACAATGGGTGGTTTGTGCTTTGTATGCGGACTAGTTTTTATTGAATTCAGTTAGGCACTAATACATATTAATAAATGTTACTTGGACAGTAATTAATCTAAGTGATTCAAAATTTAATCGGCTTGATTTATCATCAAGTAACTCATCAATTTCTCGTTGTGCTTTATGACTTGTAGGTTGATGTCTATCAGAACTAATCCGTAGGGAAGATAGTTGAGTAGGTCCTCATCGAGAGCCACATTTATGTTCCTCTCTATGTGTGGGGTATTCTCATCGATCAGATTCTACTAACATTATTCCATATAGCTGAAATGGGCATTGTGATTAGGTTGTCTTTAGGATTGAGAAGTAGGACTTGGTTTTCGGATTTCATTTTAGGTTCTTTCTTTATATAATAATAAATGATTAAGGGGTTACCAAAGAACAAATAGAATAAACTAGGAGGTAGTAAATTACACATAGAATTAGGCAGCTAGTCTAATAGAAACATATACGCAGAGCGTGTGAGTCAAAAATTGATAGCATTGATGTTATTTTTTCAAATCAATTTGCATTATTAGCAAGTAGATGAGGGTGAAGTAATTATTGGTGTTTTAGATATTGTAAAAGACTGTCTCCAATTACACGATAATGTTGATTTGAATCAAAATGTTAATAAGGTTTTATTTTTATTTTGCATATTCTGAACAAAAAATGATTAAATCCAATAACAATCCAATTGAATTTTGAGTAATGGTCATTAAATCTTTAGTTTCTTAACTTCCTGACCTTATCAAACTTATTAAATTAGACAAGATCAATTAAATTAGCAATAGCTAAGTTTTTAATTGCATTATTATAAATTAAATTAGGTAAAGAAATTAATATTTAGATCACCATTTTATAAACTTAATTTTATTGACATAATATGCATTAAACTTATAAAATAAAGATAATTTATTTCCATAAATGTAAAATTACAATTAGGCAAATCTCCAAGCAGAAGTTACCCAATTACGCTAGGAAAAAGTTGAAATTGAAAATACCCTCTAAGAATTATTAAAATAGGACTCTTTGATTGAAAAATGGACAATAATGAAAAATTTTGTGCTTGTTTCTACAGAGGTTGAGCGCTTATCTCATGCATATGTGGCTTTGGAATAGGAACACTAATTCTTGTTGAATACACAGAATAAAGACGTTTAGCAGAGCGAATAAAAACTAAAGATTTTGATTACTTAATTGGAAGAATTGAATGCATTGATGATTCAATAGCAGAATCGAATCGAAGACTTAAATAAAAATAACAATGTGCTAAAATAAGCAATTAATGAGGCAACTCAGAGGATGCAAGTTATGAGTGACAATAATAAGCAGTTAAAATATAATGAACAGATTCTAAATTAAGAGAAATAAAATTTATAAAATTAATTATCAGAATCAAATAATGAATTTAACAATCTTATGTAAACTCTAAAGGAGTGTGAGGAAATGTATAAAGGAACCATATTCAAATAGGAGACAAACATTAAGAATTTATATCAACAAAATGAGAGTTTGAAAGGGGAGAGCAATAAAAAAGATAAAGTAGTTGATTAATTGATGAAAAAGAACAATGATCTCATTAATGACATTGAGAGAATGGACAGAAAGTATAATGAGCAATCTTTGTAGATGAAGAAAATATCAAAGATGTATGAATCATTGGAATAGGATTACAATGATTTTAGATTGCAACAATAAGGCAATCAATCTGAAGTATGTTTATTTCATTATTTTGCATATAGTTTCATTAATTGAGTAAGAGGATAGAACATAAAAATAAAGTATTGATTGATTTGGAAAATAAATATGATAAATTAAATGTAATAGTCAAAGCTTAGGAGGCATAATTGTAGGAGAAGAATTAATAAATTAAATAATTAAGTCAATAATTGGTTGAGCAATAAACCCTATTGATTGATATGAGAAACAGCAAGATTTAGGTCAAAAATGACAACGAGAGCGAAGTCAAACAATTAAGTGCTTAGGTTAAGAGACTTTAGGATAAGATAATGGAAATAAGAGGGGAACTTGAAAGTGAGACTATTTTGAAGGAGAGGTTACAAGCTTGCACTTAAAATAAGGAAGTGGAATTCGAGAAGCTATACAACTAAAATGAGGATTTGAAATCGGAATAATAAGCTTTGAAAAGATAGGTTTTGGAATTGCAGTAGGCGTTAAATGTTGAGAAGAGTATGTTTCTAAAGGTCTAATTGGAGTGCACAGGTTTACGAGATTAGATTAAACAGACATAGGAGAAGGATTAAATATAGGATTAAATGAATTTGGAAGAAGAGTGTACTTAACTGAGGGAGGAATGTGAGTTGTTAAGGAATGATTTACAATACTTTAAATACTAAAATTAACAGTAACAGTAATAGATTGAGGAACTAAGATAAACAAAAACGTATTTAAGTAATATCTTGATGGACAGAAGACAATATTGAATTTATTAATTCTTACTATTAATTATAAATTGATGCAATCTTAAAGGGAGAATTTACAGAGTAGGGGCCAACTGAGCTCTGGGCATAGAAATTTTTTATCTAAAAGAACCAAGACAGAACCATCTATGATACCTAATTTTGATATCTTATAGGAGAATGTGAAGAATTAGTTTGCTCTAGGTCATATACGAGGGAAATGGCTTCATAAACCTTCGTATTTGATCCCAAAAACTGAAATTTAATAGAAAAGAGACGAGACTTATGGAAAGGTAAACAATAAATCGAAGACAAAAAAATTAACTTTCCTAAAATTTGGATTTAGAATGCATGAAAAAAAGAACAATTATTATTTGTAACCTCTTATCAAATAGGTTCACGATGCCTTTGGAGAATTGGCTAATGATGGCTCTATGGGAGTAGTTGACTTATGGAGTGATCGCAATGTGAATAGGTTGATGGATGCAATAGAAATGACTAGAGATAATTTGTTGGTGAGACGGATGGGTAAGGAAAAATAGAAGAGTGATGAGTCAGGCTTAAATAGAGTGAACGATAAAAAAGTTAATAATATATTTAAATCCAGTGATGATGATACTTTTAAGATAAAATTTCAATTAACTGATATCGAAAAGAGAAGATTGACAAGAATTGCCATGCCTACATTATGTTGGTAATTATTTATCCAATTTATAAAAATTAGTTAACTTCGGCATGAAGATCCCAATTAAGGTATTGCTGCTATTGTTAATTCAATTGATGAATTGCACCAAGAAAACCTGGAAATATACACCAATCTCTATTAGTAAATAAAAAAGATATAAAAAAATATCAAGTGATCATATATTTTGTAATCTAATCTTATTTGCATTGTTTGTAATAATAAAAGTGAATGATATCATATGAGAGATGAAATCACTGTAAAATTATTATTTTGATTTGTGAGATTTGTATCAATAAAATACTAAGCCTTGACAATATTTTATTTTCTTTAAATCTCAATATTAATGATTTTAATATATATAAATTAAATTAAATAATGTCAGAATAAAAAGATAGTTCATTATAGGGATAGCTTTTTGATAATTTAAGATCTTTGATTACACTCATCGATCAGTTGAGAGACTTAGGAGTTTAGGAGTACATCAAGTTACCCAGAATAGCTGTGTTGGGAAGTTAGAGTGCAGGAAAAAGTAGTCTTTTGGAAAACATTGTCGGATTGGATTTCTTGCCAAGAGGAGAGGGTATAGTGACAAGAAGACCTTTGGAAATGAGATTGATTCATAAACCTGATGCATTAAAACCATGGGCTGTGTTCGAAGTATGCAAAGATCAGAAATTCTTTGATTTTGAGAAGGTTAGAGAATACATTGTAGAATTGACAGATAAAGCAACAGGAAATTCAAAAGGTATTTTGGAATGATAATCATAAACTAGATGTTGTCCCTGATCCTATAGTAATGACTGTCTATTCAAGTGATTGTCCAGACTTGACAGTGATCGATTTACCAGGAATTACAAGAATAGCAATAAAAGGATAGAGAGAAGACATTGAAAAAGTCACATTGGAGATGGCCACTCATTATTGTTAAGATGAAAGGACAATTATTTTGGCTGTGTGTCCAGCCAATCAGGATTTATCAACAAGTGATGGACTTCAATTAGCAATCAAATTAGATCCAACAGGATCAAGAACTTTGGGTGTTATTACAAAAGTAGTTATTCATAGTAAATCTAGATTGATATCATGGATTAAGGAACAGATTGCAGAAAGGAATTGTTGGGATAAGTAATTCCATTGAAATTGGGTTTTGTTGGTGTTAAAAATAGAAATTAAAAAGACATCAACGAAAAGGTAAGAGTTGGTGTTGCATTGTAAAGAGAGACTGATTTCTTTGCAAAACATCCATTATATTCTTAAATGCCTCCCGATATCATGGGAACAAAGGCTTTGATTCAGAAATTAACTAATATTCTATTCAAACAGTATTTATCTTCAATATCATAAAAGTATTCGAGCATCCTTGCCTCAAATCATTAGAGAAATCGATTAAAAAGTATAAGATTGTGAAGTTAAACTCGCTCAACTTGGTCCAGGATTGCCAAGAGATAACAAGGAAAAGATGCAAGTTATATGGAATATGTTGACTGAATACACAGAAAATCTAAATAACAAATTAAGAGGAAAATTCGACGTCAAACAAGCATTATAAAAGGATACTCAAATCTCTGGAGGTGCTTAAGTTAAACTATACTTGAATGATCTATATAATGAGTATTCTATTGGTATTAGGATTTAGATAATCTGGCAAAAATTATAGAGTCAGTCGAGAGTACACAGATAGAGAAATTAGAGAAGCCATTAGACTACATTAAGGGGATTCCATTCCAGGATTTCCATCTTTCGATAGCTTTTTATATTTAATTATGCCACAACTTGAGAAATTAAGAGATCCTGCAATAGATACTCTGAATGAAGTGTTTACCTATGTTGACTCATTGTCTAATAGCATTTTGAAAAAAGTGTTTTATAGATTCCCAACCATTTTAGATGCTATTTCTGATATTAGTTCTTAGGTTCTGACAGAATAAAAGAACAAAACTAAAGTGGTGGTTGAAAATCTGATTGATGCTGAATTAGGATACATTTTCACAAATGATCAAGATTACTTAACCATGAATGCTAGCATCATTCCAGTAAGTTCTCTATTTTCTATATCATTTTAGTAAGAGGATAAGGAGGACTAAAAAACCGCTGCTGCTGCTCCAACAGGTGACAATGCTGCAGGCACTGCCAATACCACTACCACTACCACAACTTCAAATAAACCTGCTGCCTAATCATCCAATAAAGATACAGACCCTGAGAAGGTTTTGGCTTAAGAATTGAGCAGAAGATTAGATGCATACTATAGAATAGTCATCAGAAACCTAAGAGATTCTATCCCCAAGGCAATAGGGTATTTCTTAGTTAGAGCTGCTTAAGAACAAATGCAATTCTAATTATATAATGAAATCATGAAAAGTTAATCAGTTATGGGATTAATGTCTGAAGTAAAAGAATTTATTTAGATTTAGCCTGAATACATTACAATCGAAAGAGATACTATCAAGAAGACATTGTTAGTATTGAGAAATGCATAGAAACTCTTAAAATAGGATCCATAGTATTTTTCATATTATAACAAAATAGATAAACATTCCAACGACAAACTAGTGAAGCAGTTATGGATAAGGTAAAGAAGACTGCAGCAGAAACTATTAATAAAACAAAAAGATTTCTTGGAATGTGATTTTTATATAATAAATCACCAAGTATATTATATTATAAACAAATATCTTTAGTTTGAATATATGATAACATCAAGAATACTAAGCTGAAGGTAGTTATTCTATTTATCTACTAAACTCTTATTTAATGTTTTATAGTTTTTTTTTTGAATTTTTTAATGAAATTTCTGAGATTTTCTATTTATATTCATCTCTAGTGATCATATTTTTTGTATGTTCTTCCTTCCATTCTCTTTGAATGTTGTGCATTTTGGTTCTATTTTCAGCCTCTTCTAAGTGCAATTAATCATTCATTTGATAAGCTGTCTTCAATTCATGATCATATGCCTGATTGAAATCAACCTTAGCCTTCACTAATCTCTTAGCTTACTCAGCCAAGATCTTTCTTTCTCTTAAATTTACTGATTCCACTCCCTCCTATACAATCAATTTCTCATTCTGTCTATTCTTGATTTCTCTCTCCAAACCTAACCAATTATTCTTCTATTATACCATCCTATTGAGATTTCCAAGCCTTCATTTCCACCATAGCTTTATTTGCATTCATATATTGTTGTCTAAGTTTAGTTTCTCTAACTTCGGCTGCTATTCTTTGTTCCTCAGCACTCTTGACTTACTTTTTGTTGCTAATCTTATTTTAAACTTAAAGCAATTGTTCCTCCCTAATCTTTTTTCTGAGCTCTTCTTCCTTTTGCTTTTTCATCCTCTTGGCTTCTCTTTCCATGTCTTTCTGCTATGATTCAGCTTATCGATGTGCTTTAATTTCCTGTACCTTCCTTTACATTGATGATAAGTACTCATCCTTCTATGTAACAATCTCCTTTCTTTTGTCTTCTTCTTCAGCCTTTCTCTCCGCCTTCACTATTTCTAACCTATCTCTTAATTCAGCTAATGACATTTCTTCCAATAGACCATAACCCATAGTTTCAGTAGGATCATATCCCTTTGTTCTTTTGATTGGTTATCTTTCTAATTCCCTAATTTATTTAATTAATTCTTCTCTCTTAATTCTAATTTATTCATCTTCCTGTCTTTTCAATTCTAACATCCTAGCCATTTCTAATTTCTAATCCTCAGCCATTTGCTTATTTTTCTCTTGCACTTTTTCTACTTACAAATACACCTTCTTCTCAGCTTCCATAATTTGCTCAATTAATTACTTTTTATACTCCACTTATTCTTACTACAGTTCTTGTCTTTCCTTTAATCGTTCAACAGCCTCAACCTTCATTTTTTCAGCCAATATTCTATTCTCTTTAAATTTCTCCTCCTACGCTCTCATAGCCGCTTCTCTTGCTAATTCCATTTCTATCTTCTTTTATTATTAGTGTTCCATTCTAGCTATTTACTCTTCTTCCTCTTGCTACCTCTTCCATTCTTCAAATTCTCCTGAATCTCTGAGATTGACTTCTAAATTTTTGACTCTCTCCCTTTCAATCTCTTGTTTCTTCTTTAGCAACATTTCTTCTCTTAAGATGGCCGCTGCATTCAATTTGATTTCAGCTGTCTCCAAGTCAACAGGGGCAGGCTTAGCGATTTTCATGTTGAACTATAATTATTGATTGAGAGTGTCTTCAACTTCCTTTTTGACAGTTTCATAGTTGTTTGGTCGAAGATCTGTTTTGAATTCAAATTACTTTGCATCCTTATAGGTTTCTTGAACCTTTTTTTTAGATTGCTCAAATCTAAGCTTATTGTCTTCTTCAATCTATTGCAAAGTTTTTTTATTGAGATTACTTGGAACAGGTTTGCTTTTGTATAACTCTGGTTTAGGAGGAGGAGGTGGTTCAGGCTTTTTCTTGGTTTCACTCAATTTGAAAGGCATAGTTTTCGTCGGTTATTTTTTTGCAGCTGATTCAGGTCTCTCATCCTCTTGAACCAGTTCGCTTTGTTTTCCAGTTGCTCTTGAGCTCAGAGAACTTAATAGATCTTTCATCATGGGGAAGTGTTATTCTAGTCCTCCAATGACAGTTTCCTGTATGTATTGAGGATCATAGATTTCATTCCAAAGGGGTTTGATATGCGTGGTAATTTTATCGATGTCAAATAGAAATTGCAATAGGACATTCATCTTGACTGGGTCTTGTTCGTTGACCATTTTCTTAAATTCATTGTAGGGTAGTTCATCCAATCGGAACAAAATGAGATAGGAGAAGATGTGATAGAGTGTTGCATCATTTCTGTTGGTTGTGCTGGACAGCAGAGTGAACATGGTTTTGGTGAGGATTTTAAGGAACTCCTCGTAACGTTGAACTCCGGAGAAGACCTATTTAGAATGAGATTCAATTTTATACTTGCTTCAAAAACATGATTTCTGTATCGAAGAGTTTCTTGCAATTCTCCTGGATATATTGTTCACAGTGAGAGTCTGGAGTCAGGATAATGGGATTGTAAGATTTAATTAGGTCGGTGACATGAGTTACTAATTGCTAATATCGCATAATTAATTTATATATATATTTAATATTCTCAAGTGTATTAAACCAAATTTTGGCATCTGAATTAGTAGAATATTTAAAATATATATATAATTCGAAGTCAAGAAATCGAACACAACAATATTTAAATTAATGAGTAAGGAAGTAAGCCCAACAGAGATCAAAGGAAGGGCAAGCCGAAAGCATTTCCCTTAATTGGATTTAAGTGAACTTAAGCCAAAAATCAGTTTCCTTGATAGTTTATGTAAGTATTCCCTCACTATTATATCGTAGTGTACAAGAAGTACCAACTCAATAAGAATGTGCAGTAATATACAGTGGGGAAAGCCTATTTGGAATCCCAAAAGGAGAGAGTGATTTTTAGAGTGTTTAAGGATTCCGATTTGAACATATCCTCTATCTTCCAATAGAAACTTAACAAAACAACAGTGGATGACGATGCGATGACTACTTACTCACAGATTTCTCACGCGAATAAATAAAACAAGAGGGCTATAATAAGGAGGATATATGAGAAGGAGAGGTGTTCGAAAAGCTAAAAAGAATGCATTGAGGAAATGGAGCAGTCTCTTTTCGGATCGGAGGAAGAATCTCAAACCGATTGCACTTAACAATCCAATCAAGAGGGGAAATCTGGTCAGTTTATTTAATCTTCTTGATTGATGTTGGTATATATTTATTATTATAACTAAAATAACAAATATATATATATCTTAAGTGACGCTGATGAAGTTGAGTAAAATGAATGAGGATGAGGCAGCTCTCATATTCGAGGAAAGGTAACCACTTCATATTCTATCAAGAGAAAGAAAAAGCTCATTGGAAATTTAATAGAGTAATATACAAAAGTCCAAAAGAAACAGCCACAATCAAAAAATAATATCATATCGAAGCATGAGCAATCAAAATTAATTGAAAAACTCAAACCTTCATGTGAAAGTCCATTGGAGACTTCTAAAGAAATTCAATTAAAAAAAATAGTTAAGACTTCACTGTTGAAGGATATCGGGAATATTGACATGGAAATACAGAAAATGACCGATGAATATCACACCAATAGAAATAAACCTTAGTATCTGGAAAAATAATATTCCCATTCTAAAATTCTGACCAAAACAATAAATTAAACGGAATTATCCAAGTCAGAATAGAAGACCTCAATATAGAACAGAAATCAGAGCTATTATACTAATAGATAAAAATGTAATAAAATCAATTCTGTAGCAGAAAACTCTTATACCAAACTTGCAGAATCAATTCGCAATTATTCTAATCAAAGAAAGGGAGAAGAACCTAAAACTAACGATTAAACCAAACCTTATGATTTTCTATAAATCAAAACGCAATCTGAAAAATTAATCATCAAACCAAAAACCAAATCAGTTAATATCGAAGCCAATGTTATCAAATAGTAAAAAGTCATTTCTAGTGAGCGTAAAATCCCAAAACCACCATTAAAATAGTTGTCTTAAAAGAGAAGCTCAGAAAGTGAGAAAACCTCGCCAGTCAAAACTATTTTAAAATAAACCTCCAATCATACCTATGATTTAAGTTCAACCAAAGCCAACACCACACAACAAGTAAGATTTACCATCTGAATTCTAGTTTTATTAAAACAAGGAGAATCCCATCATCAGAAGCCAAAATAACAGTAGGATTGGGGATTACAAAATAGTTGAAGCTGTCAACATCTATAAAACACTCAAATAATTAGTGGATTCCAAAGAGTAAATTCATCAAAAGTATTCAACAACTTTACTTCAGCAAAAAACTTCAACTTTATTGGTAATCTATTTTTGTGATATTCATAGTCTCATAAGAGTGTAAAACAATAATGATGAATTACTTATATTATAAATATATAATAATTATTATTAACTTTAATTCCTTCGAAATTTTAGTGATTATTTTTATATAATAATTTATATAATAATTTATTTATAATATATTGCTCTAATAACAATGAGCTTTGAACGTTATCATCCCTCTAAACTCAACATGGAATCTAGCAACAACAATCATCATCACAATGGCAATAGCCATGTACATGTAAAGTATGCTCCCATCAAAATCATTCACAACGATATTGTGAATAATGAAGAAAGACGCAAATACCCTTAGTTAAATCTACGCTTCCAACTTTCTGATGAATCCATCGTAATTATCTGTCTTGAAGTAGACTCGCCAAGATCCAACTGTCACCATCCCTCTCAGCTTTCTACAGCAATTAATTTAATAGGCTTATTCCAATAAACAGTTGAGGGCAATTAATAATCCTTCCTTCCGAGTAGAAGAGAATAGAAATGATGCTGTCGAGGAACTAATCAAGTAGATCCAAATTTAATAAAAAGGATTTTACCCAATTGATGGTATATAATATAGTTATATTTTTATAATAGAAGAAAAAAAAATATAAAATGCTCTGATCTAAAATTAAATGAATTTTATTTTTTCAAATGAAGAAGCCATCTAAATCATTGACACTTATTTTGCAGACAACACTAATCTAAAGCCCCTCTTCAATACATGGCTATCCTAACTAGAATTAAAGGCCATCTAAGAAATGTTAATCCTCTGTCATTCTGATCCTAAAGGATAATAATACTCAGATCTATTTAAAGCCTTATTCTAAAAGTTGTCAATTGAATTTTATCAAAAACATGCTTATGCTTATGTCTTAAGAAGTGATCAACAAGAAAAATATAAATACTTATCTTAAATTGGAGAAATCTTAAATAAAATAACAAAACCATAAGAATATTATTATTTTAAGCAGTGATGAGAATTCGAATATATGTTTATTGAGTTTAATTTTTTTTCTGTATATTAGTAACTTAAATATTCAATTCAAAATATAATCTACTATTGTTATAGATTTGAATGTGATTCTTGTAGGGTCAAATCAATTGATAAAAATAAGCAAGTCTTCTCTATCAAAATTTTTGTTAAAGATATTAATAATTTATTAGATATTGTGGCTATGGTATTATTGGAATGATAAATTAAATAATTATTACTTCTCTTTAACAGCCCACCTTTATTTTATAACTCTTACAGTTTAATCTTTGTAATTCTTATTAGACTTATGCAACTCAATTTATTAATTTGAAAATCTTGTTTTATTTTATTAAGTATGAAAGACTTAGAGAAGCAGGGATAATATAAAATAAATATTCCAATTTTTAAAGGTACTTCCGATTATGCCCAAAAATTGTATTCTAGACAATCATAGTGACCAAATAGTCTACAGGGATTGAATACCAAGTAAATTACTCATACAAGTTCAACAATTGAAGCCCGATTGTATTCAAGAATTGAAGGAGGTAAGAAAGTTTAATAAATTAATAATAAATAGTATCTAACACCTTCTTATTAAGACTTCTATATCAGATTTGATATTTTAGGTGTTGACAATGATTTAATTCAAGAATTTAATTTATGGCCACTAATCTATTGAACTAAGTATTTTATATAAAATTGTCTTTGAAAATGGGAGTATTGAGAAGGCTAAAGAAATTTTAAACATTTAGCCTTCAGCTTCATTTTTGGACCTGATAATAATAATAATATCTTATTTGATGAGAATTATAAAATAATTGATTAATTAAAAATAAAATACTTACATGATACAATATATATAATTCTCTTATGAATAATGATTTAATGTAATATTTAAGTATTTATCTTTAAATAAATTCATCAATTTTCAATATTAAAATTATGGATTCATTAAATGATGGTAGTTAGCCAAAGAAAAAGTACGACGTTATCACTCCTTCAGTGCGAATGGCTTTTATAAAAAGAGTCTAATCAAAACAGTCAACAATAAAGTAGGCAGCTTAAGAATTTGGAATTAAGTTTAGTACCTCTAAAGCTATTTTGCAAACTTACAGAAGGGAAGGAAGAGTGGGCAAGAAGAAGACTCGTTAGAGAAGGAGTACTTGTAGATTGGAATCCCAACTTGAGAAACCTTAGGAAATCAAAAAAACAAAAGAATCGTTGGCTCCAGTTTAATCTGCCCAAACTTCACCGGTCGACCTATAATCTCAATCCTTATAATTATAGCTAAACTAATAAATTCAAATGATGCAACTCAGCATGTCCATGAATCCATACAGGCTTCTTCAACAGTAAGAGTATTAATTTGATTCTTTAGAACCCAATATTTAAACTAATATATGATGTAAATGTAAACCCAGTAAGCAATAAATATGCAAGGATGGCAGATGCCCTTTTAACAATTTCAGCCTATTCCTTAATAATTTGGAAAAATCGAGGATCAAAGACAATATATAACTCCATTATAATCCAGCAAATGTCTTGATCAAAAATATGATGAAGGAAGACCAACATTAAAGAATTTCATTTGAGAATGACAGTATTTGTATTAAAAACCAATAGATTTTCAGAACTTAAAAAATCTTATAAATATCTGTATATATTTGAAATAATTTAATAATATGTCTTACAAATATTTGACTTTTTTGAACTGAACTTCATGAAGGAGTAGTAATGGTAGTCCTCAAAAAATTAGATTTAGTTTTGGATATAATAACATAAGAGTTGAGTGAAAATAATATCTTGGTGATTAGAAGTATAAATTAAATTATTAATTATAATTATTTATAATAAAATTGTTACCATATCTATGGAACATAAAGAGATTAAATCAGATAAACCAGTGGTAATATATGGAGGTGATTATTGTCCGTATTGTCATAAAGTAAAGAACTTTTTGGAGACCAAAAACATACCATATGAATACAGGGACATCACAAAAGAGAAGGAACACGAAAGATAAGTGAACGAATTCGTAGTTAAATTGAAATGGAGCACAATTCCAATGGTATTCATCAAATAAAGGTTTGTTGGCGGATACACAGATGTAGTGAATTTGGATTAGAAGGGAGAATTGGAGAATTTAATAAAATGAGAATTTGGAGAATGATTATTAAAAATCATAAATTATAATTATTCTATAGTTATTCTCACATGAATTTAGCAATTGAAACTATATAAAAGTTGGTGAAAATAATAAATATATTATTAATGAATTTGTCACTTTTTTTAGACTGGCAAATTAACTTCTTTCCATATTTTACATGTATTATCTTTAGACCCAGTAATGATGATGTCTCCTTCATAATTAAATGAGCAACTAAATATTTCATCTGTGTGTCCCTCAAGTATTTATAAACATTCACCAGTTTCTGAACTAAACAAATTATAAATTAATAATCATACAATATTCTTGCAGTGTTGTCTGCACTGGCAGTAATGATCTTGTTACCAGAGGGATTAAATTGAACCTTGGATATTTCTCCCTTGTGACCAAGTAATTATGCTATGCATTCTCCAGTATGCACATTGTATACTCTTCCAGTGGCATCTGCTGAAACTGTCACTAATCTAGTGCCTAGAATAAAGATATAGATGAACCTGTGGAGTTGAAGCAGATGTCTTAAACTTCGTCTTTGTGTCCTCTCAAAGTTTCAATGCATTTACCTGTTTTGATATCCCAGATTTTACAAGTCCTAAATTAAATATATATCTACTTACTTATCAATAGATCCAGTAGCACAATAATCACCTGTAAACTCAAATTAAGTACTTGAAATTTCTCCTGTGTGTTCATCCAACATATGAATGCACTCTCCTGATCTGACATCCCAAATCATTGCAGTTTTATCAAATGAACCTGTCAATAATTTATCTCCATCTGAATTGAAATGCAAACTAACAATTTCTCCATCATGTCCATCTAGTCTAGCTATTTACTTTCCACTCTCTACATCCCACAATCTAGCAGTTTTATCCATTGATCCTGTAGCCACAATTAAAGAATGAGGATCAAAAGATGTGCACACTATTTCGTAATTGTGTCCTACTAGAGTCTATAGACATTTGCCAGAATTAGCATCCCATATTTTTGCAGTCTTATCAAATGATCCTGTTACCACCCGATCACTATTTTTATATTTCAGCTTAAGTACCCAAATGGATTGTTAAATGCAATACAATAAACAACATTTTTATGACCTTCCAGAGATACTATTTCCTCTCCTGTAAAAGTATCCCACACTTTACATGTTCTGTCATAGCTACCTGTAATAAACCTAATTTTATATCAACTCAAAGTAAGTACTTGTCTCCATTTTTATTAAATGCACAATTTGTCAGAGGCAACATATGAGCCTTAAGAGTTTTGAATAATTCAAATTATTGCTCTTTTTTTGATTCAATTTTTTCTATTAATTCTAATAAAGCTTAGATTTTGTGTTACTTCTAATTAAGGCTGCCAATTAGGGTTTGCGACTTTCTGAAATGATTGGCTCTTCCATTACTATTTCTTCAACTAATTGATCTACATCTGTACTATTATTTTAGACTTCAAACTATACTCATTGCTCAAATTTAGCAAGTCAATAGATTTCGTTTCTTATTCTCCATTACTGCGAATGTACTCTAAAATTATGCCAGGAGGATAATATCTCAGAAGAAACCTTTTAAGCTTCATTTTTAAATATTTAATATTTATGTATTGAATCATATGTAAAATAGTATATGGGGGGAATTCTCATTGGAGGGAAGAACGATCCGATTGATATATCAAATATATCAACACATATAACAATTAATCATAAGTCATTCCTACTTTCTACTTGATTGCCATTCAACTTTGCGGCTTCTTGTTTCTTGGGGGCAAACAGAATCTTTTCAAGGTTCATGCAAGGCACCTAAATTATATAAAAGCTGTACTTCAATGGCTAAACTTAAGAGACCCCCGATTATAATGGTGTACACAATGTCAGTGAGGGTGAAATAGAGAATATGTGATTACTGATAATAAACCAATTAGGTAGTGCTGAAGGTCATGAACAGAATCACAATGAAATGTGTTAAGTACATGCAAAATGATATTCTGGCTATGGGTTGCCAAAAGGGATGTCCGAGTCTAAATTAATATCAAAATATACATAAATCGTGAGGGATCATTTTTGCAACCCAACAGAGCAGGAGTAATGCACAATCCAACACCTATGACAAAAAACACTCTGTTGAATGCTTAATAGAAATATTAGGCTTAGGAAGGCCAAGCATTCATGTCCTTTTACAAAGGAACTATGATCCAAATTATCGTTTATGTCAACCCGATTCCGAAGACATAGAATAGGGTTCTGATAACAACGCTATCCTTGATTTGCTATGCCACTTAAACCAGTTTTTAATTTTAACCACTTATGTAATTACAATAGAAGAATCCAAATAGGATGCCAATAAGGTAGGGAGAGATCCTGATCCAAGGTTTGAAGTAGAATACATCTTGATAGTCTGGTTGTGGTTTTGCATTAGGAGTGGCCATTTATAAATGGAAATCGTGAGAGTAAGCAATGTAATAGGCTGAGAATATGCTTCCGATTAGCATTGAAATAATAATTGTTAATCCAATCTTTCTATTTTTGGCATAAATAATCAACAATATTGGAGTGATAAGAAATATTTGGAAATCGTTGGATAGATACCAACCCCAACCAAAACAATAGTTCAATCCACTGGCATCATGTGAAAACATGTTGTCTATGAATAATAGATTCTTCCACCACTAAGTATTGCAAGTGGAGGTATACTCTATGTATTCATTCCAGATAGGACCATCTGACCAATAAACAGTCAATTGCCAATACACTAGAATGCAAAATGCATATGTAGGCCATATTCTTAAGAATCTATGAATCCACATTGCTGGCACCAATGAAAACTTGATGGATCTCAATTTGGTCAACTTTTCCAAAAGTAAAACAGCAGCCAAGAATCCTCCCACAAAGAAGAAGGTGTCAACAGCAAAATATGCAGCTGGAGTGAGTGTGAGCCATCCAGGTTCAGTGATCTTGTATGGTATATCTATCAAATTGAAGGAGTTGGATCCTCGGATGAGTTGATCGTGACCATAAATGACCCAAAATATTGACAATGACCTGATGCCATTAAAAATCACAAAGCCAGCGTTCTCACCCTTGGGTTCATTGATCTTAAATAGTTTTTGGTAATTATGGATAAAGGAGAAACTCAGAGCAAATCTTTCCCAAGATGGTTCCTTGTATTTCTTGTATTTGATTTCTTCGAATTAACCTTTACCACTCATGAAAGCAGACTCCTGATTCTCCATGATTTCGTTTTCTATATATTATCATTTATTTACAAATCAATTCTGATCTCTTATAGAGTTGACTTATGGAGTCCTTTAAGGAAGATTCTTCCTAATGGGACTCATTTATCTTCTGTGCTGCTTTCCTCTTGATCTCAGTCTTTAAGTCATCCTAATACGCTTATTTTTTGTTTTCTGCTATAATTGAAAAGATGCTTCCGATAATATTGAGTGCCACTACGACAATCAACAGAACTAGAGTCAAATAGGTTCCTGCACTCCAAGAGGGATAAATTAAATCTGGATCTTAGTAGGAAGCGCTGTCAATCAGAGATTTGTTATATTGAAACATCTAAACGTATTGATGGGGAAAAGTACTGTTAAATTGTTGATGAGGTCTTTGGTTGGTGTATTTTATTTCTAGAGGTAACTCATTTCGCAATATTGGGGTAAACAAAAACCCATGTGCAGAGGTTTTCCTTCGCTCATCATTCTGAGATGAATGTAATGCAAATCTGCAGCATCTCGACAAATCAGATAGGAACCTAAATCTTAAAGTCCTTTTCCAGAGCTTAGAATTGTTTCGGGTGACACATTGGTCGGCATCTATCCCATAGCGATGGCCTTGGTAATGTTCAAAAAATATTGGTCACACAAAGTCTCATTCTGATTTTATGTTTGGACCTAGACGAGGAGCAATAGGAAGCACATTGAATACAACAAGAATTGCATTGTGTTATATATATATTAAATATATTTATAAAAGAAAATTTGTTTATATACTTGCAATCACACAATATGCAATCTAGAGTTAATAAATAACTGTAGATTAGACTGATGATTACTTTTTCATTCATTATCCAATAGTCCATTAAATTAATCTAAAATAATAGCAATAAAACTTAAGCTAATAATCAATTTTAAATATTTATATCAGATGTTAGCCCAACAGTCATCTCACCCCACAAGTGTTCCCTCAACCAGTTATACAGTTACTTTGCTGAAAAAGTAACTGAGATGTAAGGACTGAATTAACAAAACCTAGAATTGGAAGAAAGCAAGACTATAGAGGGAGTTTCAGTGGGATTGGAATCGAATAGCTTATACCAATGGAATATTAGCTTTGCTGGTCCCTCAGACACTTTATATGAAGGGGGATATTTCTAAGCGATGATGAAATTTCCAGAGGACTACCCCAATTCTCCACCAACATTCAAATTCTTGACTGAAATGTGGCATCCAAATAGTAAGCCTATTTCATCTAACAATAGTTTACTCGGATGGGAGAGTCTGCATTTCCATTCTGCACGCATAGGACGAGTTTAATGATCAAGAACCCCCTGAGACAAGGTGATTAATCTACCTTATTCTTAGATGGAGACCCATATTGACACCTGAGGATGTGCTAATTTCAATAGTTTCAATGTTATCTGAACCCAATATCAATTCGCCTGCCAATGTAGATGCTGGAATACAATTTAGAGACAAACCGGACGAATATAAAAAGAAAGTGAGAAAGTTAATTGATAAGGCCTTAGAAAATTTATGATTGTTTGATGGTTAGTAATTCTATTAATTATATTATGTTTTTAAAATTTGATATCATGATGATTAAGTGCTATCAAACCATTCTCTTAACGTTTCTGGACAATGTTAAGCTGACATCCCTCCATTCTACTTATTCAATTCTTCATCATAAATGAAACATGTCAACACAGCATCACAAGCCATTTAATAGATACTCATGAACAGAATGGCCACCATATAAGCAATTATAAAGCACACTATTGATGGCACGATTGGAGATGCCAAATCTGTTTTATACGGTTCCACATTAATAAAGATTTCATATGAGAACAGAACTGTAGCAAAACCAACAAATAGTTTACCAATCTATTTTCAATATAAATGAAGTATTACGAATGTAAAAATGGAACCAATACCAGAAACGAGACTGTATCTCATAGTATTAGCCCATATTGATTCAAAAGCATCTTTAGCAGCTGGACAGAAACTCTTGCTAGTCAATGCAATTTGAATGTAAGCATTCTTATTGAGGAATTCAATAAATCGTTCAAAACAAGCCACCAAACAAGACAGACAATCCAGTATGCATTTAGTACATTTATTATCTCCTGACATCTATTTTGCTTGATATTTTGCGTATTCCAACATCAATCGAATGAATTGAACCACTGCCAAAATGAAAGAACCAAATGCTAATGATCCAAGATGATAACGGAATGCCCAATAGATACTTTAGAATAAGTTGCCAGTATAGGATTAGCCTGGTCCTTAATTGAAATACCATATGCACACTGAACAACCAATGATGAATTGATTCAGAGCCAACAAAAAGGCTTGTTTCCATAACCCACCAAACATAAAGTAATACACCATGTTTCTAGTTGTGTTGTCAAAAGTCACAGAGGCAAAAGGTGTACTGCCATCTCCTTTGATGTCTCCAAGTCCAACAATGAAACTTATAAATTACTGATATTTCTTACACAACTGACACTATCCACCAAACCCACAAGACTCCTAAACAAACTCCAATTACTGGAGGTACAATCATAACTGAGAAATTATCTCTCACATAGAGAGTAGCTGTCTTCACTACTCCTATAGCCAATCTAATTTTGTTGAAAATGCAAAAGAAAGCAAGAATTGAAAATGCAATCCAAGCTATTTCTATATAAAATATGTATTCCAAAGCTTTGGCATTGTCAGAAGCATTTGTGGAACCAGCAGAGGCTGATTATTGAGAATCACTACAATATATAGTTTGAATTATATTTACTTTAAATAATATAAGTGCTAATCCCAAGTGTAACCTGCCAGAACTGAAATTCCTACAAAATAGAGTAAGATTGTTAGCCATACAAATAATCCTCCCAAAAATCTCAAAATTACCATATAGATTAATCTAAAATGATAAATTTTTACTCTTTTACCCTAAACCGAAAGCTATAAAAAAAGAGGCAAGAATGATGTATTTTGCGACAGAAAGGTCATATAACCAAGAGGTCAATCTATTCAAATCAACTGAGGAACTAAAATTAGATGTTTGATTCAAAATCTCTAAGGCAGTGCTTGGGAAACATGCTCTTGAAAAAATAGGTTCACTTCCATAAAGACAAATCCAATTTTCTGGGTTACTAACTGAACTTGTTATTGTATCCACATAGGTCTTCATTGAATCAATGGAAGTGAAATCAAAGGTAGCAGATGTATTAACTGAAACTTTTGTACAATCTCTAGGACAGGATGTGATATTTTTATTTGTTTAACATTTAACAGTGTCTGATGTATTTGCTGGACATCTTTCCACACAGACTGTCTTGTTATAGTAATCAGGATGAATGATAGGAAAGTATAATAATGGATAATCGGGTAAATCCAAATCACATGCATTGCCTAAATTACCGATAAACAATACCATCGGAATCATAAGCTGCCAATATTCGTTCTGGTTTTCCAAGAGTGTATCCAGTTATAGCAATATACCTAGATTATGAATAATAACTTACCACATGAATATGAATGATGCGATAAATAATAAACAGCATATGATATCAGTGCAATGACGATCTTACAATGGTCCATTCATTAATCGTGAATCGATTGGTTTGGCTTGCTTCTCGGAAGCATCTTAAACTTTCATTAGTATAAGTAATAATAATAATTTAATAAGAAACAAATTACTATTTAATTACAATATATATACGCAATATATTTCTTCCCCTGTTCTCCCTTCTTGAGATATTCTAAGATAGAAAAATATTTAAAAAATATGATGCATTCATAGATCATTGTAATTTTAGGATATGTGAGTCATCAAATTTGGTTAATCTGATTGATCCTTCTCTTCTAAATCATCTATTCCTTCGATCAACGATTCTGTATGTGCAGGGATACTTTTATTTGCTTCAACGTAGAATACAATGTTCTAATTTCCAGTAAACTTGGATTAGAATTAAGAAATTAGACCAACCTTACTGTGGTTGTCTTCATCTTACTGTTTTTCTTGTTGTTATTTGAGAATTTCTGATTTTCTATTTTAGTAATTAAAAATCATCCAATATTTAAAGTAATGATCATCAAGATATTTAAAATTATTTTAAATTTATCTTCGATACCCGCTTTCCATTTCGCTGCTTTATAGCAACCTAATATTGACATCCTCTACTTTCCTTTTGAGGTTTAAATTAATATAGAAGGGCATCATTGCTCCAAGTATTATCGTAGTAATGATAACCATAAATAAGACAGTTGTTTTTATGACTTCCACTTATTATCTTTCATTTAGATCATCAGGATTAGAGATCTATAACTTTGTAATTAGGGCATATGCAACCGAACCTCGAATCAATCCAGCAAACCATATGATATTCAATTCTTAGAGAGATAGTTTGAATTTCTCCTTCCCCTTAATCAAGTAGGCTATCCCTGATAACGCAGCCATGGATACTCCTCTTGAGAAAAAGCAGATCAATAATTCTAGCACCAGAAATGTCCAACTGCATTTTGGCTTTTCAATCTTATCGTCTGAAATGTGATATCCTGACAATATCCACATTGACAACCCCAAATATATGTATATGAATGCCTCGCATATTAAGGAGAGTGTTGAGACTGTTATTCTATAATTATAATATATCAATTTACTTTGATGCAACCTAACCCAAACTAGACAAATTATAAATGTTGTAATAAGCCATTAGAGCTCCAGTTGCTAACACTGATAGCACTCCACTCAGTCCCAATAGTTCGCACATTGTGAAACTACCATAGGCTATGTATATTATGATTGCCATTTCTAAAATTACAGATTCGGTAATGAATCTGAGATATTTGAAGAGTATGGAGGCCAGTACTCCAAAGAGTAATCCGACTACAAGACTGCAAAAGAATTCCAATATGAACAGGATGCAAAACTCCAAAGAAACTGTAAAGATCGTATCGTGTTTACCAGATAACAAATCTACAGAAATATATAGAATGATAGACACAGCATCATTGACCATGCCCTCTCCGAACACTACACTAAATAGTTTTGGATATTTATTCGGCTTGATCATTGTCAGTGCTGCCACGGAATCAGTAGCACAGATTGTAGCTGCAAATATCATTATTTATTCTGTTTTCAATTTAATTGTAGTATCACTTCCCCAAATTTGAATCAAATCTATATAGAATCAAAAATTAATTCAAACCTCCATCACTAATCAAAAATGTGAAGCATACTATCAGTAGGAAAGTCAATAATGTACCCAACAATCCAAATAAATTAATATATAAAAAATTTTGAAAGAATCTAATTTGTATAGACTAATATACCTTCTTTTATTTAAATTGTATCCTCCTGCAAATATGATTATTGGTAACAAAATGTAGAAAAAGAAGGATTCATTAAAATTGTACTATGTTATTAATTGTCTTTACGATATAATACAATGTTCCTCTGTAAATCAATGTAAACAACCCTCCAGCCACAACCCCTAAAATAATGCCCAATCCTGTCTCATGTATAAAGTGAATCTCCTATTAATTAATTCATCGTACATGTTTGTGCTCAAAATATGATCCTGCAATAGCATAAATGAACAAAATTAATATGATTGTAAATGACACCACACCAAAAGAAGTTTCTGACATTTAATTAATTTTATTATGTTGATTAAATTGATGAGTCTATTTCTGTCTCTCTCAATAAATTAACAACCCTTTAAACAATATAGTAAATTCATCGTTTCTAATTGCATTCCATTAATCAAGAAAAATAATTCAAAAATATAGATATTCTCTAAATGTGAAATATATTTTAAGAAACTAATTGTCAAACTTAAATGATTCATTTGAGGGATATAACCATAATGATTAGTTACACTAAACAACTTTAGTTAAAATATTGCACCTGATACAAATTTATTCATTTTTATTTAAGAATCATCTTAACACAATTTTAAAATTGAATTCAATTAATCTCTAAGGAGAAAGGCTCTGGAAATGAAGACGAAAAGGAATCAAATATTAGTTTGTTTTTTTGCTAGAGTGTTGAATGAAAATATATTGTATTTGTAATTATAAGAAATTAAATCAATATATTACTGTTAAAATTTGAATAATATGGATAAGCAAATGATTTTCAGTTTTCAAACTCAAAAACCTAAAATCAGAGAGTAGGTTAAGAGACTTGAATATTTTCAATAAGAATTGTCGTAAATCTAAGATCTCTCAAGATAAAATAGATCTAAAAGTTCGACAGATATGCATAGCATCACCACAGCTGATAGTAGACAGTATTAAGGGTATTATGAAGAAGTATCTGCCTTTGCTTTGCCAAAAAAAGATATTTTTACCCAATCTTTGAATAAAATCCAAATAAATTAACAAAACAAAGAAATTTAAACTGAAACACTACCCAAACCAAAATTAGAAATTCTGTAAGAGAATGTCATGCAATTGCAATTACAGAAGGAGGAGATCTTCAATTAGATTAAGACCATAAAAAAAGAGAATGGATTATTAATTTCTTAAAATAAATCATACGAAATTGAAATAAATGCACAGAAGAACAAAATAAATGAGCTAATGAACGAGTAAAATGAAAAAGAATAGTTTTATTAATAAACGATGTAATAGTAGAATTGGCAAATCAAGTAATTAACAAGTGAACTCTAATAACTGTACAATAAGCAACAACAACTTAATCATTACGAAATGAACAATGCAATCTAAATGTTGATGGCTTAATTTTCATAGGTGGAGTAGGATAATATAGTGTAAGTTCTGAAGGAAGCGATAAAGATCAATAAAAATGAGAGACTCTAAGTGATTTAGGATTGGATCCACGTTTAGGACATAAAGGAAGAAATCATATAGTTAAAGAAACATCACAACATCAAATTGAAAGAAGTAAACATTTGAATGAATATGATTTAGTTAATGGAGTAAATAAAGATACTGCAAAATGACTAAATAATTGAACCTGAATTGCTGTCGACATAAGAGTCATTACAACTAGTATCAAACATATTGTATAGAGCTATAAAAAGTAATGAGATGCTGAAATTAATAAAACAAAATACAAGAATGTATAATTTGATTGAAGATTTGTGGAATAAATTGAAATTTCGGTTGGAGCATTCGAATTTTTCATAACAGCATATCAGAACATCGTCTTTAAATAAGGTTGATTTAAATTCAACAAATAAAAAGTTTTCGTCTAGAAAACTGTGAATTAATTTTATATATTATATATATATATACAAAACAGTATGCGAATCTACAAAAAAATATGAAATTAAATATGTCTATATATTTATTGATTAATAAAGCTCAACCTTAATTTAATTTTTTAAAATTGATTAAGTTTTCCAGAACATAATGAATTACTGATTATGCCTTTTGTCTATTCTTTAATTTATCTGTGATTCCAATGATGTCTCCAGCTTCCTTGACATAATATTCCAAGTCTTCATTAGTGCATTTGTTTGTCAATTATGCCAAACGAGTTCTAAGGAAGATTTAAAAAGATAGAATTACTTTTCAGATGCAAATTCCTCATCTAAATCAAATAACTCAAGTGGAGGAGGAGGTAATTCCCGAGGGATGGGTGGAAAGACTGCTGGTTGTAATCCTAATAAAGGGGTTTCAAATTGGGGGACAATAAGTGTGAGTGGCTCATGTTTAACCTCTAGAATACGAATGAACATTACAGAGAGTTTCATAGAGCTTGACTGCATCTGGAATGAGATCAAGATCAAATTTGAATAAGGTTGAATCAAACAAGGTAGTTACATCTTTTGGTAGTTCTTCGCTTTCTTGCAAGCAACTCTTTAGTTTATCAGCTAATTCGGCGATATCAGGTGCATTTTTGCAATCACTTTCAGCAAAGGGAGTTTTCTTATCAAATTCAACTTCTTTTGTAAAGAAGAACTTTAAAAGGAAGTCGAAAATCTTTTGATTGTCATCCTTCTCAAAGTACTCATCATTGAATATGTCGGTGGAGCCAATGACTACAAGTTTACCCTTTTCTTGACTGACTGCCATGATAGGTTTTTCACATGGATAAGACATAGGGCCAGTGGATAGGATGGGGAAGGCCTTGTCTTTCACAATCAGAGTGGCTCCATTGGGATAGACAAAATCAAGGCCACTTTGATTGTTAATTTCAGTATCTTCCATCTCGATGACTCCTTAGAGGTATGGTGTGGATGCCTTGTTTTTTCTGGTCTCTTTTTATTCACCATTAATCACACGAACTATCTTAAATAGAATAAAGATTTTCAAACTTCTTGATTGATAACTCCCTATTAGATATATGCTTCTTTTGGATGAAAATATTTAAAATAGCATGTTCTCACAACACAATCATTGTTCACATAGATTCCAAATTTCTCAGTGAATGCATTTAAGTTGCTAGTAGATTTACTCTCACCACCATCAGAGAATAAGATTAATACATTGCCTCCACCATTGAGATATTCTTCGAGGCATTTGATTTCTAGGAATAAAAATAAAAAATACCTTTCTCAGTAAAGGGAGCTCTGGAGCCACCAAAAATGAGTAAATTGGCATTTCTGATTTTCTCTATAACTAAGTCCTCTTTGTTTAAGCCAAACTAAATAATTCAAAATCCATAACTTACCTTATATAAACCCTTATACTTTTTAATTAACTTCTTGTAATTCTGGCTGGGATTACCTTATTCATTTTTGGCTATATTAAACACAACCTAATTAATTTATTATATACTTATTGTTCCGACATCTTTTATTTTTTTAAATTAAAATAAATGAATAAATTAATATTGGATGCCAATGCATTTATTAAAGAAATCAATTTTCAACACCTTTCAGAACACTACTCATTCGTAACTCATGAGGCCATACTCACTGAAGTTAGAGATGAAAGAGCCAGATAGAAATTATAAAATTTCACCTACCCTCTCACCTTCTTGACTCCATCAGAGAAAATGATTAAAATTGTTAAGCAATTCGCCACATAAACATCAGACATAGCATCATTGTCACCTATTGATATTGAACTCATTGCTTTGGCTTGTACTTTGATAGAGGAAAATGGCCAGAAGGACAAGTTAAAGTTGGAACCACTAAAACCATTAGAGTTTAACAAAATCAAAAATGTATACGGATCAAAAAATCATTAACAAGTAGAAGAGGAAGAAGAGGACGAAGAAGTATAAAAGGAAGAAAATGAATAAGTTTAAAATAAATAATAAGATGAATAATTGCCTTAATAAAAATAAGAAGAACCTTAGAATCAAGAAACCTAATAAAAATAAGAAGAACCAGAAAAATAAGAAACAGATTAAAAAAATGAGGATGATGATGATTCAGACGGATGGGAAGAAGTTGTTCCGAAGAAAAAATATTACAATAATTACTCTAAATAAAATACATCACAAAAACCTAAATAAGAAGAAAAATAAGTGGAAGTTTAAGAAGAGGAGTCATCTGAAGATGAAAATGAAGAAGAATGGATTAATAATACAAACATCCATGAAAAATTAAATGAAATTTAAATCAATCCATAAGATAATTAAGGAAATCTATTTGGTGTTGCTCTTCTGACAACTGATTTTGCTATGCAAGTATCATTTACATTAAATTTACTAGAATGTCTTGTTACAGATGGGCGTACCCGTCTTATCGACTGAAGGATATATGATTAAGAGCGCAAGAAGGTTCATTTTGGAGTGTCATATATGCAAAACATTAGTCAGAGATTCAACAAGACTCTTCTGTACTAATTGTGGTAACAACTCCTTGCTTAAAGTTTCATGTTCTTTGGAATCTGATGGAACCATTATTTTGTATAGAAAGAAGAATTTCAAAGTCAATCTCAGGGGAACTCAAGTAAGTTATTGTTTTAATCTATTAGTATTCAATTCCTTAGAATTTAACTAAAAAGGATGCCCCATTCATCTTTTGTCAAGATCAATTAATGAAAAGCGGAATTTAGTAATAATTAGCGAGACAAGTAAAAATATATGTTTATAATCATTAGAGAAAACAAGAGGAGCTCAGATATAAAAAAGTAATGAAAACATATGAAAACGGAATTGGCTTTGAAGATATTGATTATAAACATCCTCAACAAAAAATCACAGTTGGTTATGGTAAATTGAATCCAAATGATGTAAACGATATGAGAAAAATTAAAAGAAATAAAAAACGTTGATGTATATACAAAAATAATTAAAATATCTAAATTATACAAAAATATTCCCAATATTATATTGATATGATAAAAATAAATCATTTTTTCTTAACTTATGCTTTTGTTTTTTCTTTAGTTTATTTCTCCTCCCTTTAAATAATGTCTTTTTTTTACTATTTGTTAATAAAATTAATACTTTAAGATTTTTATTTGATATTTTTTAATTTGCTGGAACTTATTAAGCTTCAAATTAATGAGTATCCAATGCTGACTTTAGAGCATCCATTTTCTTTTAAGATGCCTCTACATCATCTTTGACTTAAGATTGGGTTGGATCAAAATCTCTCTTGTTTTTAACTGAATCAGTCTATTACCATGTTTAATTGTTAGGAATTAGTCTTTCCTTTGGCTTTTAGACTTTTTATTACTATTATTATTGAGCTATATAATGTAAAATTATACCTTATTATGTTTCGGATTCTTCTTATTATTCTGGTATTGCAACTGGTTAAACCTTTACTGCCTATTCTCCAAATACACTTGATTATAATTCTGCTTCCTTTCTATTCTTAGCATATGTGTCTGGATCAAACTCTTTGACTTAGTTATTGCTCTATCCTCCAACAGTACTCCATTTTTATGTGGATGCAGTCAGTTTTTCAACTTTTTGATTCTACACAACCTTACTGCAAATACATTTATAAGTTATACGTTTGAGAATCTCCAAAAACACTTGATTGGTTTTCCATCTATTTTCTATTGGATGGATTCTATTCTTATTGTTATTATAATTATTTCTTTGGTTTTTAGGGACTGGATGTTTCTAAATTGACTTCCTTGGTAGGTAGATGTTCGCGAGCTATTTCATTGCCATAGAGTTCCTTATTTCTTCTATTTTAGGGATCATAATTTAGTTTTGGTTTGAATTCACTCAAAGTGGCTGCTCTCTTTAATGATTTATATTCATCAAAATCTTGAATGTATTCAATTAACATTACCACTCTTCCCAAATAAGAAATCCTTTCCGTGATCAACTTGTCGATTGTCATTATTTTTTTTTTAATATCTTTTCACTTCTTGTTATGAATTCTCAAATGTTTGATTTTAACGAGCAGGCGGTGGTGCATTTTGAACAACCTCTTATGAAAATATTTGAGATTAAAAAGTTTTGTTTTATCTTACCTAAAATATATATGATAAGTCTCATACTTCCTATTATTTTGGTGCTTAACATTCATTACTAAAAATATCGGTTTTGGGTCTTGCACTTTGTCTTGATGCTTGTGGAGCAGGAGCAGGAGAGTTGAGTCCAAAAATATCCGATTTGTTTTGCATTCTAAATAAAACAGCTATGTTTACACTTGCCTAGTTGAAGGAGCTTAATCAAAGGTTTGCTTATTGGGTCTGGCTCCAGCTGCTTGTCTTTAATAGTTATTAATCTTTACATATTTGGTGTATCCATTAAAATAAACAAAATAAATATAAATCAGATTATAAAATCAATTCATTATCAAATGCTATAGAAGAATATTACAATATATGATAAATGCTAACCATTATCAAAATAAGTATTAATGTATTTACAAAAAATAAATGTATCATGAAATTTAAGATATTTTCAAAATATTATTTATCAAACAAGCTATTAGTTAGAATTGTAAATTAACTTAAAAAATGTGAAATACACAGAATAATGAGACTGATAAGAATTGAAAATCTCGTACTAAATGTGTTAAAGTCTATAATTCAATCATTTTAAAATAGTCATCAGCTCAAAATTGGTTTACTTGTTCTGTCATATTGTTCATAAATTAAGTAATTTATAATTTAGTTTGACTAATATAGAAAACAAAAGAAGAATTAAGTTAAATATTTATTAGAGAAAATCTAATTATGTATTTTTTAAATAAGATATTTTATTCAAATCAACTATTTTCGATACTTATCTCTATATTAAAGGTGATGGTAATATTTGAAGATATGCTTATATCATTTAGTCTAAATTTTTATTTCATATAAAATGCTAAATGGTTTCATAAGATGATTAATAAAAAATTTTATTATAAAAGGGGTTCCAACAAATAATAATCATCCAGAATTTAGATTTATTTTCTTAAATAAAGTTTTGATTATCTAGTAGATCATACTTATAGCTACTCATCTCAAAGCCAGTACTTCAAAACTATTAAATTATGGAAATTTCATTAAAAAAAAAGAATATGAAGATATGAAATAATTTTGATATTATAAATGTTTCAATGTTCTTATAATAATTAATTGCTTAATTGTTGTAATTTTTCTTCTGCTTCACATTAATATTGCCTTTATTCTTCATAATCTTGTTTATTTGTACTAACATAAAGATTTACGCCTTGGTTACTTAGTCCAAAAGGCAAATAGGTTGATTGGACGGGCAATTAAGAAACTCTTTTCGCAGTTAATCCTTTGTATTACTCTTAATAACTAGAGTTCAAATAGATGTTTTTTTCTTTAGAGTTGGTATGTAATCTTTGATTTGTAATTTTGGAGAAATTGATGATTTTATCTTGATCTAATTTGTAATGTCTGTGTTCTCTTTGATAACTTGATTTGAGGTCTAGTTTTGCAGGGAGTAATTGAATTTAATTTAGTGGTTTTAATAGTTGAGGAGGCATAGAAGTTTTACCTGGGTATTAGAGTGCATACGAGTTACAACCACAAAAAGGAATGCTGAAAGAATTATTCTATGGTTATTGTATATTATCAAGTGATGATTTGTTCAACTGCTTTTTATCGAAATCATCGTTGTAAACAGAATGAAGTGATAAAGCCTTTTGTCTGCCTTGGTAATTCTGATTGGGCAATCTGGAATGTTTAATGGGGGTTCTTCTTGAATCGTAATCGATATTATAGATTGATTTTGGTTCATTAATGTAATGCGTTTGTTACGGCTTTTATTTGCAGTAACACTTGCTGCACAAACACACAGAGCAGAAACAAGTGCCATCTGAATGCTAATAAGAAGGAATCTACTATTTAAGGAGTTATTATTTAATATACATAAAATTATGAATGAATTGGAAAATGAATTTTTGACTTAATGTAATATAGAGAGTTCAGCATTTTCACATTCTTATGTATTTATGAATGCTATAATAAATAAGATTGAGCAAATATATAATGAAGTGCATTTCAACAATATTGCGAAGAGAGATCAGATTGCAAGATTAAGGAAAGAAGAAATTTAATATCAGATTAAGTAGGAGAAATAACAATTGCATGTTGAAGAGATCGAGAAGGCTATGGAACAGAAATAGTATTTGAAAATAGATTTCGATAGAACTCTCTACTCAATAGTATGCTAAATTAATATCACTAGTTGTTGAGACAGAAATACATTAATGATTTGGAGGAGCAACTGAGATTGATCAACAGTTTCTATCAAGATTTGCCTATTGAGCATAGGGAAAGTCAATAGAACAAGAAATTAAGTTACTTAAGTTATACCAAATATAAATTAAGTTATGAGGAATACATTAAGTAATTGGAAAATAAGAGGGTTGAAGTATTAGATAATTTGGAGAAGGTCAAAAATGAAACACAGCAGACTCAACAGAACTATTATAGTTTATTGCAAAAAATAAAAGTATTTTACACAATTTTATAAGTAAGCTTAATAAACATTAGCTGAATAAGAAAAAACTATACAATAATTGAATGATCAGAATGAGACCAACATTTTTAAATTGCATGAGTAAAGAAAAGTAGTGATAGATTTGCAAGTGTTATAAAAATTAGAAAGGTATAAAATTATAATAATGTTCTAAGAATGTATTTGACATTTGAAGAAGAAATCAACGAAAATTTTGTTACTGAGGATATCAATAAGGTAGATTGTAATAAAGAGATATCTGATTTCATGCATACTCATCCTTTCGGAGTTTCATTCTTGGTTGAGAATCTCATACAGCAATACAGAAAATATCAAGTTCAAATTGATAGTGAGTCTTCAATAGGCTTGGGTTTGATGGAAGAAAAGCAAGAATTGCAATAAGAGTTAAAAGAATTGAAGGAGTTGTGTGAAAGATTCTACATTTATGATGAGGTGGAAGAGTCTGATTCACAATTTCAAGATGTCCAGAAATTGATGGGATTCTTAACCATGAAACAATCTTAAAATAACTTTAAGTAGAACCTATTGCATAAAGCAGAGTCATTCATCATCAAAGTTTTTGGTAATCTCTACAATGCCATCAAAAGGTATGATTAAATTATCTATTCATTAGATTCAATGATATATTTTAGGCAATCCATTAGAAGAGAATGGCAATAGATTTGAAATCATCTTAGATTGATAGCAAAATCAAAAACTTCTGTGCCAATACTTCTATCGGACATTATTCACTATCCTTATATTAATTCATAAACAATCCGCTAACTTCTACTCAACCAGATCTATATCATTAAATATAAAATGTATTGCTATTATCTTATATAGAGTATCATTCTAAAATTGTATGTAAATGAAGATGCCTTGAATTAATTTTTATAAGCTGGATCTACTTTCATCAAACTATACTTAAAAGCCTCAGATTATTACTCCAATTAAATTCACACAATGATTGAATTAATACATTCAATAAATTAAATACCCAAAAGGTCTAAATTTTCTTATAATGATTCCCCTTTATTTTAATAAAACTACAAAAGCAAATTGAGCATAGAATTGTCTCAAAAAAAAATATCACTGAGAACTGATATTGAATCAAGGGCTTAAGTTTAAGTGAATTTTAAGACTAAAACAACGAAACGCAATTCCTTTACTAGTACAATAGGAAGTACAAGAAGAATTCAATAGGATGTCAATGAAGAAAACTATTTAGAATCTGAGAGATAAAAAATAATAAATCCAAAAAGTAGTATTTCGAATACTATTAAAATACCATCAGAATAATAAAAATATTGTGATATTTTAAGTGAGAGAGGACATGGATTTGAAAAAAAAGTGATTATTCAAAATTTTAAATCATTGATCAAATTGAGATAAATTAAAGTATCATTATTTTGTAAATTAAAAAATAGAGAAAGTTTAAGACAAACCCAGTAACTCCCAAAAGCATTATTGGATCATCATTAATTTTTAAATCAACTTATAAATGATTTGATATGTATTGTTCCTTTATATGATGAATCAATTATCTTAATTATGATTTGTGGATAATCTTATTTACAGCAATTAATATCAAATATCTTTCAATATATTATATCTTTATTTAAATGCTATTCGATAAAATGTTTTGATGAATTTTTAAATCAATTATTCTAATCAATGATAATATATAAAAATAAAAGATTGCTTTAAACTGATACCAAAATTTCAAATAAATTTGAATCAATATCAAAAACAAATTAATATTATGATAATGCATCAATCTTGTTCTTCACTCTATTCTTCCTCCATATTCTATTCTTCATATTCCTTTCCCAGTAATGATTTATAACTCTCCTTAAAACTTGCAATTTATCTTACATTTATATAACTAATACCTATTATTTTATGCATTTTCTGCTTTTTATATAAGTAACTATAATTTCTTAGCTGTTTTTTGAGGGGTCTCCAAAAATATATAGACATAGTCAAACATCAACTTATCAAATGCATGGGCTAAATGGTTTGGTCCAAAAAACATTTTTTTTGGAGATGATGCCCCATATGAAATTAATCTTACATTAAATAATCTTTTGCCAATGAGAATTGGTTTTTTTGCGTACACTTCGCATCTCTTTTAGCAACCAATTTGCTTAGATTATCAACATATAAACTACTTTCAACTCTTTTATTGCCTCAATGAATTCTCCTTTTTCAAATGCGCAAACACATCTCGCTTCCCAAGCCCACGAATAACAAAATGCTGGTAATTCTTTGTGCAAATACTTTAACTCTTGTAAAATTTTGGTTGGTGGGATGAAAATTGGTTCCCCGTCCTTATTTTGCTTTATCATAATTAAATATTAATTGTTATTTACCTTAAATTAATAGTATATTATAACGAAATGTAAACACACATAAAATATATATTGCTTATTTAATCCTTGGGAATGTCTTATGTAAACCCATATTAGAATTTAATGCAATGAGCAATTATGTTTGTATAAGTATTATTAAGTTTATGTAAATTGATTTAATGGAGTAATAGTAAATAGTTAAGAAAAAGAGGTCGAGGTCTTAAAAGGACAATGGGGATTCTATTCCTGCATTTTTATTAAAGACATATGAGATAATAGATGTAAAATTGATGTGCAATTCGTAGAATCCCAGCAATTAAGATGTGATTAGTTGGAATGAGGAAGGAAATGCATTTATAGTTAAAAAAGTGAATGAGTTTTCAGATGTTATCCTACCAAGATCTTTTAAGCACAGTAACTTCGCATCATTTGTTCGTCAATTAAATATGTACGACTTTCACAAGACAAGACACGACAATAATGAAAATGAATTTAAACATAAGTTATTTTAAAGAGGAAAGAAGTTAGAATTATAAATATGTGTAGAGAATTATTGAGCTAAATTAAACGAAAGACAAATGATTAGAAAGAACAAAATTCCTTGACTCTTATCAAAACTGATGTTGTGAGAAATGGGAATTAGGAAATTCCAGAAGTTCTAGATTTTAGTTATTAATAGATATCTCAGCAAATGTCTAGGATGTAGAATAAATAGTCAGAACTTGAAAAATTAATGAAAATTCTTATTAAATAAAATGAGAAAATTTTGAAAGAAAATAAATATTTATGGACAGAACTGATGAAGAATAAGTACATATTACATTGATAAAGAGGCATAAAAATGAGAATTCTGAAGAATAAATAATGAAGTGGGTTCTCTAATCATTACAAGGGAGCAACAATAAGAGTGCAAAACACAAAAACATCTAAAATAACAATCTGTTGATGATTAAGTAAGCAAGTGAAAATGATGATGAAATTTAGAATGAATTCTAACACCAAAAATATATTGAAAATGAAAAAACTACTTTGGATTAACTTCCCTAACAAATACTCAAATCGAATTTCGAATAATAAATAGAATAATTGTCTAAGACTCAAATTATCTAAATATTAATGAATGCAGTAGCTAATAATTAGAAATAGGAGAAGAAGAATGCTTTTAAATATGATGATGAGGAAGTTAGTTTTGAAGAGGAATACCCAATAACTAAAAAATTGGATTTAAAAAAAGAGAATGAAGAGAAGAAGTAGGATAATCAACTCATGGTATATAGTGATCCATTTTCATTTCACAAATTAGATGATAACTTTATAATAGCAGAATCACCTAATTTAAGTAGAAAGAATTCTTTCTATGATCAAGAACCTATCCCTCAATTTTATGAATATTGAAAATGAAATTCATTATTATCATGTTTCTTGTATATATACATTTATATAATTTTATTAAAATTTAAAATGTCCACTGTCAAAAAAACATTGCCAAGACCCAAGCATCAAAAATGTGAAATTTGCCAGAAGAATTTCTCATTGTATACATCCTTTCATATATAAGGTTACTCTAATAACATCAATGCAAGAGATGTCAGCGAGCAGTGTGTTGTGACTGTGGAAGATTTAAAGCCATTGTATAATTTTAATAAAAAAACTAAGATTGTTGATTATGATTTAAAAACCTAGCATAGATGTTGTTAGATTTGCAGAGATGAATAACTCAATATTTAAGATATAATTGTTAAAGAATAGTTATCTTTTAATAAGAATTCCCTTATCACTAAGCAATGGCTCAAACATTGTCTTCAAAAGTATGTGGTTACTTTACATTTAGTGTTCGAGAACAGGATCTCACTGAATAATACTACATAATATTAGGTTCAAGTAAAAAAAACTTATCAGCTTCTGCTACTGAAGAGTTGAAATCTATACCAGCTATTATAAATTAAGTATTGTCATCATTCCATAAAAATAGGTTCGCAGCTAATATAACTATTCTATGAAGGAATTCGACTATTATTTGACTAAAGATTTAATGGAAAACATGCCAGCAATATTTATATAATCCGTCTTACAGTGTTTGCTATATTCAAATCCAAATATCCATTGCACTCAAGTAAAAGATTCGCATTCAATTTTAGAACATAGTTTAGATGGTTTATTTTCTGTTGTATTTTCATTCATAACCCCTTGTTTTCTACTTCCTTAATTTTTTCAGAGAAGAAATTTCTTTAGGAAGATTTCTCGATAAAAATGAAAAGATGGAGGATGCTGAAATTGATTTTCTTTAAGAAATTGGAAAAACCAATTATTTGATCGAACCAACTGATTTGCTTTATTATAGAAAATATTTGGAGAAACATGCAGAAAAAATGCTATCCAATGTTTTCTTCAATTTTGTCAATGTAATACTTCACTATTAATTTAGGTGTAATGTTTAATATTTATTTATGATCATGTTTTGAAATTTAGAGATTACTTTGAATTAGAGAAAATAGTTGCTCTGCTCGGATCATAATATTTAAATGATTTCAAACAGAAAGGGTTAGATGATGAGTATTTCCTTAATCAAATCATCAAGAATACCAAGCAGTCAGTTTTAAAAGAATATTTAAGTAAAGAGGATAGAATTAGATTAAATGACAAGAGGTAAACTTATTCAAAGAGTGAAGATATATTTCTTTCGTAGTTCCAACAAAGAATGGATCACCAAAATGAAACCAAATAGATTCTCTATTTATTAGATGATTGCATATTAAAAAGATAACCTCTAAACAATCATCATAAGTAACTCATATCACAATTGAATCAAAAATAACAATAAATAATAACAGATTTATTAAAACTCAACCAAAATAAACCCAAAGAACAAGATGAGAGTTAGTTATATCACAAAATTGAAACTCATTCTAATTCTTCGACTCAAATTAAATTTGATAAAAGTGAATTAGTAGATCAAAACAAAGCTTTGATGGAGGATTTCATCTGAAATACATTCATATCATTTTCTATTTGATCCTTTAAGAAATATTTTTTAAATTTTATAATATTTATATGTTCTTATATATATATATATCATATATCCGACCCTCCCTCCCTTACTTTTTGAGTTTTTTCAAACTCATTCTTATGCAGGAACTTATTGTTCTTACAAAGTTTATGTTTCAGCCTTGGTTTGTGGTTTAACTTAATTGACCCATTTGATGACAGCATCAGCGTCTCCATTCCAAATGGCCAAAAGTTTCACTGCCTTATGGCGATGAATTCCACTCTACTCCAGCTGTTGAAGCTTCTTTTTGAATTCTTTCTTTTTCAATTTAAATTCCTAGAATTCTTAAGAGTCTTTGTTTTTCTTTTCACATTTTCCTTCTCTTTTCTTACAATGATGGTGTTTGCCTTCTCTTCCACTCAATAACTTGTCAATTATTGGTTCCAAATTTCCATTGAATTTCAATAACAATCTAACAATTCTCTTATCATTGTCATATCCCATCTCCTTCAATTTTTCATATTACACTTTAAATCCATGTTACTCAATAATTTATTCAATTGGTTAATCAGTCTAAATTGCCTTCTTGTTACTTAATTTCTCTATGCTTTTGGCTACATCTCCTTCAGTTCTGAGTAAAGCTTTTAAATTTTTTTTCACTTGAGCAAACCCTTTTTCAACAAGTTCTTGATGTTTGTTTAACCAACCCATAGTTTCCAATATCTTCAAAGCCTTAGCATTCTATTCATCCTTTTTCTTTCTGTGTTCATTGTAGAAAACAATAACTTAATCCAGATTTCCATCATGCTCCTTTAAGAGCTTATAATTGAACCAGGGATTAGTGTATCCTTAAGTAATTAGCTGGTTATGCTTCTCGAGTAAGCCAGCTTTTTCAATCTTCTCTATTACTTTTGATTATCTAGAATCCATTAAAATTAATATTCAATGATGCTTCTACTTTTATATACGTCACTGACAATTAATTCTGATTAGAGTTCTGAAGATTACTGATATGGAATAAAAAACAAATCAAATAAGTCATTTTAATACATTATATTTATGTTCAAGAGATTTTAAATTATTCTTTTACTTGATAATTATCTTCTGTTAATCCTTAAGAGATTCTATCCATTTAAAATTAAGTTTGATAAGGATTGCCAAAATAATCTGCATCCTGGGGCAATTCCTAATATCCCTCATATGATTAATCTTTAAATATTAATCTTTCCGTCTATTTTCTTTGTTAGTCCATATTTGAATCACCTTGTTTATTGTAAGTGCTCCTCCCTTCAATTACACTATTACTTTTCTCTCTATGACTTCAACCTCCTTGACTCTTTCTTCAATCCTTACCTAATTGTCTCACTACATTTATTCAATTTTATTTTCACATATTTTATAGCTATCCTACTTTCTTATTTTATTTACATTATGTTATCATTTCATTTTTGGGATAATTTATTCTTTTAATTCTTCTCATCTTCAAATAATTTGATGTATTCATTCAATCGATTTTAGAGATCTATAAACGCCTAATCTTTGATGGTTGCACCATCATTTTTAACATTTGTTGAGTTATTCACCTTCATTGTCAACCTAATATTACTCAAAGCTGATTCCAAACCATCATTTTCTTACTGCAATATTTGAATGTTAGTTCTTTCTATTCTAGTTATTTAGAATTGTTCATTCTTAAATCTTAATTCTTTTATAGTATCATCTTTTTAAGTTATTTGAAATTATTATTATTCTTTATCTTTTAATAACTCTTTAATTTATTATTGATCTCTTTCATTCAATTAATTAAGTTCCTTACCTTATCTTAGGACAATTTATCAATTCCCAAATTAGTTTCTAACTTCTCTTTTAGTTATTCTAATTCTTTTTGTTTTTCAATTTGAATGGCGTTGTTTCTTTCAACTTGTTATGATAACTGGTTTTTCATTTAAAATTTGTCTTTTAATTCTTCAATTATTTGCTCCTTTTAGAAAATGTCTATCCTATTAGGTTCTTCTGCTTCATTCTTCAATTTCATCAATAAAAGACCAACGTCATTTTAGTTAAATCTTATAGTCATTTATTTGAATTAAATAGATTTCTATTCTAAATCTATTTGAGTTTTCGTGTAATATTTTCAAAATTTAAATCGTCATCAGACTTTTGTTGGACATATTATTGAATATTTTAACTAATTATTATTTCTCATCTTAAAACTAATCAATTTGTTCCTTCGTAGATTTGATAATGGTTTGCAAGGTAGATATAGTTTCTATTCGTTAATACATAAAAATTACAATTTTTTTCTTAAGTTGAGATATCAATTTATCTGTTTGAGATTACTCAATAATGTTAGATAATTCCTAATTCACAGTAAAAAATAACTAAAATGGTGAAAATCATTTGATTACAATAAACAATCTGTGATCACTGATTAATCATTAATGCCTAAACGGATATGTTTTTTTAATTGACTATTCCAATTTAAGACTTCAAATTCTTTAAATTACCAAGCATCTGGTTACAATTGAGAAATGATGAACTCATAATTTTATATCAATAATTATATTTATTCGAATCAACAAAAAATTCTAATCATAATTTGAGTAATTAGTATCCAAACTATAAATATTATGCACAAGAGATCATCTACTAATCCTAGTACTCCAAATATTGCTTCTGGAAATAAGTCAATAGGCGACAACACATAAATACACAATATAAAACATAGAACAAGTTGCAATTAAATAGATAATTTTAGTAAAATTTTACCAAGATTAAATAGTTAACCTAAATGTTTGTAGATATTAACGATTATCTAGAAAGGCTAAGTTATGTTTTATAATATTACATAAATGAGATGATATTTTAAGACGGTGCATCGAACTCTGTATTCCAATATAAATTGGTCACATTCTTGCTAAAATTCGTTTTATAATTTTTTTGATTTAGCGAAAGTGCTAATTTTGGCTCTGCAACAAGGGCATTTTAACTATTTTTTTTGATTATGTTGCCAATAGATATTGATACACGCAATGCAAAATGTATGTTTACATTATTCAGATTGTACTCCAGTGGAAACAATATCCTCGTTCAAACATATGGGACAACTTTGATTGGTTTCTATTTATATTTATGCAATTAGAATGGTGAAGATTATTTGTTTTGCAATTTAAGTGATTTCCACTTTAGCCTTCGTGCATAGATTTTTCAAAGAATGTTTCTCAGTCGCTATGCCCCACCACTTCCTATAACTATTTATCATTTATTCTTGCACATTGTTTATAATATACATATTTTATTTTATTTTTTAATGTAATCTAAACTAAATAATCCAGATGATACCTACAATTCAGAACCCACTGCAGCAAACAAAGTATAAATTAGATTAGACAAATTTAATATTCCAATACTGAAGAAAACGAAAGTCCATAGAGTGGTTTTTAGAGATGAATGTTAAAAAGGAAAGACGATTGCAGATATTCACGTTGTTGAAAATTGGAAAAGATATAATTAGTTAACTGAGGAATCAGCAAAAACCTGCTGTTCCACATTCTGAACACAATTATTCTAATCTGTCTGATCAAATGTCTATATTTTGATTCAATACTTTAATCAAATTTATTTTATTTCATCTATGTCTTATGTTGTTTCAACTTGCTTTTTATATTAACACTATCCAAAACGATTTCTACGCACTTAAAAAACTAGAGTTCGGCTATGTATTAAATAAAAGATTTATGAAATTTAATAATAATTATCAGATCTTTTAAAGCCATATTATAGCAACCATCTATACACTCCCCTTGCTTGAAACAATCAAATTTGGTGTAAGATGCTCCTTCCATCGTTCTTAAAAGCTTTGAGCAATCTAAATAAGACACTTTACCAAAAAGAGTTCAGACGGTGAATTCCGATCAATGCCAATAGGCTCAATCAAGAGGTGTCAGTTATCATCATATATATATATATAAGCTATTTAATTTCAGACAGCCAAGGGTTGTAGTTCATATTGAAGTCATAGACTCTAGTACTTAATAGTCATCATTATATTTATATAATTGTAATTTATGTGTATCAGATAGGAGCGAAAGATTGAAATCATGATTAAATCATGGACTACAAAATCATCACTATATATATATAATATTATTGTGAATCAGAGATCTTGGTGGTTGTATCATCATGCTATCTCAAGAGTAGCAAATATTTCTACATCACTTTAATATAATTATAATAATAAATCTGTCATGAGCCGTATCATCAGAGTCGTTAAGACTGGGGCGGCATAAATATCTTCATTAATTCATATTTTCTATATTGTTCAGACAAATGCCTCAAATAATCATTGATGCAGGAACAATAGATGGATGTCTATCGATTCCTTCATACTCGTCATCGTTTCATCATTATATATATATAATTAATATCCTTAAGAAACAGAGCTATGTTTGATAATTCAATATATAAATATGAAGACATTTTATGCTATATAATTTACTATAATAGTTTATATTAAAATATGGGTTTGCGTATTTTAAATAATATCAGACAGCTCCAATAAATTGTAATCATTTATTGCATCAGCAATTAAAATAATCAAATTCATCATTTATTTAATTTAATATACCATATCAGATCAGCTCCAATATCTATAATCATAAAATGATCATGTTAGCTTAATATTGTTGAAATCATCATAATTAAAAATTATTTTATTATTTAAAATAATAAATTATATAAATTCATAAGTATAATTTATGTAATTGTTTTAAGGTTTCTGGAACAAAGTGTTATTCTTAAGCCCTTTGCCTATTCTAGAATTCTCGTAAAAATTCCTCTTATTCAACTGCCTCTTGGAAATCAACTGTGTAATTTTCATTTTCATTAATCAAATTCATAATGAGGACCTTGTTCTGCTCTTAATCATACTTTACTTCTAATTCTTCTATTTCATAAGCATTATCCTCTATTATTGCTTAACAATTAATTAATTTTATCTATCCATTATTAAATGACTTCAGTTCAAAGGCTAAATTATAATTAATTTTCTGAAATGGATTTTCTAACCATCCCTATTCTAAAATCACATTTAAAAACATCAAATATCTGACTACCTAATGTGTTTCTGGTTTTTTTTTAAATACCTCTATATTCTCGTCTTCTACACATTATTAAACCTTAAAAAAGTATTTATAATAAAGGGATTCTGATTAGATAAAGTGAATTTCCATTTTTTTTAAGACATTGCATCTCATAAAAGCAATCATAAATTACTTCTCATAAAATGAAATTAGTTCCTTTACAATTTAAATACTTTTCTTGCAATTTTAAATTGTATTTAATTTGTTCTCTGATTCATTTATCATAATGTTGATTAAATTTATAATAAAGCTCGCTTTTTGAGGTGAAGTCATCTAAAAAATATGTTTTTTCAGTATCAAAGCAAGCATGATATCCAAAACCTACAAGTAATGGCCTTCATTCAAGCAATCCAAAAAAGTATAAACATTATATATATTGTACACCTACTATTAATACTGCTAAAGATTGTCAGACATTAATAAAATAGAAACAACATCATTTTTCAATAATTCTTCAAATAAGATCTATTTTGGATTACTCTTTGAATAATAACTTGATAAATAAGGAATAAATGATAGAGTATAATTTAATTTTTCAAATTTCATAAAGCGTGATTCTTAGATGTTTTAGGAATTTTGAAAGAAATTACGACAAATTTCTCTTAAATCAGCATCCTAAACAGGTAAGTAATTCAATTCTATTTCGAATATTTGAAATTATGGTATTTCGTGTAAAAAAATCAAAGAAAATATTCCAACTTACAATCTTTCGCTAATATAAATATCATTTTATAAAAAATGCAAGATGGTGTTAAAACATTAAGTTTTTTAATCATCTTTTATATTTGTTATTTCCTTATATTACGGTAAAATTATGATCTACATGAATAGATTATCTAAAATCTTAAAATAAGGATGCTGTTACTTATTTCAATTGAGGAACCATTTGAGAGAGATCCTTAAAGAAATGATCCATAAGTCCAAGTTCTTCATCAAAATTATCATGCTTCTCTTTGGTTTTTGCGAACAATTCCCTCATGAACTGCATATGATTTGCTAGAACTTGTAAAAAAGGATAAGATTGCAAGTATTTTACCAGGATTGGACTTAGTTTTGATTCCTAAGTAATTTTCAAAATGTGTAATAGCAAATGTCTTGTATATATTCGAGTTAAGTTATCGGGTGAATTGTAGAAGTTTTATGAGTAAAGCAATAATGGGAACTAGCAATATTTCTATAAGTGTTAATTGATATATGCTTACAGAATTGAAGAATAATTAAATATTACCAGCATTTAGCTTATTTGAGATAATTTTAATAAAATTGATGTAGTAATCTGGGATCTCATCCTTTTTCAAATTATAATCGAATATGATGAATTCGTTTAATTAGGGTAAGGAAAGAAGAACAATTAGGTTATTATTGATATTAGTACTATACCATATTAAATTGATTTTAGTTACAATAGCATGGAAACAGATGACAATATTTTGATTATAACATCTGCTTCGGTTGTTTTTTTTAGAATCCTAAGGAATTCATCAATTACTTTCTCTTCAATGAACAAGCTAACAAATCTTGAAATTCATACTCAAAAAGGTCCTAATTATTTTTGTCTCCGATTATCGTAAATTCTGTAAGAGTTGAAATCGCCTCTTGAATATTGATATTCTATTATAAGTTTTTAACCTAATTCATAAAATCCTTTAGCATTTTTTTCCTTTAAAAATTATATTATTTAAATAGCAATTTATAACATGACTCATTTCTTTGTTTTATTTTTCAATAATATAGAAAATTGCAATGATGGTATATTTATATGATGTATATATTTATNCTACAAGTAATGGCCTTCATTCAAGCAATCCAAAAAAGTATAAACATTATATATATTGTACACCTACTATTAATACTGCTAAAGATTGTCAGACATTAATAAAATAGAAACAACATCATTTTTCAATAATTCTTCAAATAAGATCTATTTTGGATTACTCTTTGAATAATAACTTGATAAATAAGGAATAAATGATAGAGTATAATTTAATTTTTCAAATTTCATAAAGCGTGATTCTTAGATGTTTTAGGAATTTTGAAAGAAATTACGACAAATTTCTCTTAAATCAGCATCCTAAACAGGTAAGTAATTCAATTCTATTTCGAATATTTGAAATTATGGTATTTCGTGTAAAAAAATCAAAGAAAATATTCCAACTTACAATCTTTCGCTAATATAAATATCATTTTATAAAAAATGCAAGATGGTGTTAAAACATTAAGTTTTTTAATCATCTTTTATATTTGTTATTTCCTTATATTACGGTAAAATTATGATCTACATGAATAGATTATCTAAAATCTTAAAATAAGGATGCTGTTACTTATTTCAATTGAGGAACCATTTGAGAGAGATCCTTAAAGAAATGATCCATAAGTCCAAGTTCTTCATCAAAATTATCATGCTTCTCTTTGGTTTTTGCGAACAATTCCCTCATGAACTGCATATGATTTGCTAGAACTTGTAAAAAAGGATAAGATTGCAAGTATTTTACCAGGATTGGACTTAGTTTTGATTCCTAAGTAATTTTCAAAATGTGTAATAGCAAATGTCTTGTATATATTCGAGTTAAGTTATCGGGTGAATTGTAGAAGTTTTATGAGTAAAGCAATAATGGGAACTAGCAATATTTCTATAAGTGTTAATTGATATATGCTTACAGAATTGAAGAATAATTAAATATTACCAGCATTTAGCTTATTTGAGATAATTTTAATAAAATTGATGTAGTAATCTGGGATCTCATCCTTTTTCAAATTATAATCGAATATGATGAATTCGTTTAATTAGGGTAAGGAAAGAAGAACAATTAGGTTATTATTGATATTAGTACTATACCATATTAAATTGATTTTAGTTACAATAGCATGGAAACAGATGACAATATTTTGATTATAACATCTGCTTCGGTTGTTTTTTTTAGAATCCTAAGGAATTCATCAATTACTTTCTCTTCAATGAACAAGCTAACAAATCTTGAAATTCATACTCAAAAAGGTCCTAATTATTTTTGTCTCCGATTATCGTAAATTCTGTAAGAGTTGAAATCGCCTCTTGAATATTGATATTCTATTATAAGTTTTTAACCTAATTCATAAAATCCTTTAGCATTTTTTTCCTTTAAAAATTATATTATTTAAATAGCAATTTATAACATGACTCATTTCTTTGTTTTATTTTTCAATAATATAGAAAATTGCAATGATGGTATATTTATATGATGTATATATTTATTTTGTTAAATATCACTTAATAGAATTATTTAATTGCTTTAAAAACGGAAGTTCTAAAGTACTCAAGCCTTATGCAAATAAACAATATTAAATACAATTAATTTAAAACTAACAATAATAGCCATTAGCATTTTGAATATTAAATCCAGAATATAATTCTAAATTATGGAGGCCCGAATTTATAATTTCAAATTGATGTAATTTAAAGTTCATTAAATGCAAATACTGAAACGAATTACTTTTGTAGAAACACCCATCTATAGTTTTGGTATTAAAATAAATAAACTTAGCCATACCTATTCATGTTTTATTTGATCAACTAAACAGAATAAACAGATAAATTAGTTATAATTAATTAATGTAATCGCACAGACTCATTTCGTAGATATTAGGAAACTGTTTTTGGAATAATAATTATTAATGTTGTTTATTATAATTTATTAATCGCGAATGTAATGATCTCATTCAAGTGTAAACGACAACTTTAGTACTAAAATAAGCCATAATATTATTTGGATATAAATAATTTAGTTTAGCAATATTAATTTTAATACCTTTTTCGATTAGGATGTCAAGCATCATAAATTCTTATTCTAGCAGATTCTAAAATGTGTATCGTATTTGAAATTGAAGTTAGCCCTGTATTAAGTCGATCTTCAAATAATCGACCTGACTTTTCCTTACCATAATGTGATAACAATAGTGAAGATGCTTCTTTTGAACCTAGCATTAGTTCTGAGTAGAAATTAGCATAAAGTATATTCGAAATAACTGAGTAAAAGAAAGAAACTAAACTACCTCTCGATAGAGATTTAGAGAGCAGTCAAGATTAGCTCCTTAAGATAAAAAATAAAAAGTGGGGTACCAAGGGTCTCAGGATAATGTTCTTTATGACTAAATTTGTAAAACAAATGAAAAATCATTCAACCTAAGTAAAATTTAAATCTTTAAATGGGAACATTCTAAAATTAATATCAGATGCTGCAAGTGATTCAGATGTGTTATTGTAGAAACATTTGAATAAAATTTAAATTCTCAGTTAAAATTTAAAATGGGGTCTTAGCCACATTCCGATTATAGATCCGGATTCTAATTTTAAGGTGATGTGGGATATGTTTCTGTTAATTTAAATAATCTTGAATATTTTTTATATCCCAATGAAAATAGGATTTGGCTTTTAAAATGAGGGGATACTGTACTAATTCTTTTTTGAATCCTTACCCTCTTGGACCTTCATTATAGATATCATCATAAATTTCTTCACTGCTTATTACAGTAAGGNTAACATCTGCTTCGGTTGTTTTTTTTAGAATCCTAAGGAATTCATCAATTACTTTCTCTTCAATGAACAAGCTAACAAATCTTGAAATTCATACTCAAAAAGGTCCTAATTATTTTTGTCTCCGATTATCGTAAATTCTGTAAGAGTTGAAATCGCCTCTTGAATATTGATATTCTATTATAAGTTTTTAACCTAATTCATAAAATCCTTTAGCATTTTTTTCCTTTAAAAATTATATTATTTAAATAGCAATTTATAACATGACTCATTTCTTTGTTTTATTTTTCAATAATATAGAAAATTGCAATGATGGTATATTTATATGATGTATATATTTATTTTGTTAAATATCACTTAATAGAATTATTTAATTGCTTTAAAAACGGAAGTTCTAAAGTACTCAAGCCTTATGCAAATAAACAATATTAAATACAATTAATTTAAAACTAACAATAATAGCCATTAGCATTTTGAATATTAAATCCAGAATATAATTCTAAATTATGGAGGCCCGAATTTATAATTTCAAATTGATGTAATTTAAAGTTCATTAAATGCAAATACTGAAACGAATTACTTTTGTAGAAACACCCATCTATAGTTTTGGTATTAAAATAAATAAACTTAGCCATACCTATTCATGTTTTATTTGATCAACTAAACAGAATAAACAGATAAATTAGTTATAATTAATTAATGTAATCGCACAGACTCATTTCGTAGATATTAGGAAACTGTTTTTGGAATAATAATTATTAATGTTGTTTATTATAATTTATTAATCGCGAATGTAATGATCTCATTCAAGTGTAAACGACAACTTTAGTACTAAAATAAGCCATAATATTATTTGGATATAAATAATTTAGTTTAGCAATATTAATTTTAATACCTTTTTCGATTAGGATGTCAAGCATCATAAATTCTTATTCTAGCAGATTCTAAAATGTGTATCGTATTTGAAATTGAAGTTAGCCCTGTATTAAGTCGATCTTCAAATAATCGACCTGACTTTTCCTTACCATAATGTGATAACAATAGTGAAGATGCTTCTTTTGAACCTAGCATTAGTTCTGAGTAGAAATTAGCATAAAGTATATTCGAAATAACTGAGTAAAAGAAAGAAACTAAACTACCTCTCGATAGAGATTTAGAGAGCAGTCAAGATTAGCTCCTTAAGATAAAAAATAAAAAGTGGGGTACCAAGGGTCTCAGGATAATGTTCTTTATGACTAAATTTGTAAAACAAATGAAAAATCATTCAACCTAAGTAAAATTTAAATCTTTAAATGGGAACATTCTAAAATTAATATCAGATGCTGCAAGTGATTCAGATGTGTTATTGTAGAAACATTTGAATAAAATTTAAATTCTCAGTTAAAATTTAAAATGGGGTCTTAGCCACATTCCGATTATAGATCCGGATTCTAATTTTAAGGTGATGTGGGATATGTTTCTGTTAATTTAAATAATCTTGAATATTTTTTATATCCCAATGAAAATAGGATTTGGCTTTTAAAATGAGGGGATACTGTACTAATTCTTTTTTGAATCCTTACCCTCTTGGACCTTCATTATAGATATCATCATAAATTTCTTCACTGCTTATTACAGTAAGGGATAGATCCATAAAAGCCACAAGGATATCTTCAGAAATTATGCAAGATATGAATTATGGTGGGATCTGCTGATCGCAATTCCATTCATCCTATCATCCTTTAAAATAAAATACACGGAGTATATTTTAATGCTAAGATTGGCAAAAGTAAAGACTTTGATTAATTAAGTAGAGGAAGCAATCAACCCTTCAATCACAATGTAAACAGTGTTGGAATTATTTAAATCGGTCTTTTTATTATTGTTTGTTTCTCATTGCTGTGCTTGTTTATGGAATTTGATAGGATAGATGCAATTAGATGCTGGGAAATATTCTTGGTTGGATTCAAAGGGTATTGTAGATGCCTAATGGGACTCAAGATACATCCATTCACTATACTTTAGTACCATAACAACTCTGACAGTGGGATATGGGGATATAGTTCCTTAAACTGATCTTGAAAGAATATTTGTGATACTGATGGCTATGGTGATATGTGGGTTGTTCGGATACACGATTTCCAGTATTGGAAATATACTGAGACAGTTAACAGAGAAGGAGTAAATTTACAAGTAAAAGATGACATAATTAAACAATTATGTGAAAAGGAGGCAATTAAGCAAGCAATTGATTTTGTCTGTAAGAAAATATTTTGAATATTACTTGAAAATGCAAGATGAGAATACTGAGTTTGGAGAGAATATGATGAATGCATTAAATAAAAAGTTAAAGGAATAAGTTGCTATCGATTTGTATCACAATATCTTAATGAGTTCCAGACTTATAAAGAAAACCCTATCAGAGAAGAGTGTCAAGAAGCTATGTTGTTATGTGAGAGAAAAGAGGATGGCTCCTGAAGAGATCGTGGAGGCTCAGAATGAATTGGCTAATAAGCTGTTCTTTTTATAGAAAGGATAAATAAATTTGATTTGCGATTAAGCAAACAGAGAAACTCAATTAGCAGTCGTTGATGCTGGTAAATTTATAGGAGAAAAGGAATTCATTATTTAATCTCGATACGATTATTCCATAAGGACTACTAAGTTCTGTCAGATTGCTTATATACAATATGAGGATTTTTTTAAAATCATAAAAGAGGATCCAACAGAGGAGGAGAACTATTAAATGCTGAAAGATGAGATGCAATTTAATGAGGAGAAATAAAACTATGGAGAAGTATGCTATATATGTAGATGGACACACCAGTTTATGAAATGTCCTTTCGTATTCTATCATGTTAATCTTGATAGATTGCGAAAGAAGTTCATGATAACAGAGGATAATAAAAGAAAAAGATTTAAAAGATATCTGGACGAAAAAACTAGATTCAACAAATAACTTATACAAGAATCAGCTCTCCAATAAATCGTAGACAACAATTACATACCTCTGGAAGACTTGACTGATCAATATATAGATATGTTAGGCTATGTCATAAATAAGAACTAAAACAATCATATGATAAAGACATTATTAAGTATGAAAACTAACAACACCTAAAACTCCAGTAGCCAGGATTCTGACAAGGAGGACAATCAAATCCACCTAATAAATTAATCAAAAAGTCCTAATCTTGAGAAGAAAGTTTAGTTCCTTCAAATATCCCCTGAATCTAAGGAATTTGGTAAACAGACTTCCAAATTTTAACGCATCAGAGAAAGCAGAAGAACCTTTGTTAAACTATCGTAGATTCAAAATCATCGGGGTAGCTCTGTATCAGCTCTATCTTAAGATCTATCTAATTTGGGATAGGCTTTATAACAAAATTCTTAATCCTCAAACTCCTTTGCAACTTAATTGCAGCAATAGTAAATATGCTAGCCTACTTAATAGATGTAAAAGCATCATGCCAGTATTTCATAAAGATCTAGGCAATTAAGAACAGGAAATTCTAATTCATATCAAAATCTTGACTAACAGGTGGCCCAATTGATTAAAAATTAGTAATAATAGTCAAGGTCGGATTTGAGATAATTTTCACTTTCCATGATTCAGGAAGCTAGCAATTCTAAACTAGAAGAAATTTCTTATCAATCAAGACAAAGAATTGATTTTGATATAGATCAATGCTTTAACACGAAACATTACTTTGTCAATTTCAATTTGGACATCGTCTTAATGAAAGCGAAGAGACCAAAGAAGACTCAAAGACATGCAGCTTAAATCTTAAGTGTTATAGAAAAATCAAAAATTAGACATTAATAGCGCTTGTGAATTGGAAAAAAAATGAAAATTTCAAATATTAATATTGTAATGTTATATTTAAACATTTTAATTGCAAATTCTGATGTTGTTTGTTAGATATGTTATTAAACTAAATAATTGAAAATTTACTATTTAGCTAAAAATAATATTCATTATTTATTAAATATTAAATAATTAATTATAAAAATGGGAAGAAATAAAATTGACATTCAGTATATAAAAGATGATCGTATTAGAAATGTAATTTTATTTAATTAAATGCTTGTTCTACTATTTTTAGAAGCATTATATAATTTATAAACTTATAATTATATTTTAGATAACTTTTAACAAAAGGAAAAATGGATTGTTGAAAAAGGCTTGCGAATTAGCAGTATTGTGCAATATCAAAATGCTTTTATGTTTTACGGATTTAAGTAAAATAAAATATAAATTATTTTTAGGTGGCAATGTCTATTAATTTATGTCCAACGAGAATACCGAAATGGAATTAATACAATCAAATCACAAAAAGATTTTCACAAAATAAGATGTATTTTCAATGCTTATATTTAGTATCCTGGATTCTAAAAAAAGAAAGACAATGAGTCATAATCAGAAGCAGAAAGTGAATTGAGTATAGAATAGAAAAGGACAAGAGCGTAGGAACATTTAAATTAATAACATTTATTTATTTAGTAATCCTAACTTATTTAGCAAAATCAATAATATCAGAAAGGTCAATAACAAATGAGATTGAGAAACAAGGTTTTAGAGAATCACGAAAAACAAATGTAATAAGAATCCAGGAAAATTGTCAAAATTGAACCAAAACAAGAGGAATTTGAACAATCAAAAAATAAAATGTAACCCAAAAGCAAGAAAACAAATGATGAGATTGCTTTCAATGATATCATTGATCATCAGTAAGCTAGAAATTTCGATGATCTCTATTAATGTGGCAATCAATTAGACGATTAGTCAAATTCCCCAGATTAGTAGGATTTTAAATAATAACTATCAATGTTTACATCTTCAAATCCAATCAAATTAATGAAAATGGATAGCTTACTAAATGGCAATAACAATAGCAAGCCCCATAACTTTCTAAGTGATTAATATAATAAGTTCTTCAATAAAGACAGAGTAAATCCATTTACCTATTTATTTAGATTGACTCATTGAATAATAGTAAAGTTTTATAGCCTAGTGTGCAATTCATTGTGCCTCCTCAAGTCTATTTTAGTATCCCACCATCCCCAATTAATCAAGCAATGAATAAGATTTATGTGGGAGTGGATGAACCCATGGATTTCAATTTAGGATAATCTCAGTACTCTGATGGATTTAAGAAATATACTAAATGAACAACAATAATCATTCAAAACAAAAATAATATAAATTTACTTAGTTATATAAATAAATATAAATTTGTCTCCCCAAAATCAAGTTGCAATTCTATTGAAGATGTTATTTCCTTCTCATTTTATATGTGAGATAGGCAGCTATGAAGAATTTATTGTGTATTCATAATAAGTTGATTCAAGTGAACATTATTGATTAAAATAGTCAAAATACTAGATATACCATAAAACGGATTACATTATTATTATAAATAGCTAAGCTAAACTCTTAGCTTTGATATTATTTTTATTGATAGTCTGTTCAATTGACAAAAGCGTGGTGTAAGGGAGAAGAGAAAAAATGTAATATAGAAATGGCTTAAACACATGCTGAAATGAGAGGACCTCTTTGTATCAATGAGTGAGTAATAAAATCAAGATGATTTTTAACAGCAATAAGTGACTTAGAAAATGAATTGACTGCTGAATTGCAATAATTAGAAGAGGATTTAACTAGATCAACTAATAAACATCAAGTTACTTAAAAAACCTAGACATCAATAAAGATTAAACTGAAACCAATATTTTCAATTAAAAAGACTTTATCGAGGCTATCCCATTACCAAACGTAGATTAAACTAATTCAAAAATTGAGAGATTGAATGGTTTAACCGAGATACGTTACCTAGCGAAACACTTGCTAGATAAAATGAACATCAAGCATATTTAGATGTAACATTTAGTTTGTGAACATCAAGAAACATATCCTTCTCAAAGAAAGAAGCCACATGTGTATTGGCTGCTTATTAAGGTAATTGTTCAATTGTATAATTTAGATAAATTAAAATCTACTCAAGAGGCTTTGGCATAAAATGAATAAGATTTACAAAACAAAAAGGATCCTATATGTAAGAATTATAGACAATATGTATAGAGTAGGATAAGGATGCTCAAGCCTAAGAGATCTAAATATACAGTGAACTTAAGTCACAATATCAAATTTAACATCAAACTACAAGAAATGCCAAAGAGTTTGCTAATTCTGCTGAAGTCAGTACAGTCATTAGAAACAAGTTAAATTCAAGAGGACTAGTTTGATAAATGGCATATTCATTTATAAATTGAATTAAATTTAAACAGTGATAATGATGATAAACAAAAGTACCAATCACAATATATTTAATTTTTAATATTAAATTTTTATTATCAAAATGATAAAAAACCTACATAGGACTGTTATTATTAGAACATCCAATAGTCGTAAACAATCAACTTCATCCAATGATTCCGATAGCACTTCAACTAGATCAGAAATTAAATTTAAATAATCAACATATATTTAACAGCCTCTTTAACCTTTGAAAGAGGTCAGCGAGCCTAATACTCCAGATACTTTGAAAATTCCACAAAATTAGAAGGTTTCTTCGAGAAAGTCGAGATTCTAAAAGCCTGCACTCGAGATCAAATAAGACAGCAGTTCCTCTTCCGACTCAAGTTCAGATGCATCAGAACATAATATTTGGAATGATGATGAAATACTATTGAAGGGAGTTCATTTAGGAGATTTCTCATATTTATCACCAACAGATGAATTGCAAATGCTCTACAAAATACGATTTGAAACTTACCCAAAAAAAAAGGAGTAGATCTCAGAGGAATAGTTGGCATTAGAAACATAAAAATTAATCAATAAATTGAAACTTCATTATTTAAAATATAAAAAGATCCTGCCTCTTGAGAATCTCAAGGATTATACTTAGTAATACAACATTAATGATGATTTGAATTATATGAGATTTTGGGATTATTTCAGAGTTAGGACAAACCATAGAAAACACAAACAGCTTATCATGCCAACAAAAAACACTAAAGAAAATAGAAGCCAATAGCCCTTAAATCCAACAATTCGAAGTCAATAGCGAATTAAAACTGAATATAGAATTAAGAGTTTGAATACAAGGAGATTATGATAGAATTGATAATATTTACTTTCATTATTATTATTAGTACACTTATTAGAGATTCTCTCAGCAGTCTGAATATATAGAGATGATTGTATGAAAACAACCACTCCCTATATCGGTATTTATCATCAACTAATCTATTATATGTTTAAGTTTATATATTTTTTAAATTACGAAATGTATTAACTTAATCTTTTACAAGAAGTACTAGATGAATGATTGAATTAAATTGCCTTCATCTATTACATACTTTATTCTCAAACATTAAATAATTTATTATATTACACACTATTCAAACTATAAAATAAAATGTATGATATTATAAATAGGCTTATTAAACAACCAAACTGAGGTTTCAAACCCTTTGATTTTCTTTTGGGTCATTTTAATTTTAATATTTTAAGGATAATAATACTTACTGTATTATCAGTTTAGATTCTAGGAGGTGATGGCTTCTCAGACCAAGGCCAATAAGTTTAAAGGAGTATCAAATCCTAATTTGATTAGTGATGTGACCCCTAAAATCAAGAAAGAACAAATAGATCGAAGGGTGCTTTTGTAATTAGAGTAAGGGACCTATACATTAAAGAATGTATGAATGCCTGAATTTCAAGTTATCATATTGTAGATATACTAAGTAGCCTATTAATGAAGGATCATTAGTATCATAACCAGCTCTTAATTTTGTAACCTCAACACTTAAAAACAATTTACTTTTTTTTTAATTTCGATTACTATTTTTAAATTCTAAGTAAATTCAATTCTAATATAAATTTAATTTCAAATTTCGAATGTCCATATATATATAAGTGATTTTTCACATTATTGATCTCAAAATCATGATAATTCTAATAGAGTTGATGAGTCTCAATTAAAGTATATTATTCTTGATTTAGCATAAATTAAAATTTCTAATTTCATTTTTAAGAATTTCAATATTTTATTATATTAGCACCGATTACTTTTATGGCTTTCAACAATATTAAAACAATTTTCTTGACTGATATAAACAAAAAAAAATTAGCAATTCTGCATTAAAAACTGAAGAGATTTAATGATATCATCTTATTTAATATTAAAAGGCGATAAATAAGAATAATTAAAAATATTGTAAGGTAGTTTATCTCTATAATAAATTATGCAGGGAACTAAATCTATTAAAAATACTTAGTTCAAAATTTGATCTCACTTTAGATACCTAAACTTTAACTCTAAATGTACATCAGAATGAAATTTAAAAAAAAAAAAATAAAGAAAATAATTCTTTCGAATTAGGTTAAATAATAATTTTTGAAATATAGGTTTTACATAATATCGTTTCTTTCATACAATCCTTCTGTTGATGAGTCAAGCGATGTCCAGTATCTATAACCAGGATCCAAACTTTCAATTTAGGAAGGGGAACAAAACTGGTTTAAAAATTCGTTGAGCCCTGTTCTGAATATCGACTCTTTCATTTTATCATCAAGGATATTCATACCTAATATTCTAATTTGTAATCAGTAAGCTTCTTTTTTTATTGATTACCGACATATAGACTCTATCAGTTCTACAGTCATGAGTCTATGAAATTCAGTATAATAGAATAAGAAGTAACGTACACTAATGAAAATATTTACAAACTCTACAGGACGATCTTATCGCAAAAATATAAATCAAGACGATAAAGTATGTCATTCAATATATTAAATGAATTAAATATATTAATATAGTTTCTTTGGTTCAGTAAAATCAAGAGGCTTCATTATCTCCACTCAAATACTTATTATTATCCACATTGACCAATACGTCATCCTCAACAAAATCCTAAATTTATTAACTTTGCATATCCTTACTTAAGGCTGCTATTGTGTTTCCTTTTCGACTACTTTGTAGAAACTCGGCAATTCATAATGCTTTTGATTTTTTTTTAAATAATCAAAAATAAACACCGAATTTGCAACTTAGATGATTGATTTGCAATCTAATTTCAATTGATCAATTTATAAAAGAGTTCCGAATTTGCTACCTAAATCCTCTAAATAAATTGATTCATCCTCTCTATTAAATGTAATGAGTGCATGGTTTCGAGAGACACTGATATCTTGCAATTTAATATCATTCTCCTATACTCTTCCTATCTTAATATTGGTTCTTCCATTCAAGTTTATCACATACAATCCTTTCTCTTTGTTTTTGTCAATGTGGCTGATCCAAAATATAAAATAAGCTTCTTTTGGTCTGGGAATGTCAATTAGATGATATTTTCTATTCTTAAACTTGTATTCCACTATTTATGTATGAATGTAATGACTTACATTTATATTATTCTTTGCAGATCTCGCAAATGAGATTGGACCAAAAATAAAGGACGATGTTGTTGAGTTCTCTAATCTTGAATTTATTGTGTATCCATTATTAAAGACATTTGATGTGTATGTATTTGACAGATCCAGAACCTGCAATATGTTTAGGTAATACTAGTTACATTGGCAGGGATTAATTAATGGATTTGAGATAGTTCCTACTTTGCTCATACAGATTCGACATGAGTTTTCGGCATTGCTGTTTTCACTGTCATCCAATCCATTGGGATCTTCATCCTTCTCTTTTTCGCTTTCCTCTGTGGCCATAGCCTGATTAAAACAAGCTTCCCACAATATGATTTTTACTCTTCCTAGTCTTATGGTTTATCCAGGAAATAGTTGAACTCTCTTCCATACAAAATTACATATACATTCGTTACTGGAACTCCATTTACTTAGTCATTCCTAACTATGGACCATATATCAGTGATGGGTCTCAAGACTCTCTCCTTGATTACAAACAACTCTTGTGCTCCTTCTATTGTTTGCTATCATTAAATTTATGTTATGTAACATTTGGTTGAACAGCTAAAATGTTTTCTCCATATTTGCACAGTTTTGTGTCTTAAATCAACTACAATTGCTAATAATGAGATTCATGACTGGAGTAGTCATAGAGATGATATTTCTTTTCCTTCTCCTTCCATATGTACACATCAACATGCAATCTAATCTCTTCAATAATACTTACAGTAATTGTTCATTTCTCTTACTACCTGAACAAGCAACGCCCATTTATATAATAATTTTATTTAATAAATAGAAATATCAGCATTATCCAAATAGATTTATAATTAATCTCGATTAAATGACATAATGAATGAGTTTTAGATCTCACTCAGTAAAATTACATTACTTCTTTCATTATTTCAGAGCAATAACAATCAAGTTAAAAGGAGTTGATGAGAGAAGAATGTAAACAATTTTTGCTTTGAAAAGTAAAGTCGATACCATCATTAAGGGGGATGCTAAGTTCTGAATGAAATTTAGAAACATTTAATTAAGCTTTAAATAAATTCTAATACTCCTAGAATTATGTTATTTCTAAATAAGATCAATAATAAATTTCATCTTATAGGGATTGGGGGACAGCAATTGTTATGATTGGTAATAAAAAGGGACTAAGGAGACAAGTGATTTTGTTTTTGTATGGAAAGAATGGGTTATTGAGATTTTTGTATGTTATTTAATTTAAATAAGATTTAAATTATTTTATTATGGCAGAAGTCGAACAATTATCAGAGGAACTCACCACCTTAAAGAGAGTTGTATAAACATCATTACACAGAGGACAATTGGCTAAGGGAGTCCATGAAGTCTGCAAGGCAATTGAAAGCAAATAAGTATTGTAATTGAAGGAGTGTAGGCCAAATTCGTGGTGTTAGCTGATGATTGCACAGAGGACACATACAAGAAATTGGTTATTGCTTTGGCAAAATAATTCCAAATTCCAGTTTGGAAGGTGGAGAAGGGTGCTTTACTTGGAGAATGGATTGGCATTTCAAAGTTCCTTACTAAGACAAAGAAGATCAAATCAAGAAAATGTTCGTCTGTAGCAGTAAAGGACTTTGCAATTGAGGTCAGCGAGAATGAAAAATAATTTGTCGAAGATAAAATAAAGGCATTGTGAAGTTATCTAGTACATATATATACATTAAAATTATTAAATGGATAAATTCAGCATGGATGAGAAAGCTCTTGATCTTCACATCTTCACTCCTGAGGAAGCCAAATTGGGTCCATACACCTACCTAAACATCAATTACCTACCTCACCTTGCTTCTCATATTATGCATAAGATATCTCACAAGGAATTTTGCTCATTGATTGAGTTTGAACTGCAAACCTACTTACTAGAGTTAGCAATCTAGCCACAGAAAAGCAAGACCATTAAAGAATTGACAAGCTATATCATCAGGGAGATGAGACTCAGTTCAAAGTTTTGGATTCACGGGAGTGAAGCTTGGAATGAAGTGCAATTGCGTTTAAAGTTGTTGCACACTCTGGAACCGAATTGCAGTTAGGAATAAGTGAAAAAGAGTGGAGGCAAGAAATCATTATCAGAAATACTTCAAGATGCCCATGCCCTCAAAAAATATTTGGCCTCCTTGGACTTCTCAAAGGTGGATTACAAAAGCGAATTCTTGAAGATTCCTGAAGTGATAGCCTTGATCTCAGAATATGATCAAGCCAAGTAACAAATATCATCCTAAAATTTAGCTCTCAAAACAAACAGCTCCAGGCCATAGATTCATACAATGAAATCATCCAATCTCTTGTGGAATGCAAACAGAGAAAATATCAATTGAAATTGCAATAGCAAGTCGATCATGTGAAGAATTAACCTGTTGATCTGATGAGCAGAGTCTCCTACATCCAAAATAAAGAGACCAGATCTGCTAAGACCGATTAAGTATCCTATAGAGACAGAAGAGTGATGATTAAAGAATAGTAGAGAATGGATGTCGATGAGAGAAGAACCATATTCGTCCCAAATCAAGTCTATTGTTATTATAAAATTGATTTGGTGATTCTACCCTACATATACAGATTCATCTTTGGAGAGAATTGCGAATTCACACGATAGCATTTGAGAATCTAGAATTTAGTGTTGTATTTGTGTTTAAGCGACCAAGAGAATTATAAGTAGAATAAACAGAAAAAGAACATCATTTTAGATGATAATGCTGAATCTAAGACATCAATGAAGTTATTTTAGAAGTATTTGGATCAATCAAAGGATAAGTTAATGACAGATTTTGAGTCGTACTGCAAAACTCAAAACATCAGTTTAAAGAATTATTTCTCAAGCACTCCTGCCAGTTATAGGAAGGAGTTACTCTTAATCAGAAACATTCTTATCCTATCATTCAGATTTGCCAAATAAATCTTAGGAATTGATTACAATTTTGAGGATCAGAAAATCAATCAATTGGATTACGAGGAGGAAGAAAAGAATGATAAGTCTCACAATTCTTATTAAAAATGGAACAAAGCAGACATGTAAAATGATTACTACTATTTCAATGTGCTTGCGCAATTAGAATTGTATTATGATATTCCTTTTGATTAATATGACGATATCCTCAGAGTCTACAAGAATTACATTGAAATTGTATACACTTCTAAGAAGGAGCATTTCAAGGAATACTTTGGAGTCCTCAAGACCAATAAGGATGGCCTTTTAGGATTGAAATCCTCTTTGGAATAAGTCAATTCAGCCATCGATGAATATCTAAATTATATCAATGCTCCCAAAACTCAGTAGAAGAGGTACTTCTTATTTCTTATAGTTCTTAGATCCTACATATATCATAGTGATAATAGGGAGGAATGGAAGGATGAATAATATAAATAATTCTTGGAAGGACTGTACAAATATTTTGAAATTGTAGTAAATAATAAGAAGATTGCCAAATTTATGGGTGAGGTCAATCCCAATCACGTCAGATTCATTAAAGGGTAGTATCTGAGGGGATTGAAGAAGAGAGCAAAGGAAAAGAATATTAACAGAAAGGAATTGTTAAAATAGGATATTGAAAACTTTGATATTTCAATTTTTGAGAAGAAATGATTCTTAGAATATATTTATTTATCAACAAAGTTCTCCATCTGTGTATCCAACTATCTTATCACAAGCAGGACAATAATGCGTTTTCGAAGAACATTTCTACATGCAAAATGGCAATAGACCCAAAATTATTGTGCAAAAGCATAATATACAACACCATATAAATGTTGCTTTGCTATATGTATATTCTATCCTTGATATTCTTGGTTGATTGCACGTAAAACAATAAAATTCACTCGGTTCTGATCTTATAATACATTCCATTAATTTTATACATTCCATTCAATTTAGTTTTGTATTTGAAATTTATTTATGATTACACAACATTCTCATCCATCAAGTGTGAATGCTCTGACATTTTTTATGAATAAATAAATTTATAATTTAATATTTATCAGCTGACTCAGTTCAAGCAAAATCTAGACTATTAAAAATACAATTGGGTAGTGGTGATACATAAAGAGTGGGTTGATCAAATTAAATAAACCAATACTAGAATATATTAATTAATCAAATAAAGATATGGAATTTTGTTGTTCTGATTAAATCAATATTAAGGGAATATAGATCAATATATTGATACCTAAGTATATATTTGGATAGATAAACAACCTAGGGGTTATGATGTAATTAAATTAATTAAATTTACTTAATATTATCAATTATCAGAAAACTTTTTATATTTTGGAAATTATCTCGCTATTCTTAAATTTAAAAGGTAAAGACATCTCGACATAATTCAATTAATATTAGTTTAAATTCAATTAATATCACTGAATTCTCTTGAGTTTTGAAAAGGCTTGCAAAATGGAATCAAATTCGATAAATTTTTTTTAATACAATACAAATGTTGAAACTTGAATTATTATTATTTATGTTAAAGAAAAGATTTCTCTTCATTTTTGATTTTGACAATACCATTGTTGATGATAATACAGACACCTACATTTGGAAATTGCTCCCAGATGGTCATAAAAGCTTGCCTCCATAATTTGAGAAAGAAAAGCATTGGAATAAAGTTATGAGAAAAGTCTTACAATTTTATTATCACAATGACATAAGTGTTCAATAGATTAAAACTTGTTTGCAAGAAATGGAGTTAACTTAAGGATTTAGGGAATTGATGAATTTCATTAGGTAACCATCCATTATTATTAACATTAGAAAAAATAAAGATTAAATTGAATGCATTATTGCTAGTGATTCTAATACATTTTTCATTGATTCTATCTTAGAAAAACAAGATCTTAAGGATGTCTTTGATAAAATTTACACTAATCCAGTGTAAATTATTGATGATATGGAAATATCAATCTTCCCATATCACAAGAATGAATGTGAATCAACATGTCCCAGAAACATGTGCAAGAGAACTATCATTTTAGATAATTTTTAATTGAATAACTATGAAAAAGTTTGCTATTTTGGAGATGGCAAGAATGATTACTGTCCAGGAACATTATTGAGAAAGGAGGATATCATTTTTGTCAGGAAAGGATATGGCTTAGAAAAATTGATCAAGCAAAATGACTTAGAATGCGAGAAAGTGTATTTTGAATCCGGAATAGATTGCATCAACAGATTGTAGAATCTATAGCTGTGATTTCATCAAATATATATTTAAGTTGCCATTATAATTATAAACATAATCTTAGTCTGTTGATCTCTTTAAAAACCTTGATCAAATTATGATAATAGCATTTTTTGATTGATTAATAGATTAATTGCAATAATATTATTATTATACATTTTTCAATAATGGATTAATAAAAAATTATAGATGACTCAATTGCTTTAGATGTCCAATCACCAAAATTAAATAAATTATTCATAGTGTGTTCGATTAATAGTAAGGATCCATTTACAGATCCTGAGACTATTTAAGTAGATTTTATAAGTAGATATTCATCCATTAATTATCAAAGCTTAAAAATCTGAGACTCTAATGGCATTGAAGATTCCAAGAATGTTTGCATATATTGGACTTTCAGGCACCAAAGCTGTTTAGAGTAAATAGCATGAAGAATAACCAAATCAATATTTAACTTGTTTCAGATTATTAGATGCAGATAACTTAATTGGAGGTTATATGGATGGCAGAATAGTTTAAAAATAGATCTCCACATAGCGAATAATTAAAGAATTCAATCGGCAGAATTAAGAATCTATTATCAAGAAGAGACCCTTGAAAATTCATATTTTCCAAAAATATTTTGTTACTCTTTTTTTAGAAGGGGTCGTTTGTATTTATCATTAAGATCATTAAATGTTCAAATTTTCAAATGAATATGAAAAAGTAATGCAATTGTCATTCTTATATCATAAATCTTAAGGTAATATTAAAATTCTATATAAGTAAGTTAGAAAACGTTAAAAAAATTTGAAACAGCACCTAATTTTCATTATCACTTTTTAAATTATGGGGAATTTTCAAATTTTTAGTACTGCTAGCAAAAGATGAACCCTCTTTTTTTATTTAGATTCGAATCCATGTCAATTAATGATATTGAGATATTACCTTTTAGTCCTTTGGAACATCTAAACTAACCTGAGCAACGAATGGAAAAGGGGTAGTGTTTAGCGATAAGTGGACTAGATGGATATTTTAGATTGTTAGATGCTCTAACTAATAAACCATTATTCTCATTTAAAACTGAATATTGTGGGATTTGTTCATTTTCGTTTAATCCAAATTTCAGCAGTGTAAGAAGAGCTAGTTAAATAGGTTTGTTTAGGAGCCTAGGATGATTCTGCTTATGTGATAAATTTCAATACAAAAGTGTCATGGATACGATTGCTGGGTCATAATTCATTTATTTCTAGAGGAGTGTTTAGTTCAATAAGTGCAACAGAGTTCAGGATAATATGCGGATGCTATGATGGTACGATTTCAATAACAGATATTGATTTAAATTAATTTAATCAAGAAAATAGTCTATTTGTTAAGGCATAAGAGAAAGAGAAAGTGTTATAAGTTAAGAACATTCAAAGTGTGTCATAAGATGGAGTTGCAAATGTGGCAGAGTATTAGAATTATGTTGTTTGCATTAATTTTGATGGAGTAATTAAAATTTTTCTGTTGTAATGATATATGGATAAATGGTTATTTCAAAACAAGACTCCCTTCTCTTGATAGTTAAGTGGCCTAGCTGAATTTGGATTAGTGTATCTTCGAATGAAATCTTGCAAGATTAATTCTGAGTCTTTGAAATCTGTGGCTGCATGATCATTTGCTTATCTATGAACTCTGCATAATGTTTCTTTGTAATCCTCATACCACCAGACAAATCTTTTGATGTCTACATTAAATTCTATAGTTTTAACCTTCATGTTCTAATAAAAATTCATTTTCTTTGACCAATTCCTATGCTCTCAATTGAACATACTCATCAAACAAGTTCACTTTGGTAAGTTCTGATTTGTACTCGAAATAGATTTTGCCAAAGATCACACACTAAACAACTGGGAACAGGTATCGAAATGTTCTGAATCTTATGTTTTGGGTTATCACATTGTAATTGTAAGCATAGAGGAACTTTTCATTATTCAATTTAAATACCAAATTAATTCCAAATGCCACTGCTTAGTATCCAAACTTATTATATTCGATTACAGGATAAGTCATATCATCCTCCCATTCAGCTAAACAATCATATGATATTTCATACGGTCTTATGAACTGAGACAGAAGGCATTGAACGGTACCTTTGGTTGAGTCCATCCTGCTGTTTCAATCAATTCCACCATTTTCTTTATTGATTTATAACGCTTCAAACGAGCTTCTCTAAATGATTATCTAAGAGCAATTACCTGAATGGTGGTAAATTCTGATTTCTCAATCCAAGCAAACTGATTATTGTGAAATAATTATCCATTTATTTTTTATTTATGAATAAACATCCATAATCTAAAAAACCTATTAATTGGTTAGATGAAATCAAATAAGCCCAGGACCCAGTGGCACTATCCAATCTATACATTAAAAACTTAAAGGAAGGTATTCATCTAAATTATTCTTAATGAACTAAGAATACTCGAATCACAAAACAAATCATTAAAAACCACATTAGGAGTATATGATTTCGAAGCCAAAAAAAGACCCTAATCAGGAATTGAAAAGATGGCTAACTCACAAATCAAAAAAATAGAATTGGGACAGAAACCATCAGATTTTGCTAAATATCCGTAAATGCTATATTCAATAACCCTTAGAACCAATTAGAAATTGAGTAATTTGTTTGTTGATGAAAGTGCCTTTGGTAGTTCTGCAGTCAGAATCGAATACATTAGAGAACTAGAATTTTTGGTTGATGCATTGAAAAAATAGAATGCAGAACTCTAAACTCAAATCTAAATCAAAAAGCCTAATCTATAACAGAGTTCGGTAGTTGTACCCAAAAAGTACGAAGGACATGATTGTTTGAATGATTAGATACTTGTCTAAAAATCAACTCTAGTCAATGTAAGCAAAATTACAACAGCCAATGAGTTAACCTAAAAAAATAAACTAAAACCAGACAATTCACTTAAGGATAGGTAATAGACATTTTATACATTAGATAAATACAAAATTTAATAGAAGAAAAGAAACTCTTAGAATAAGAAGTTGCAATGTATAAGGAAACCTTTAAAACTAGATAAACAAAAAAAGAAGGATTTGATGCTGACAAAATGGTCAAGAAGTTCGATAAAAATTCAATTATTTATGGGGCCAAATTGAAGTACCTTATACAAGACAAACATGATGAAGAAATTAAAGAGAAATATTTATAGGCTTTATTACAGGAGACATTTTTATTATAATAATAATTATAGAGAATCTAGGAAGAAAGCAAATACTATGATCCTCATAAAAAAACTGAATATTGACAATATCATTTTCAAAAAGTGAATTTTTTATTTAATTCTAACTTCCTCTCTGTACTCTTTTAATCACTTTATAAAGGATCTCTAATGATTATTACAATTTTTAGCCCTCTTGAAAACAAGCCTTAATAATATTAGATTTGTGTATGCTTGAACAGTAATAAAGAATGATCTTACTAAAACTCCATTATCTAATAAGAATATATTATATATTGAATTAAAGGCTTAAATATTGTGAGGTTAGGAAAGCAAAATCCAATAATTGGCTGATAAATTGAGGTAGAATATTTCAATAAAACAAAATAAGGAAACAGCAAATATAATAATGTTAGATAACTTGACCTCTAAATCCCTATTATACTGTTTTTGAAATCACAAGCTTCCAAATGATGAATAAATCAAATTTTAAGACAACTTATATTTCAAGGTTAATTGAACATACTCCATGAGTCAACATTTCTTCATTGTTATGATACTTCATGCTTGCAATGGTATCTTCTTGGAAACTAAGTTAAACATTATTAAATGAAAAAGTTTATATTATTAATAGGTATAAGGAGAAAGGAGTCATTATTACAAAAATGCATTTTTATAAGGGGAAATGCAAATTAAAAAAAAATGTCATCTGAACTTCAAAACTGAATTCTTGTTTGGTGTTACAGTGGTTAATATTTTCTAAACATTTGTAATTTGAATTACCTAATTGGAACTTGATTTTTAGAGTTCTTAAAAGGGACTCCTTCCCGAAGATGACGAATTGCCTCCATTCCGCTTTATGTTCTTCATTGGAGTTGTGTAAGCAGTAAGCATTCCTTAAAAGAATATGAAATCTCAAATTACTTGTTTGACTTTCCGTTAGATTCTCGCTAAATATATGTGTTGGTTTCTCATCTTCAGCATCCTCTTCACGCACAACTTCCAAGTACTTGTAACTTTGTACAGGCAATTAAGAACTTTATGGACTCTAGTACTAGTTGTTAGGCATCATATTAATTAAAATTTGAATTATATTAATGGATTATATGGAACTGAAAGATTTAGATTTTTCGAAGTTTGAAAGGAACTTTCACAGAAAAACTATGGTTACAAATGAAGAATACTATTCTCCACTCTATGAAGTTATTAAAATGAATGACAGTCAATGAGAATAGTTAAATCTCTATAAAATGGGAAGATTTCTTCAAATATTATTTTTAATATTCTGAAATAAGATATAGAAAAATAAATGATGCCAAGACTAATCAATCTCAAAATTAAATTTATTCCATTTTATAATAGAATTTTATAAGACTTACAATTATAAGAAATTCATGATTGTTTAATGTTTAATTCCTCAATATTATCATCACAATACATTTCATTTCATTTAATAAATTTATCATCTAAAATTGTGAATAGTTTAATTAATTATAATCAATCTCCTCTTCTTGTTTGATGAGCTTTTTAGTGAAAGATTTGTAAAGAAAAATTATTTATATATCAAAATTGCTCAAGCTACTTTTTATTTATGATTCTTCCTCCCCTATAAATCAACTCTCTTACCATATCTCCAGATTCCCCTTTCATGTGTATTGTTGGGATATATTATAATCCCTTATCCATCCATTAATCCCTCTTTCCACATCCCCTTGTAAATCTTACCATCCTTATAATAATACTCTCCATAACCATCTCTCAGGTTATTTACATAATTTCCTACATACCTTTTGCCTCCTGGCCAAATAAATATTCCTTAACCATTCATCATATTATTCTACCATCCTCCTTCAAATCTTTTCCCATCCTGCCATGTCAAAATTCCTTTCTCTGATGTAATACCTCCAATCCATTGTCCCTCAAAAACATATGAATCTCTTATACTAAATAATTTTCCATGACCGTGTCTCTCATTGTCTTTAAATTATCCCATAAAAATGGTGCCATCAGGCATTTATTCCTTACCCATTCCATTCTTTAAACCTAACACCCACTCTCCTTCATATATGGTATTAGCTTAATTAATATTTTAAATATAAAAGCCTTCCCCATGATATAATCCTTATTTGAATTATCCTATATATGCATTGCTATTTCCATAAATTATCCTTCCATTCCCATGATATTTATCATCCTGCCATTAACCTTCATAAAGGTAGTTATCATTTATTAATAAACCAAATCCCTCCCTCTTCTTTTTGAACCAATCACCAATATAGATGGATTAGTCAAAGAGTTAATATGGTTATTTGTTCTATAGGAAACCCTCATAAGGACCAAGATATTTCCATATTCCCGCTATTCTTAAATTACTAATCTATATCTATTTGTCTTCATAAAGAATAGCCTCTTATTCTGTAGGATGATGCTGATTCAATTCAATTTTTAGATCATCCGAAATTTAGATTACAATGGGATGCTATTGATCTTCAATGACAAGCGGTATTATTCTCAGTTTGCTTCTGCATTCATGAACATCTATAATTTTATCGATTGTTTTATTATCTAAACTTAGGGATTATCCTTCATTTAATGAATTCTATCCTTAATCCTTAAAGACCGACTATTGATTAAAGGTAGATTAATTTAAATTGCCACATTCTTAATTATCAGGGTCATATTTTAAAAATTGGAGATCATTTTCTAAGTAAATGTCATTCTCTAAAATATACTTTTTGAAATTCATACATTATTATGCAAATTGAGATTAGATTTTATATTAATAGACAATAGGGAGAGTTTTCTACTCAGTCCTTTTTGATTACGCTTTTTAATTAATTGAAATTTAATCCATTATTTTTTCTTTCCTATTATCCTCATTACTAATTGGTGGCTTTTCTATTTGGTTAAAAATTAGTTTACTTATGTCCTTCGAGTTGTTGGTTCCCATTTAATTAATAATTTTAATTATCTCATTAAGATTAACTAATTCATAATGAATTAATAAATAAATATGGAAATTCAAATAATTTTTTATATATTTATTTTAGTTTTAAGAATTTCGACTTAGTTTTGATCTTCTTATGGTTTAGTAATTCTAACATAATTTACCTATGTGTATGAAAGTAAGAGGACATATCCTAATAATATCTAATAATGTGATATTGTAATGATTTTAAAATAATTAAGCATATTATTAATAAAATTAATTTAGTGTTAAATTATATATTTAAAATATTACACTCATTTTCAAAGCAAATTATTCGTTATTCTTCTTCAAAAAGTAGTAAATTATAGATAAAATAGTCTAATATGATTAATCAAGTACTTAAAAATAAAACAAAGAGATACATACAATAAATATTACTATGTACTATTAAATTAAACTCAGATAAATATAAGAATCTTAAATAATCTGAAAATCATAAAATGAATTGTAATATTACAATTGAAGTACAATCGACTAAGTTATCGTTTTCTGATTGGGATATTTTGGAAACAGACTTAGAAACTCATACTTCATCACCGAAATAAGATGGATTTATCAATCAGATTCAAAGACACAAATTTGTTATCGGAATCTCGAAGCCATAATAATAAAGAATTGGACTGTCTTCAGTCAATTTAAATAAAATTACAATCAAAGGAATCCTAGGGATATCTAATTCTCAAATCTGATTCACTATATCTGTATATATTCGTATTCAAAATTAACATATTTTAGATTGATAAGTTTATGTATTTTTGAGATAGTTTTTATTTGTAATATCCATACCATTCATGATTCTCAATTACGTGCACCAAAAAATGGCATAAGAATCAAAATCTCATGCCAGTTTTAGTGGAATCTATTAAATGACCAAAAAGTGGTTATTTCAAGAAGTTAATTTCTTTAGACACATAATTATATCAATCATGACTTAGAAAACCATTCACTTTGATATATATCAAAATTCAAGCTAAATTAATTAAATTCGTTCCAAACACTCCAAGTGTTTAAATAAAATAAGCAATATTTATAGATAAATAGTAAACACTTATATTGCTATTATAGAGTGTAGTATTATCAAAATTAGTAAAGATGTCGCACTCTTTCTTTAAATATCAATAAATCAAATATAGATTATTAATGTCTCATTTTTTAAATAATTCAAGTACAAAAATTAATTTTTTTGTTCTTCTTCTAAATACAATTAAAATCAATTTGAAACAGTTATCTGTTAGACATAATCAAGTTAGAGATCTAATTTTTATTGAAATTCATAAAGAACTATTAAAAATTTGATAAAAAAATAACTTTATATATTCTGCAAAATTATGTACGTTATGATGAGTAATCAATAAACACCACAAAGATTGATTTTGTCAGAAACTTTAAGCACTTTACAAATCAATAAAAGATATAATAATGAATATGTGTGAATATGTGTTTATTATCATAAAATATTATTACATGAAATCCCAACGATCAAATGAATAATCTTTAATTCCATATGTAATTTAAGATGAATAATATTCTTATTTTTTGTGCAGATTGTATTACAATTTAAAGAGCCTAAATCAAACAATTATTTTGCCGAATAATAAAATTGATTATCAAATGTCACCAACTCTATAAATTAAACCATGAACTTGATTCCTGAAAAATATATAAAAAATCATTTTGAAATCGTACTACTTACACAACAGAATAAAACATGTGTTTAATAATACCGCAAGGTAAGAAACAAAAATAGTGTAATCTAAGATTAGAAAAGGAGTAGATGAGAGTTTTGTTTTTTTACTCATATTTCAAATTTGTTGGGCACTTTTATATTCTATTTTTCTTTCCATAACTAACTATTTGATATCTTGATAATAAACCCCTCAAGATTTAAACAAATTTAGCTTATTTGATTTTTTTCTGGTAGGATAAGCTTCCATTCACTAATAGCCTATTTGAATGTTTGATCAAATCACATCGTTATCGACACAATCTAGAAGAGGTTTTATGGTTTCTAAAGCTATATTGGATTGAATTCTTAAATTTCAACTGGAGGGGATTAGATTCATATTGATTAATTACATAATGAAGATAAGTCTTAAATTTTATCAGTTATAATTTAATGACAATTGAAAAATAATTATAAAATATAGTATTCATAACTGGATCAATGTAAATAAAATTAAATAATATTATCATTTCTAAATGGCTATCTTATCATACGAAATAGTTTTGACTTTAACGGCCTTCTTATTGTATTATCTGTACTACAAAAAGTTCAAATTCTTCACCATTATTGAGAAGTTGGACGAGAAGAATGTAAGGAACAAATTACCAAGAGGAAAGTGTCCACCATCTTATCCTAATGGTTGGTACCGTCTTTGCAGATCAGGAGAGTTGTAACCAGGGTAAAATGTATTTTATATATTAAATAGAGAAGTAAAAGAAATTAAATTGTGTGGAAGACACATCGCATATTACAGAGGAACTGATAAATAAGTATATGCCGTGGCTGCCTATTGTCCTCACATGGGTGCCAACTTGGGTATCGGTGGTTAGGTGAAGTTTCGTTCATGCATTGAGTAATGATATTAAGATAATCTTAAAAAGATGTCCATTCCACGGATGGACTTTCGATGGGAAAAGTGGTTTGTGTGTCAATTCAGAGCAACTGGAGCCAAAGATAGTCACAACTTATTGTTATCCAGATATAGAAAGAGTGACTAAGAATTAAAAGGGAGAATATATACAAAAGATTGCAGAGGGGGAAGTCAAAATAAAAACATACTTGGTGAAGGAAATAAAAGGAATAGTGTATATTTGGTTACATTCCAAGGAGGCCAAGCCGTAAAACTATTAATGCTATATTATAGATGGTACGATGTAGTAGGTGAGGAGAGTGACCATTTGACTCTAAGAGCAGAGAGTATCAACTACGTGAATTGTCACATTCAAGAAATCCCAGAGAATGGGGCTGACATGAGACATTTCGATTATATTCATGCATCTGCCATGGATATCATACCCCCTTGGTTGGTGAGTTTGAAATGGGAAATGAAAACAAAGAATGCCAAGGATTCAGATTTCTTAAAAGAAATGACACATCCGGTCCCCAGATGCAGATAATATTAAAAATAGCTTTTCGATTAATATTTCAAAAACAAAGAATTGATTCCATACTTGAATGTACTCCTTTTAGATGGATATGTGATACTATTCAACAGATTTAAATTCCATGCCATTTGGGCTACTGGATTCTAGATGGGTCCTTCCACTGTTGCATTATATGTCAAGAGTGCCATATTCGAAGTCTTGTTTAAATAATCAATTTAACCTGTGGAGAAATTCACTTAAAAAGTCTATCATACAGTATTTACCAATGGTTATTTGCCCTATTGGTTTTCTGCTTATTTGCTTCATGCAGAATTGAGATAAGTTCTGTTTGATGTAAAATTGTGGAATGCCAAAATATTCTCAGAAACACTCAGATACAATTTGAAGACCTATTCTGACCAAGCCTTATTATAATGGAGATAATGGTATTCCCAATTCTATGATGGGGCAGCTGAGTTCGAGAAAGGTTTAGATATATTAGAATGGTGATATTATTCTTAATACGCAATAGAAGAATATATATATTTAATCATCTAAACTAGTTTCTGTTTTCAAAAAGATTTCTATTTTAATTAGATTTAATGATCTATTTGAGAGTAAGGAATCATAAATTTATTAATCCGAGAGGTAATATAAATTTAATGGTTTTCACTCTCCTAATATTATATATATAAATAAATGTTGAAAATTATAAAATAATTATACATTCCTGTCTAATAATCCTTAAGATCAAAATTATATGTAGATTCAGTTCAGTAAAATCATTATTTTATTTTGATATCCTTGTAATTTTTAAACTATTTAATCTTGATTTATCATTTAAAAAGTATATTCAATTATTAGTTTAAATATCTAAGGTGTTGATATTTTTTTGAACAAAAACTTCCTAACTTTTAGTAATTACAAGTAGCAACAATTTCTTTGGATGAGAGATTTTAATATAAAATCATCTTAATTATTAGTGGAATATAACTAGGCTTTGCAGTTAGAAAATAGCACCAATCATAATTCTTCATCATGAAGAATATTTTTAGCTTATGGATAGTAATAAGGGTTGAATTCTATCAAAAATTATATTAAAAACAGAATTACTCTACTTCATGAAATCATAATTAAACCATGCGAGAAGGTTATCAATTAGTGGAAATTCTAATTTTTACAGGTTAACTTATAGTATTATTCTTGGGAATAACTAGTGAACGAACAAATACATAAAAGAAAAGTCATAAAGGATGGAACAATTACTTAGGGATTGTTATTTATCAGATTTTTATTCGATTCAAATATTATAACTCAATAAATTATCTTGCCAGTTTACTTATCTAAATTATATTTTGATATTTATTTATATGTATGTATTTTTATATAATATGATTGTATTTCAAAATTACTCAAAACTCTCAATCTAAAACATTAAATTTTCAGTAGCATCTTGAGCCACTGATAACTACTTCAAATAGTTCTCTGCATATATTTTAATTACACTTACTGGGTTGAACTACAATAACGTGAAGCAGATCTTAGATAATTAAGTCAGGATGTTGATTTTTTATCTTCATTACAACCAAATACGTACCTCCTTATTCTCTCTTCTTAAGTTGTGACTTCCTTTATTTCCTCAACCAAGGCATCGTACACAGCTTGAACAACAGAGGCTTCTATGAAATCTGCTGTCTACAAGACCTTGTTGTCCTTAATGTTATACATCAAAAAGTGTTTCTTATTCTAAACTGCCACATGAATCAAAGAACTAACAGTAATCAACTTTCTCAATGGGGAAGCATCCAAAAACTCTATACACTCTATATAGGATATTAAAAGTACTAAATTAATTATCTTTTAACTCCATTTAATTAGTTATTCATAAGCATCATTAGATTGCACCTTATAGTTGCTTTTGTTTGCCTATATCTCTAAAGCCTAGCACCAAAGCAATCTATTTTAAGTGCTTTATCTTAATAGACCAATAATGGTCTCATTATTTTAGATCTCATTTGCATTCCATACACAATTAATATGAATTTACATAATTTTGTATATAGCTTACACGCTGTTACGATTAATCAGATGAGTTAACTCTTACTCTTCTATAGTTTATAAATTCTATCAATTATTAAAAAATTGCCTACATTTTTTTTCACAGAGTCCTCAAAGATATTGTAGAATGTGTCATTATGTGCCTTAATGACATCTTTTAATTTTTGGTACTCCTGGCTCCTCATACTTTCGATGGTCTTAGCTAAAAAGGAAGAATAAGGTCTGAATTCAAGTATTCTAGGTGCTTCTTGAGGTCTTTGATATTTCATAATAAAATTTTCTATGACGTCTTGGAGATTTGTCTTTCTGATTTGATCATTCAGTTTTTCGGTGTCTTGCAATGACTACTTCGAAATGGAAGACTCAAAAAGAAAGAGTTTCATCAAGGTGTCCTTTTGCACAAGCAGTTTTTATTATTCTTGTTACTCCATCTAAGATAAATAGCTTTCCATCTTGGTTCTATAAACATCAATGAATTCATTATAGGAAAGTACGATAATCTCGAATTCCTTTTCCAACTTAATACATTCTGATTAGATTTACTGAGTTCTGTCGATATATTTAAATATAATTACTTGGATACTTGCTTTATGGTTTTGTCTTCTGAAATATCAAGACTGTATTAATAAATCATATCTTAAATCCCTGATTACTCTAACTCTCGTGCCTACAACTTATAGTCCAATTTTCCTCCCATTAAGTCATCCTATTTATCTTACAAATCCCATTCAAGACCTTTCATCTCGTCAATAATCTTCCTTTACACTTGATTTTAATTCTATAAGATTTCTTTGACCTATTCAACTATTTCTGATCTGATGAAATCTACGAAATTCTCCAACCTTTCTATTTTTTATCTTAACTAATTCACCAATTATTCCCTCAAATATGTTATACTAGCATATTCATAACCAATTAAATACCTTGATCTATCTATTTGTTAGGAGAGTCTGTGCAATGCTTTGGCGTATTGATCTTCAATGTTTGCTCTTTCATTTAAAATAGCCAAATATTCCTCTAAGCCTCTCTTACTCTCTACATTTTATTGGATTATCCTCTCAGATTGACCCTATCCATAAAGATTTAAAGAATTACAAGCAAATTTGGATAATATGCCAATTTCTATGTTTAATTCATAATTATATAAATGAAATGTGTAGAGATAAATTTTAATAATTAAACAAAAATGTTAGAGAATTCAAGATTCTCTCTTTGGTTCATAATACTCCTTCTGGGGCCTCTATTAATATTTTTTATATCCCGTAAACTCTCTCAAATCATTTTCCAATCTATCTGAACTAATTAGTGATTCAATATTACTGTAATGTTGTTATGGTTTCCTATTGTAGGAGTTGTCATAGTATTTATTGGGATGCTAGTATGATTCGTTATTTGGTCTCCTCTTTTGCTACATATTATTATTCATAAGTACTTGATATCTATTTTGATAATAAGGTTTCTGGTAATTTTCAGTTCTTCCTTCATCATACTTTCTCCCATGGTTTTTCTCAACAGAGTTCTCCTTATTGGATTCTGTCTCTCTTGCCTATCTCTAATCTGTTTATTCAATCGGCTATCCTACATCATGTTACTCTAATGGCTGTTCTACTTATATTGGCTCTTGTTAGGGTTCTGATTAAGGTTATTGTTATGAATTAATGGGGACCTCTTGCTATTGGACATCTTATTGGGGATAGAAGATGGGAGCAAATGAAAATTAGAATTGTTGTTCTTGTAAGGGGGCAAAGTTTAATTCCACTTTATCTTTAGTTCTTATTTAATTTAGTCTTTGGCTAACAATGTCTGATGATGAGTAATCGTAGAATTATTGTTCTTGTTAATATGACTATTAGGATTATTATTACACTGATTAAACTTATTAAGATTATTATTATTAAGGAATTTATTATTGAGGTTATTATTATTATTAAGAATAATTTTAAAATTAATTCGAAGTCTCATCATAGTTTCTATCCTCATAGTTTCTCATGTTATTGATTCTTTATTCTTGGAATTATTGTTATTTAGTTGTAACTATGCTCAAGAATTTAGAAAAGTAATCTACTTCTTCCATTTTTGCATTTTGTATGCCATACTATTATGGTGTAAATAGAATTCTTACAATTGATTTAGACTGCTGAATTTTGCTAAAGCCCAATTGGGCATCTTCCTGGGTTTCAAAGACAATGAATAATTTACTCATGTCTTTATTGGGTACGTATTCGGCCTCCTTCGGTTCCCATTCTTGTTTAACTTCCAATTCTTGTAAAAACTTCTTAAATTCTTCCACCTGATTCTTCTTGATCAAGATTTGAACTTATTTCCTCTCCTTTGAAAAGATGGGCAATACTGCATTGAAGTTTTGATCATAAAACCAATTGGTGTAGTTAAATTGAATTAATATCTATAGAATGATGATGGACTTATATACATTCATTAAATTCTGCATTCCGTTTGGATATTCTAACAACTATCGAAAGCTATTCTCTTTCGCCAAGCAAGAAAGACGAATGAACCCTGTGGTGGAATCAAATTTTTTCAATAGAAAATGGTTTCTACTTAAGACTGGAAAACTGAAAATGCGTCTCAACTTTATTTAAGCCTTTAGATTTACCTGTTAAAGAAGACAATCATCAACACTTTGCGGTTACATGCTACTATATTTTGAATTCAAATAATTAATTTAATGAATGTTTGTAATACCCTTAAGTCCTATCAATATTACATGCGATGAACTCAAAAATATCAATATACACATATATTTTTATATACAGACATAAGAACAGATTAATCAAAAAGAACTCTTAAATTACTTTTATTGAGAACCTCCGTCCTTGCATCCATTGCAAAATTTTCGAATATCGTCTTTCTTGATATCACTCTAACTGTCAATTTTGAATTCCTATTAATAAATTTATTCTTCTTATTGAAATAATTTCTCAATCGTAGTTTCACCCTAATCATTTAAAATCTGATTCATGTAGGTTCTGTAAATTTTGAATGACGGAGCCTCACACGATGAAATCCTAATTTCCACCAAGGAGGTCTTGCCACAATTGTCCCTCAAGAAACTCTTGATTGCAAATAGCATCACTGAAGCCAATTTGCTCCTTGCTATCTGAATGATTTGCTGATCCATCACTGAGAAGGCTATTGATTTCGCACCCAATTCTGTGGCTTTCTCTAAACAATTCACCACAGCCTCATAAAGTATTTAAATTTCCCTAGACTGCGTCGAATCTAGTTTCTTCTTCTCTGCGTAAGCTGCAAATGAATTCACTCTGAAGTTCTCCTCAAGCGAAGACACCATCTCTTATTCTAAGGACTCATTCAACACTATTATCGAAGAATCAGTAGCATTTGGCAGTACTGCAAAGAAGATATAATCATAAGGCATCTAAAATCTATATACAAAAATAACTTCGCCAGCATGAGTATGCACCACAGATCCCAATTACACTTTCCCTCCTTCGCTCAAAAGAATTTGGTGCAATTCATTCAATATCTAATTACTACCGAATTTTCTATTAAATAATCACAATAACCTACTTAATGTGCTCAGATGCCTGATTGTTCAGCTTCAATTTTTGAGTTGTTGCCAACACAATAATGTCAACCTGCTCATTAAATAGTTTTCCCAAACTCAAGACAACTTTGCAGCCATTCACATCAGTCTATTAAATTATCTACGCCTGAGGTCGACCATCTAATTTGCACATCTGTGATTGCAGTTCCGATTAAGTAGAACAACAAAGAGATTTATTGCCCATTATATATTATTATATAATATATTTAATTATGTCTTATATCATTTTAATACATCCATGAATTTATTTTTAATTGCTTAAGCCATTTTACTGACATCTTTTTCTCCCCCATTATCTTTCACATCTATATTTGTCATTACTGTCTTCCATCCCTCCTACTTCTGCACCTTCTCTCTGACAATGGCTCTATTTTGCACCTTCCTCTAATTTGCTAATTCCGTGAAGTCACTATATACTCACATTAATGAATTTACCTCATGAACTTCTTTAAATACTCTTAAGCCTATTTTCTTTTCTGTTCTTTTAGTTTTCTTTCAGCATCCTAAATTTAATTTAAATTATCAATTACATCCTTAAGCATCTGTTGACTCAAAAATACTTCTCTTTACTTGTTAGCTTGAGTATCTCCAACAATCAATTCATCAAATGCATTAAAAGTAGTCTGACTTTGCAAATTGACCTAAGGCTCTGTACTTTTAATACTTTCCTAATCAAATACAAACTCCTCATAGTTCCCTTAAATCTATTCGACTCTATTCTAATTGGGCGGTTTGAGCTGAGTCTCCAAATAAGCTTGATTTTCATCAGATAGTTATTATTGATTCTTGATATTGTCCTTGCCCATCAAAAAATCTAATTCCAATCCATTAGCTTTCTAATCAGCACTTCCCAAGATGATTTTCTTAGTACATGTTCCACCATATGTGGTGGGGATGGGAACAGGACATTACTCTGGTTCTTCAAGGCCTTCAAATGATTTGCTTACTAAATGAAATTAGGAAGGATGTAAGAGAGTCCAATTACTAGCTTCAGCATTAGGAGTGAAATCAAAAACCTAACTCCATTTATTATTCGCAGGATCCAACTTGGCCTTCCCAAAATCTTCAGTGATCCCAGGATAAGTAAAGTTATATGGAGCAAAACCAATGCCTGTTGATTTCTCAAGTGCTGGATCACTTGAAGTATAGACAAAACATTAGATGCTAGATAATATATTATTGATTTCGTACTTATTTGAATTTGAGACTCTAAATTAACTCGCTGCTGCACTTATTTCAATATTCTCACATTTTCTAACGAAGATAGAGCCTTCAACTGGTCCAATAAAGATTTTGCAATTCTTGCTCAAATCCACAAATATCTATGCAGCATGATCACAAATATAGATTGTGCACTCTTCACAATTAGAGACCACAAAGTCTAACCCATTTAATTGCCCAGGATATTTAATCAATTCTTAACCTGTTTTCTTTCGAAATTAATAATCCTCCCTATTCAATTTAGCTTTCATTTCAAAACAATTTCTAAAAATAAATATAAATCAAATCATATATTCTACTCAAAGGATTAATTCTTTCTTCTCTGTATTCACATACATAGAGGACTGATAACACTTCCATATTCGTCTTGAGTAGTATAATATGGGACTTGAATTAATAGCAGAAAAGAAATAAGTAATATCCTCATATTTATAGGAAACAGTGGGTAGAGTGTGTGATCTAAAAATATCTTCTACAAACCTCTTACTCATTTTCTCCTCAATGAGTTCGTAGCCAAATCTTTATTAGAGTGTCAGAAATAAATACTTAGAAATTAATTAATCATCAAAATTCAATACAGATAATCTACTTAGTTTTATCTTACTATTTATTTACATTATTGAATTATATCACCATTACAAATGATATATTATAAACATGAAAATTTGTCCTTTCATTATATCCTTCTTGTATGATATCTATTTTACTAATTGATTCCTTCCTGAATTTAAAGTGATTTCCATAGTTCAAGCCTGTTTATCATGTCTTTAATATGCATCTCTTCTAAAATAGATCAATAAAAATTGTGCTATGATTTTTTTATATTATCCATCAACGATTTAATTTAAATAAATTCAAAATGAACGAAAGTTAAATGAACCCAGAGGACTATTATCGTCTTGAGGGCGTGATCGGTGAAGGATCTTACGGACAAGTTTATAAGGCTACTCAATTAGAGAGTGGAAAGGTTGTTGCAATAAAAATAGTTCCAACAACAGGGGAATTAGAATCATTGAAAAGGGAAATTCAAATACTTCGAGATTGTAGAAGTGATAACATAGTTAAATACTTTGGATCATATCATTCGAATGGATAATTGTGGTTGGTGATGGAATATTGTGCAGGAGGGAGTGTCATCGATTTAGTTAAGGCTATGAGTTTCAATGGTTCTTCTTTGCCTGAAGAGTTGATAGCCACTATTCTATATCAAACACTTAAAGGTACAGTAAATGTCTACGTAAATATAGGAATTGATTACATGCACAATCATAAGAAGATCCATAGAGATATAAAATGTGGAAACATCCTGATCGATCATGTTGGCAATATCAAATTGGCTGATTTCGGAGTCTCAACTTAATTAGTGCACACAATGGCTGACACAGACACAGTTATTGGCAGTCCTTTTTGGATGTCTCCAGAGATCCTCTTAAAGTCTCGTTATAATAAGAAAACCGACATCTGGTCATTAGGTATCACTGCCATCGAAATGGCCGAAGGTGAACCACCCTATGCTCATATTCATCCAATTAGGGCCATGTTTGCAATTAAGAACAACCCACCAAACTCATTGACTGATCAAACCCGATGGTCTAAAGAATTCAATGCATTTGTTAAGAAGTGTCTGATCTTGGACCCAAAAGAGAGACCATCCACTAAGGAATTGTTACAAGATCCATTCTTCTAAAGATTCTGCAAAAGTAGGGAGTATGTCCAATAGTTTATGATAAAAAATTAGAGAGTGATAGAAAACTACAAAAGATAGAAATAGAATAAACAACATGAATAACATTTTGAGTAATCTTAAGAACAAGGCATAGTCTAATTAGATACCCTTGTTGAGTGTGAAGAGGAGGAGGATTTGGGAACCATGATTGTCAATGATATTGATGCTATCCCTATGAATGAAACTGGAACTATGTTAGAACATCAATATCAAGATGTTGAAGTTTATGAGAAGGCCATGAATAGAGTGGTATCCCTATAAACTTATTTTATAGTCCGAATATGGCTTATAGAGTCTTAATCAAATGAGAACGCCTGTCACTGAATCGCCCCTTAGAAAATAAAAGTAAATAGAGGACAAAATTTAACAATTAACTGATGAAATGAACAACGAAATCAAAAAAATTAAATAAAAGTATGGTGATCAAATACAATCATTGCAAAAACTCTTACAACAAGTTTCAGTGCAAAAACATGAATCTCATAAATCTGTTCATGAATAGAAGCTGATTCCACAATCAACCAATTACTACAAATAACTAGATTTTAAACACAAAACTTCTGCACCCTCCACTCCTGTTTAAATGTAAATGAAGTAGAAATCCCAACAAGAAAACATCAATTTGGAAAATCAATTGAAACCTACTAAATTTTAATAAACTAATTTACAGTATTGTTTTTCAATTTATTTACTAGAAAACTTCAATTATAAATTTAGAACAGACTACATGATGCTCCTAAACCAGACAATAATTCCAAAATACTTAAACAATTAATTAACAGAAAGAATTGAATTCATTTATCAAGCTTTCCTATTTCCTATTTCAAATTCAAATCTCAATATATTCTTCCAACTCCTCCAAAAACCCTTGCTCCTCCTCCTCACTACTTTCTTGTTACTCCTCATCTAAATGTTATATATCTAAGTCCCTCATCTTCCTTCACTTCCAAAAAGTCCCCCTTCATCAATTATCTGAATGCCTAGAAAACATATTGTCTTTCTCTAAAAGTCTGCCCAATCAGTACCTAAATTTGCCTAGATTCCTTTAATAAATCCTCTCTATTCTTAGATCAATATAATTGTTATATCTTCTCTTTCTATTCCTCTAAATTGCCAATCACTTCCTTAGTGTAATCCTCTAAAGCCTACGTGTTCTCTTATCTAAATGCCATTTTAGTATTCCTTAACTTGTTTAGTTTCTAGAATTAATTACTTTAACTAGAGATCCTTAATTTCTTTTTGATTGTCTACTTTTCATCTTTGATAACTATTATTATTCTCATTCTTTTATCATCTATTTATAATATTTCCTAGGTTTATTAAATTATTGGACAAGCCTTTTTTGATTATACTTATAAATTCGATGATGAATTATGAATCATATTATTAATAACAAATGTATCACTTAGCTTCTTTTATAATTTAGTTATTTTTTTTGATATTGTTTCCTTTTCATCTAGTTTTTATCTTTCTCCTCCTGATAACTCTCTTCTTTATCAGAATTCTGTAATAGATCAATAATTTTGATTTTCTTCTGAATTCTTTTTTATTCAGTAAGAACTTTAAAATATTTCTTTCATTTGCTTAACTTTAATATATGTTGTTCTACTGCTTGCATTTAAAATTGAAATCTTCTTTCTCAATTTAAATGATCAAAGTTTTTTATGCATTTTCAACCAAAGTAATTTTTGCTTATTTGGTTATATTTTCCCTCTAATATAACCATTTTTGATTGCATCAAAACATCTAAAACAGGATCTCTCTTGAGAAAAGGAGGTCGGTATTTAGGTTTAAGGAGATGACAAATCAATATTAAGATTTAGTATGAAGTCTGGCAATTTGTAAATGATTTATCTATTAATAGTAAGCATGTTCTAATTAGTTCATAAAATAAAAAACCAATAAATTATTTTAAATTTTAAGAGATTGATAAAGAAGTTGAAATAGAGATAAAATTGATTAAAGCCGTAAATTATTTCTGCTTTATAGTATAATAAATCAAACAAAGAATCTTGTATTATAATTGAATCCACCTTCATTATAATCATAATAGAGCACTTCCCCTGTCCTGATATCTCGACAAGCATACAAGATCACTCTTGATTCGCCCTCCACATTAAATCTTTAGGATTTCACATTTTATTATTATTTCTTACTATTTTTTTTTGTATTATTAATTCCCGATAAATATTTGGCAAGATTGCCATATTTTTGTGGTATGATCACTAAAGAAGTGGCTGCAAAATTAGTTTCAAGCAAACTCATCATTGAATCAGATGTGCTGTACACTTGATCTGCAAATCGAAACACTTCTCCTGCATATTCACATATCAATGTATTATTGGCTATTGGTTGAACTGCCTTGACATAAAATCCCTAATCCATATTGTATTCCACTATCACAGGTGCATAATAACCATGCTTAGTCACTTATTTNTACCTAAATTTGCCTAGATTCCTTTAATAAATCCTCTCTATTCTTAGATCAATATAATTGTTATATCTTCTCTTTCTATTCCTCTAAATTGCCAATCACTTCCTTAGTGTAATCCTCTAAAGCCTACGTGTTCTCTTATCTAAATGCCATTTTAGTATTCCTTAACTTGTTTAGTTTCTAGAATTAATTACTTTAACTAGAGATCCTTAATTTCTTTTTGATTGTCTACTTTTCATCTTTGATAACTATTATTATTCTCATTCTTTTATCATCTATTTATAATATTTCCTAGGTTTATTAAATTATTGGACAAGCCTTTTTTGATTATACTTATAAATTCGATGATGAATTATGAATCATATTATTAATAACAAATGTATCACTTAGCTTCTTTTATAATTTAGTTATTTTTTTTGATATTGTTTCCTTTTCATCTAGTTTTTATCTTTCTCCTCCTGATAACTCTCTTCTTTATCAGAATTCTGTAATAGATCAATAATTTTGATTTTCTTCTGAATTCTTTTTTATTCAGTAAGAACTTTAAAATATTTCTTTCATTTGCTTAACTTTAATATATGTTGTTCTACTGCTTGCATTTAAAATTGAAATCTTCTTTCTCAATTTAAATGATCAAAGTTTTTTATGCATTTTCAACCAAAGTAATTTTTGCTTATTTGGTTATATTTTCCCTCTAATATAACCATTTTTGATTGCATCAAAACATCTAAAACAGGATCTCTCTTGAGAAAAGGAGGTCGGTATTTAGGTTTAAGGAGATGACAAATCAATATTAAGATTTAGTATGAAGTCTGGCAATTTGTAAATGATTTATCTATTAATAGTAAGCATGTTCTAATTAGTTCATAAAATAAAAAACCAATAAATTATTTTAAATTTTAAGAGATTGATAAAGAAGTTGAAATAGAGATAAAATTGATTAAAGCCGTAAATTATTTCTGCTTTATAGTATAATAAATCAAACAAAGAATCTTGTATTATAATTGAATCCACCTTCATTATAATCATAATAGAGCACTTCCCCTGTCCTGATATCTCGACAAGCATACAAGATCACTCTTGATTCGCCCTCCACATTAAATCTTTAGGATTTCACATTTTATTATTATTTCTTACTATTTTTTTTTGTATTATTAATTCCCGATAAATATTTGGCAAGATTGCCATATTTTTGTGGTATGATCACTAAAGAAGTGGCTGCAAAATTAGTTTCAAGCAAACTCATCATTGAATCAGATGTGCTGTACACTTGATCTGCAAATCGAAACACTTCTCCTGCATATTCACATATCAATGTATTATTGGCTATTGGTTGAACTGCCTTGACATAAAATCCCTAATCCATATTGTATTCCACTATCACAGGTGCATAATAACCATGCTTAGTCACTTATTTATACTTTTTGAATGCTTCAAGATCCTTGCCTGTTAATGGTTCCAATTTTTCAAGTGCCACATTATTCTCTTGTTTCTAAACTGATTCATACACTAGATCATCATTGAAACTAATATTTTGACAATAGAGTGCATATTGAATAGAATTGAAACACTTTTCGCGTAATTTATCGTCGTAGATGCAACAAGGTAAAATGAAAGAGTTCTGGTTTTTTAATGAGATTTTTAGCGGTAGGAATTGCACCAAATTTTTATTTTATTTTATTTTTGGCGGTTTTTATTGCTCACAGAATATACATATAGGCGCTACTTTTTTTGGACCATAACACTTGCTATGAAATACTTTCGAACATTTAGAACAAAATTCCTCATCATCACACTATACATGCTTTTAACATCGCCCACATAAAGTATCTATTTCCAATTCATTTGTATCTGGAAACGTATTCTTTAACTCAAGACAACGAGTGCATGTCCATTTTTTAGGTTTCCGTGTCAATTTAGGTCTCTAAACTATGCCACAAAATATTACCATACAAGACAGATGATATACATCTTCGCATATTCCACATCCAACTGACTTTTATCTTATTATCCAAGATTTGCATTCAGCACACACTTTATTCTTTCTGAACTTTTACAGTTCTATCTTCTTTTCTTCTTAAGGATCAAAAATTGAAATTGGTTACGTGTTGCTTTGCTCTTTGATGCACTGAGTACTCATTATAAATATTATTAATAATTAAGCACATAAATTTTGCGCTATTTCAACATAAAATGATACATCTTTTATGAGCGCAAAGAGAAAGACCACAAAAATTAATAAAATTTATATTTTGCCTACAATTATTTGGCAACCATATACAATATAATTTCAAATACTGATCCACTCATCTCAAACCCATCATCTCACACATTACTACTGTATTCATCAGCCCTAATCAAAAAACCAATTCTCCTCAAGTTCAATCGCAATCCCCTAATTACACCAACTTATCTCAAATGTCCTTCAATTCAAATATTTTATAGTAAATTTATTTTCCTCCAAACTTTTTCTGCAATTTCTCGTAAAATGCTAAATCAATCAAAATCCTTTGCTCGAATTCAAAATTAAATCTCAATTATTTTATCGTTAAAATATATATACATTTTTATATAAAACTTATATATTTTTATGATCAATAAAATATAAACCCCTATTTTCATATTGATTTTTTTTATAAATAATTATATAACATTGATAAATGCTCCTTTGTATTTTTAGAATGGTTTAGTCGATATCATTTCTTGAATAAAATTACCAATTTTTAAGTTGTACTTGAAATACTCAAAAATGCCATAAAGGCTAACCAAGGCTTTCTAGTATATCGGTAGTATGCATGCTTAGGGTGCATGTGAGCCGGGTTCAATTCCCGGGAGAGCCCTTCTTTTTTATATTATTTTTTATAATAAATAAATAAATTATAGTGTATTAAATTATATTCATCACTTTTTATATCCAAGATGCAAGGCGTAAATGCCTATCATTCTTCCAATTGACTTTAAGCTTGTAGTTTAAAGAAATGAAACATTTTCAATGACAGTCGATCTCACTCATAGGTTAATTAAATTGCTCTACTATTTCAACTTAGATTCCCTTTAATTTAATGCACATTATAGTATATATTTTAATAGAAATTGAAATTTTGTAATGGAGGAGTTTTACGAAAAATCTATCTTAATTTTTAATATTATAAATGGAAAATTATTTTTTTTGCTTTGGATGTGGAAATAATAAGGATTAATTAAAATTTAGCATAAAATTTGTAGAATAGAAGGGTATTCATATCTTAGATTGCTTGGATTGCAAATTCAAAACAGTTTGTATAAAATGTACAAGTTGCTAAAATTTGAAGTAATAAATTTTGGCAATGCCTTAGATTTTGTAAATATGGAGACCTCAACACGATAACATTTTGTAATTGTGGGGCAAAGCAAAGAATATTCGAATGCAAATTTTGTAAATGTCCTTAAGCAATCAATGGGGGGAACCTAAAATAAAGTACAAAAATCATTTGTTTCTCTTGCAAAAATTGTTTTTACATCGTAAATTGCCCTGGATGCCAAAATATGAAAATACTGAATACTACTAACGAGATAAATTACTGCGAAAATTGCAATTCACATTTTTAGATTGATGATTGCAAAATTTGTTAAGAAGATGCGTTTTCAAGAGAATAATTTGAACCCTTCATATTCAGATGCTCAAATAATCATCAATATTAAAGACTAATTTGTTTGAATTGCAAGAAACCAAATAAATTAAATATTACTAACAATAAAAACTATTAATGCCAACACTGCAATACTTAAATGAAGCTAATTTCATGTCTGTGTGGTTAAAAACAGATAATGAGAAAGCCTGAAAATAATTAACTTGAACAATTCAGTTGTAAAGGCTGCAGATTAAACTATCAAATTCTTAAATGTAAATCTTAAGGTTGTCTTGGAGAGCTTCTCAATTTAGAAAGGCCTCGAACGAGAGCATCTGAAAATGGACCATTCATTGAAATTGTGAATTCCATTTGTTTCTAGTGTAAAAAAGAACAATTTATCCCTTCATGTTTAAGGTGTAATATGCTACAGGAACCATACTTAGAGAAAAGGGATAAACCTAATAGGTGTTAAGGATGCCAATAAGATTTTATTGAAGCAAAATATCGTGAATGTGTTATCTGTTGTAGTCAACTTGCTGATTCAATACTCATACCTTGCAAACATGTTTGTGTTTGTAATTCATGTCTGTCAGGCATTAAGGATTGTCCTATATGTCGAAGGATTATATAAGATAGATTTAAAATTTTCTTAAATTGATATACATATATAAAAATTTGATAAGTTAAAATCACAATTCCATTTCTTATATTTCAATTTAGTTGATTCTTCTTAAGAAATCTCCATCGATATCCGATTTACACAATTTGTAGAGCAACGGCAATATCGTAATCAACAATAAAGAGAAATACAATTCTAAGAATAATTAACCTACTATTAAATAGGCTACATTGACATCTAAACTATTGCTCATTACTACTTTTCTAATAAAAATATGAATGAACACTTGTGAAATAAGTAAACCAACAAGTAACAATACTCTAACTACACCTTTTAGAGTAAGAGTTTAATGGTTGTATAAATCAGGCTTATATTGGCCAGGGGTAAAATAACAGCACAGATACAGATAAAAGGGCAAAAAGATGATGCAAGCCCCAACTATCTCCTACTTTTCAAACGACCTATTGAATCGATCCAGTTAATTTTCACATTTTTAATGACTTTAAAAATATAAACCCCATTCTTCTTATTACTAAATAAGGTCTATTTCATTAGTTCTAAATAAATAAAGTAATATTGAAATTATCATTGGAAAGGCTGTGAAAATAGCCATTCTTCCCACATGACGAAGTTTGTTATTTAATTAATCAGACTGATTATAGATTGCTTATATAAATAATCTTTCTAATTATTTCTCAAGATCACAAAAATAATAGAGGTAGAGCACATAGCCACCAATAATCCATCCCATAATAACTTAATTTAGATAATTCAGCCCAAAATAAGAATTGGATATACCAGTAATGAATAAAAAAGTAGCCAACATAAGTTTATATTGATTATAACTAAGCATTGTATTTGGATAGAGTTATGTGTAAAGATCATCACTAATATATGAGAATGATATACTTTGATAATTATTTATAATGATATTGAAGTTTTTTATCTTAGTTAATTGAACTAAGAACACCTAAATCATTTGCTTAAACCTTATATTTTTTAAATAATAAAGTTTCTGATAAAATTACATAAAATACAATAGACCTTAAAGCATTATCACTTGGGTCTCCATAACCCTTTTTACAAAAATCTAGTCGAACATCTGATTCTTCATAAAAGGGTCTTGGCTAAACCAAGATCATTTTAATAAAATGGCCAAGAAATGAAGTAATCGAATACATTGTAATCAATTTTAAAATCTACTCCTTCAATCCTGATTCCAACCAAAGAATTATGAATACCATTCCCATAAATTATCTTCCGCCAAATACATAAAAGATTAACAGAAAACTTTCTAATCATTATTCATCTATTCTATTATACCTACTAATCCATTCTCATTCCCATAATCAAACAATGATTGCAGATACTCTGTAATTGAATCGCTTATCTCAAATGTTCTTTCCCCATAGAAATAATCTACAAGAATTAAACTAAACACCCATAAACTCGAAAGTATTATTTTCTACATTATCTATTTTAATTTGAAAAAATATAATATAAAAGCAATCAATTTCACTTAAGTAAGATTTTAAGGCAATGACAATATTTATTAATGCCTAAAATACATAATAATCCATTTTATGCAATAAGTTCTAAATTCATTCAATCAACAAGTAAAAAATTTAAGAATAGCATTATTTCATCACAACATAGAATTAAAATTTAGTCAGGCAAAATTTTATTTCTTATTTCATATTAAATACCTTGTGGATGTGGTTAATGAAAAGGGATAATAAAGATGTAATCATTTGAAAAAGTTGGCTTTTTGAAGTAATTCAAGAATTTAGAATAAATCAAATTGGTTAATGCATTAGCTACAATACAAAGAGGCACAGAAAAAGAAAGAGCTAGATTAAGCTCTACATTTCAACAAGGAAAAGACTAGTTCTTTGAAAGATTTAAGCACTTAAATAGAAATTTGAGCTGTTTCTTTGGGTGATTTCTATCACATCGTAATCTAAAATTAAAAATCCTACATTTTTTCATATTTTCTTAGAGAGGAATTGACAGGGTAAAGATTGAGAATCAATTGAATATTATTTATAATGCAGATCTTTCAGATATAATTTATTGATTTGCTTAAAGAAGATAATGTAAAATAAATGAGGAAATAATAAAATTAGTTTTAGANAGTAATGAATAAAAAAGTAGCCAACATAAGTTTATATTGATTATAACTAAGCATTGTATTTGGATAGAGTTATGTGTAAAGATCATCACTAATATATGAGAATGATATACTTTGATAATTATTTATAATGATATTGAAGTTTTTTATCTTAGTTAATTGAACTAAGAACACCTAAATCATTTGCTTAAACCTTATATTTTTTAAATAATAAAGTTTCTGATAAAATTACATAAAATACAATAGACCTTAAAGCATTATCACTTGGGTCTCCATAACCCTTTTTACAAAAATCTAGTCGAACATCTGATTCTTCATAAAAGGGTCTTGGCTAAACCAAGATCATTTTAATAAAATGGCCAAGAAATGAAGTAATCGAATACATTGTAATCAATTTTAAAATCTACTCCTTCAATCCTGATTCCAACCAAAGAATTATGAATACCATTCCCATAAATTATCTTCCGCCAAATACATAAAAGATTAACAGAAAACTTTCTAATCATTATTCATCTATTCTATTATACCTACTAATCCATTCTCATTCCCATAATCAAACAATGATTGCAGATACTCTGTAATTGAATCGCTTATCTCAAATGTTCTTTCCCCATAGAAATAATCTACAAGAATTAAACTAAACACCCATAAACTCGAAAGTATTATTTTCTACATTATCTATTTTAATTTGAAAAAATATAATATAAAAGCAATCAATTTCACTTAAGTAAGATTTTAAGGCAATGACAATATTTATTAATGCCTAAAATACATAATAATCCATTTTATGCAATAAGTTCTAAATTCATTCAATCAACAAGTAAAAAATTTAAGAATAGCATTATTTCATCACAACATAGAATTAAAATTTAGTCAGGCAAAATTTTATTTCTTATTTCATATTAAATACCTTGTGGATGTGGTTAATGAAAAGGGATAATAAAGATGTAATCATTTGAAAAAGTTGGCTTTTTGAAGTAATTCAAGAATTTAGAATAAATCAAATTGGTTAATGCATTAGCTACAATACAAAGAGGCACAGAAAAAGAAAGAGCTAGATTAAGCTCTACATTTCAACAAGGAAAAGACTAGTTCTTTGAAAGATTTAAGCACTTAAATAGAAATTTGAGCTGTTTCTTTGGGTGATTTCTATCACATCGTAATCTAAAATTAAAAATCCTACATTTTTTCATATTTTCTTAGAGAGGAATTGACAGGGTAAAGATTGAGAATCAATTGAATATTATTTATAATGCAGATCTTTCAGATATAATTTATTGATTTGCTTAAAGAAGATAATGTAAAATAAATGAGGAAATAATAAAATTAGTTTTAGATAAAATAAAAAATAATTATATGAAAATCTACTATTTTAAGTTAAGCTGACATAGTTTTCTTGATTTTTGTTTAAGAGTGAACTTGACAAACAGATGAATCTTTGTGATTATATTACTTCGAATATCATTCTAAAATTAGACTGTTCTTTAATTATCTAAATGAAATTTTATTTCTGGTTTAATATCATGGGAAAAACTAACTCATGAATGCTGCCTGTTTGGGGAGCAGTCGATTAAATGTTAATTTGAATATCATTTTTTTTATGTGAACAAAAATGTTCAGGTTTTTATTTTGGATTGAACGTATATAAAATTATTTGAAATTTTGAAATATTGATGATTGAAGAGGAGGGACTTTAAATAAAGAGCTAGTTGGAATAATAATTGATAGAGGCTATTCTAGACTCATTGCAGAATCACATGGAATAGAATGCCATCTTTTTGGGTAATTAGTGTTGAGTTCAAATTTCAATAGCTGAGAGATTGGTGTATGAACATGACACAGAGGAGCACAGATCAATACTAGCAGAATGCTATTTACATGAGAATCAGCCTTATAAGGCATGCCATATATTGAAGGAATGCAAGTCAGAGTTTAATCGGTATGTGACAATGTGTAATAGGAACGTAGTTATCAATTGGCAGTTGCGTATTTTAAGATCAAGAAGTACAAGGAAGCTGAAATGGCATTAATAGGTCCCTCATTTGGCAATCAATTCTTGTTGTAGCCATCAAATACACCTAATGGAAGTTTTGGTGATTTTTTATTGGGATAGATCTACGAATCAATGCTTCGAATAGACGATGCTAAAATACAGTATTATAAAGCGCTGGATCAGAATCCAACTCTTTGGGTGGCCTTTGAAAGGTTGTCCAAGATTAATGAACCTGTCACAATAAACAAAGTGTTTATCGATCAAAAGCAAAGACAATATGAAATAAGCAGACAATAGAGTTGCAACATCTATAAAATACTTGCAAACTCCCTTAAAAACAAGTCAAACATTACAAAATCTGGTTAAAAAGAAGTAGACGATGTTAAAGAGGAATTTCTAGTTATTGATAATGTAATTTTCAAATAAATACATAAGCAATAGATTAATAAGAGACAAACTCAAGGAGTGAAGCCATTCTCAACAACTGGAGTGCAGGCTTAAATCATTCATTTGGATGACTCATCAAATAGTTAAATGAAGTTTACTTGTAAGTTTAGTATGATAATATGTTAAGAACTTCAATAGAAGAAGATTAGTGCCAAGATGATCCCAACTCCTGGGATTGGATTATAAAATTATCAATCTCTATTGAGTCAACCATTCCAGCTATCATCAAATCAAAACAAGAATTATAATGCGAAAAAGAGTGACATTTAGAAAGTAGGCAGTGTAGCACTTCAATCATCACCTAGTTTAATGAGGTATTGAAATTATTCTAGTGGAAGCCTTCCTCAACTCTTGAAATTATTTGCCCATCCATATCAATTATGGACTAATTATTCTGTAGAGGCAATAGCCAACTTTTAGAAATTGCCACCTCAACATTACAGATCAGGTTGGGTTTTGGAGAAGGTTGCCAGAAGTTTCATGGATTAAGTCAAATATACAGATGCGGAAAGAGTTTGGAAGGAGATGAGACAAATTGAACCTACTCGACTGGAGGGGATGGATTATTACTCCTCTTGTTTATGGCATTTAAAGAAATAATCAGAATTAACCTATTTAGCACATTCTTGTTTATAAATCTCTATGTAAGCACCTGAGACATGGATTGCAATAGGCAATTGTTTTAGTTTGATCAAAGAAATCGACAATTCGATCAAATTCTTTGGGAGAGCCATTCAATTGAGGAAAGATTACTCTTATGCTTACACTTTGTCTGGACATGAGTTTTCACAGAATGAGAATTTTCAATAAGCAAAGAAATCATACGAGACTGCAACCTCACTGGATTAGAGACAATACAATGCTTGGTGGGGTTAGGGTAACATGTATTACAAGACGGATAAATATGAAGATGCCATTAAGTGTTTTATCCAAGCCATTAGAATAAATCCCAACAACCCTGTTCTCCCTACATTTTTAGCCATGAGTTATGCTGCCAAGGGGGAACACAAAGAAGCTTTGAAGTATTTTGAATAGAGTGAGAGATTAGATCCCATGAATGGACTTAACAAATACTAAAAGGTATATCATTGTTTTGATCAAATTAGGCGAATTCATTAATTAAATTGGATCAATACGAATAAGCATTAAGTGAATTGCAGACTTTGAGTCAATTTATTCCCAAAGAAGCTGCCATCTACATTCTTATGGGTCGTATACTAAAAAAGTTGAATAAGATCCAAGAAGCATAAAAGTAACACAAATTCCTTATCTTATTTTTAGTTGTTTCAATATGGCGATGTCACTTGACATGAAAGATTAGGCTAAGATAAAAGGGTTGATGGAAAGTCTGAGCAATCCTAACAGCGAATTCAACGATGATTTTGATTTATGACATGATAATCAATATATGTGTTCGTCTACGGCTATTTGGACAAATTCCTTCTTGTAATCTCCCACTGATTCAGCTCCAGTTGCAAGCTAGTTGATTCGAGCAGTGCGAACCAAATACTCCGACAATTCCTCCTTCTCACATAATGTTTCCAAAGAAAGTCGACGGATCCAATCAAATCCAGAGAATGCAATTCCTGTGTACAACATGTACTTTGGATACTAATGACACTCTACACTATTTAGGTGACTCCTTACTATATAAAAGTGGTTGACGTATCACTCTGCTCACTGTCATTCTGATACCCATCCCGAATAGACATCCAAAAATAAAAGCACTTTCCATTATATTAATATTTATAATTATTCATATGACTGATATTATTTTAAATTTCAAATTATTTATTATGAATCGACTCAGTTCTTAGCCCAAAACCAATGTCCAAACCAAATTGACTCCTCTTGAATACATGCTTCACAAAAATATTCCGATTCCCAATCAAGCCAAACATCCTCATTCTGATTTAGAACCTAACTCACATAAATCGGATCCTATACAGCAATCTTCCAATTCTGCTGTTTATAATACACTGTCTTCCTCCCCTTAGTTCGAATTCAACAATCTCAAAAAACAATTAGAGGATAAGACCAAAGAAATTTAATATCTAAGATAGACTGAAAATTAATACAAAATCCTTTCGATTTAGTTTTAGGAGACCAATTAGAATCACCAAATTGAATTAAAACAACTACTAGAATAAATAGATGCTTACAAATAAAGAACAAATCATTTAAAAGTCCAATTAGAAGAGTATATTCGTGAAATTAATGTGGGTAATCAAAAATATCAAGAGTGCTACTCGTAAAAGGAGGAATTATCCAAACAACTCAAAGATTAACAATTACAATATGATAATTTACAAATCTATGTTTAAAATAAACAAAAAGAACTCATGTAATTCTAAGATAGGTTAACAAATTTAGAAAGTTAGAACTTATAATCTTATGAGATTTAGAAGAAATCATAGATTGATCCTCAAATCAAAGAAATTAATTTATTAAATTAAGTCACGAAGTTAGAAAATAGAAATTCTGAATTGGAAAATAAATGTGCCCTCTTGGCTTAGGAAATTGAAAGAATGCGTTTTAATAGCAATCAAAATGAGATACAACATATTAAAATAGAAAATGAATAATTGAAGTAGAACCTACAATAGATGATGTTGTAGATACAACAATTCAAAAATATATAGAATTCATCTAAAATTAAGGAAGACAACTCCATTAAGGACAGGATGAGAATCATTGTTCTGAATACTGAGATTGAGAGATTATGGTCAGTAATTGAGGATTGTGAACATAGAAATTAAGAATAAATTCAATAGATAGAACATCTCACACAATAAATGGGTTTATTTGAATAACGAAACCTATAATTCGAACAAGAGTCTATGAGAAAATTGCAATATGAATAGGACATTCTGCTATTACAATAACAATAAGACTTTTGGACTCTAAATCAGAAAGAACTACAAAACAAATACACTTAATTAACTACTGAGGTTGAGAGACTAAACATAATTTTAAGAGAAAAAGACATTGTTCATAGTAAGTATTAATATGAAATTGAATCGTTGAGCAAATAATTGGAATAAAAATAGAAAGAAATTTAACAGTAATAGAACTCAATTCTGGAAATGGAAATTGAAATCAGCAATTATTAATAAGAATCAATGCTACTTAACAGTGATAATGATAATTTGAATATGAGAATTACTAATTTGGAAGAGGATATGAACGCATAAATTATGGAATTAACTCAAAAATTCAAAAGAGAAACTTAAATTCAGGAATAACAACTTCAATAACTTTAAAATTAAAACAACGAACTTGAAAAAGTAATACAAAATTTAAAATAAGAATAAGCAATCATAGATGGATAAATAGATGATGATAAACGAAAAGTATAGGCTAATGAAAACGAAAGAATTCTTTTGCTTTCAGAAATTAAAGATTATTAATTATAATTGCAAGTTAATGTTAAAGACAATAGTAAAATGAAAGAAGATTTAATTAAAGAAAGAATGAAAATAGTCATTTTTGCAAGTGAAATAGATCGATTATGGAAAGTAATCGAAGATTTTACTAATAATTTAAAAGCTTACGAGGAATAATCTAATTTATAGAATGAAAAAATTCATTCACTCACAAAATCAATATAGCAATACCAGAATATCATATCTTAGCAAGATCAGGATAGAAAGCAATAAAGTAGTGCCATTAATTAATCTTTGGAATCTAAAATAGCACTTTTAGCAAGTGAATTAGAAAGAGTTCGAGGTCAAATAAATGTAGAACAAATTAAAGTTCAGGATTTTGAGGGCAAGCAAAGGACTTACCTTTAAGAAATAGAAGAACTTTATACATAAATTGATGTGTATTAATAGGAGATTTCCAATCTATAAAAACATGGATTGGAATTGAGAGATTTGGAAATGAAATTCTAAGCTGAAAGAATGTCTTGGGAAACTTAGAAATACTAATTGAATAATTAGTTATAGGACAACGAATAGAGATTACTCTTGTAATTTTAAGAACTAAAGAGATTGAATATTGTTGCAGATGAACGACTTCATGAAATAGAATCTTTGAGATTGCAATTAAGAAATTAAAAATAGTTAAATGATTATGATGAGTTGAAATAGGAATACTCTCGTCTAGAGTAACAACTCATGGAATTTGAATAAATTAACTTAAAATTAAAGGCTAACACACTGACATTGGAAAAGTAAAATTAATTATTGGATTCATAACTGTAAGGAAAAATCAAAGAAATGGAGGAAGCATATAGTTTGATGAATAAATAAAGGAAATAAAGTGAATAAGTTAACAAAGAGGCTGAAAATAATCGTAAAACTCTCTCTTTATTATAATAATAAAATAGCAATCTAGAGAATTAGATCCAATGCTTATAGGAATAAATTCACAAAGCTTACAGTGAAAATGAAAATCTGTAATTATTTTTCATAAAGATAGTTTATCCTAAGTGACATACTTATAAAATTGCCTAATAGATAGGGATTTGATAGTGCAGAATAAGAATCAAGAATTGAGTGAGAAAATAAAAGAAATTGATCAGATGAAAATCAAGTATGAATAGAAAATTAATATTTCAACTTTGCAATCTTCAGTTGTTCGTGTAATGCATTTATCCATTTTAAATAGAGTTCTTCTCAAACCAAATAAATACCAAAATCTGAATAGGAAAACATTGTTTCAGAATCGTTTTCCAAGTCCAAATATATTTCTGCATCAATAATATCAAGACCTCCAAGATAAGCAATGGCTAAAATTGATACAGAAAATAATAATTAATATCAATGATTTTGTTGATAAATTTATGTTATTTTTATCAATAGTACAATGTATAAATAACAATCTCCTAGGAATTCAACTGATTATGCAATATATAATCAATTTAGTTTAACATCAAAATTAATAATTTTTTTGGTCAATATTGTTACCTATTAAGTAAACGATAAGAAATTTGGAATAGACTATTAAATCATAGATCGATTACTTTTTACTACAATCAATGGATATTAATAAATTTTAAGTGGAAATTATCAATAATAATTCCTTGTTCATTAAGAAATTTTTTATTCTTGTTTAATTATCAATCAACTAATAAAACAAGAATTTAATAATTTAATTCAACTGTTTTATATAATAATAATTATTCTTGCACTAATTCAACTCTCTCGTTTTTCACATCTAGGCATGATTACATGTTTAATTTATGTGATAAATCAAACAAATTCTAATCAATTTAGTTGTTTCTAACAGAATCAAAAAATAAAAGATTAATTTGATTTATACTTAATACTTATTGATTAATAAAGCAATTTAATCCACAATTATGAATGTAACTGACATCATCTGTATAAGGTGATTAAATGTTCAAATCAAAGAGATTATGACATTTATATAATTTGGACTTGAAAGGTTATGAATTCCAAAGAGTTGATAAATTCTTAGAAAATTCGAAATCCAATTGTTGTATTGATATGAATATAATTGAATTAGAAGAACTGAAGTAGTATGGAAAGGGAGAATATTTTCGTTTAAAATGAATTGATTTGTAATTCAAAATTTTACTTATTGAGTAATCGATTTGGTAGTAGAAAGTAAGAATATGATGGAGTGGATTTTCGTACTAGAAGTTCATGGTTGCAGCATGTATATGTGCATCATGAAAGCGCAAGGAAATAAAATGGTTCAAAGACATGATTGAAATTATGTTCCAATCTCTTAGTCATTTCCATTATATTATTTATATAATCATAGTTTTGCATATTTCATCAATTTATCCTTGTAAAAGTAGTATTGTTATTAACTAACATAAAGCTCGTAATCGAGCAAAGTTAACAGTTCTTATTCTAATTTGTTTAACTCGCTGATTGTAATTCCCCCGACTTTGGCATAGTAGTCATTCTTATAGTAATCATCATCATTATATTTAATGCTCAGAATGATGCATGCGAACATAAATCTAACATAGAAGTGTTTTATACCTATGGACACAAAAACTATTGATAACAACATCTTGGTTCTTTTATTAGATCCTGTCAATGTAGATCAATGCCAAGATGAAACATTCATTGCTGCAATAAGAGTACATTTGGATGCGCTCCAAATATTTTGCCAGACTTATTGCAGGTTTTTTATTTGTATGAAATGCAGTTTGTTAGGGACTCTCAATTATGTCAGTCTCTCTAACGATTTCATCTAAAACTCTGGCAATTGAGTAAATGATACTATCTTCTAGGAATTCCTGCTTTACCCCAACATATTCTACATCCATTTTCCCTAAAAGATATATATGTAATAATTATATATATTATATAAAATTATGATATGATATTAAAATATTGAGCATTCGAACCACACAAACTTGGTAACTGCAATTATAGACGTTGGCATCTTCATTTTGAAACCTCTTTTGTTGAAACTTTAGTTATTTGACATATTTAATTTCATAGTTATTCAAATCAGAAATACTGATTACAGAATAGAATCCAAAACCATTTAATTATCTTGCAAACAACACATAATTAATGATATTTAATGTAAGTTCCACTCCAATATTCCTAAAGTCTTAAATAATACTTCTTTGATCTCTATATTCGATACTTTTTCGACTTGGTACCTTGACTGGATTGTGATGATGTAGTGAATTGAAAAAAACTGAATTATTTATTTTGTAAAATCCTTCAAATTCAACTTGTAATTACACCGATTAAGGGTCGGCAACAGGTATATTGTATCTATCAGCTAGTTAATTAAGGACTCTGACTTAAATAATAGGGGAATTAGTTACTCTCAAATTTATATGTGAATATAATAAACTTTATGATTTAATTAAACAACGAAAATCTTAAAAAGCAATTCCAATTATGTCATATTATTATGATGCAACATTTTTAAATATTATTATTCGATTGAAGACGATATTCTATTCAGGTTATTGGTAAAAATGAAGGAAATTGAGAAATATAAAAAAATCAGAACTACTCACACTTCTTCTTCATCAATTTGTTCCAAAGGTTGATGATATCTAGCTGACAGAGTTTTGCTTTTAGTCAGAATAGCCTTTCCTGAATGATTCCCATGCTTGCCCTGCTACTTTTGAATGACTTTTGTCCATTCGTCTAGATCGTCCTCTCGTTATTCTTATACGGGAATTGTAGAAAAGATAAAATCCTTCTTTTGTCTCTAAGTTACACATCCCATCTATTCTTAGTTTTGAAAACTTAATATATTTTATATTTTTAAGTTTTGTACTAAATATTTTTAATTAAATATCACACATTATCACTATCTTAAAACATCTAAGACAATATTCCTATGTAGTCTACTACATTTGCAATAACCACAGAGATAAGTTTGATTTTTAATGTATATCTGCAAATAAACCTATTCTTGACGACTTAGACGCCAAATTAAATCATTCCAGTAAATAATTGGACGATATAATCAATGTAAAAAACAATATTATAATAAATTAAAAGTGATAATGGGTTGTATTAGTTTAAAAAGAAGATATGAAAATCCAAATTAGACAAGGGATTTTGCCCCAAGTTTCATAAGAAAAGCTCAATTGCAAGATCACAACGATCTCGCAGGAGGTATGAATTAATTATAGTGTAAATACAAATCGAATATGCCGAGTTGTTTGGAAATTAAACCCAACAGAAGCCTTTCGGTTTGAGAGAAACTTAAACTTATTAAATTATAGAATATATTATTGTGATACATTTTATCAATTTTTAACAATTATCATTTCAGTTCAATTGACATATAAATATAATTACCATCCATTCTCATTGATGGATTGAATACGAAAAATGTTGCCTGCAATTCATTCATCTAAAATACTCAAACACTTCAAATCAACACAATTTAATTGGATTTTATAAGCTAACTATCCTAATATTTATGATTCAAATTTATAATACTAATCAAATAAAAATATCATCTCAAAAATGATTTATATAAAATTATTCCTATTGAATAAATAAATAAAATCAAACATGATTTCTCTAACTTTAATTTTTCGACATTCTGATGTCTGATTCTAATTTTAGAATTCTCATAAATAAGTTTTAAATATCTATGGGCATATTTTACAACCTTAGCTTCTCTTAATTTTCTCTTAAAATACTTGGGATAGATTCTATCGGCTATCTCGATTGTAAAATTTACACTCTTGTTGATAATCCTAAATTAATCAGCCGAATGTATTTCATTTGCATTCAATATTATTTCATATTTATCTGACCTTAAAATCTCTAGATACGAGTAAAATCAATATTATTATTGTATATTTCTACTTAATGAAGTCTGCTTCTTTATACAATTATATTCAATTGTATACTCTAAAATAAATCAATTAAAGTTCGTAAAAATCAAAATTATTTTAATAAGAACATATTTAACATCAAATTTAAAAATAATAAATCTCAATTGTTAATTCAATCATACTTTATTATGCCTAATTTTTAATTTAAATGAATTACTAAATTTAGTAATAATATTTATAATGTTTATTATTTTAATCCTTTGCATAACAACAACCTATAGTTCCTTCATAAATTGTCCCGCAGAAACTTAATAAAATTGTGATGATCTTTATTATCCTGTTTGTGCTTATGGCTCAGATGAGAAAGTAATTATCTGGTCTAATAAAATTAAATAGATAACTAAACAATTTTCAAATGCTTGCGAGGCTTGTAAAATTTCTACTACACTATACTATTTTGAAGGAGAATGTTAATAATTGATTAATTTCAATTAAACGTTCACCTACCGTTTTACTTCTGAATAAGATGAAGAAGACGAATCAAAAGCAGTAACAAAATACTGCGATGAAAAATCAAGATATTTGACTGATTGCAGTAATCAGGAGAGTTTAGTATGTGCTCAATCTATGACCAATGGCTCAACTTATTCAGAATAATACTCAAATTCTTGCATAGCCTGTGCAAATTAATATGTGATAAGTTATTATGATGGATATTGTAGAAATGAACAAACGTAATGAATCCTTTTGATTAAATAGCGAATCAAGAATCATCTATTGTCTTCCTGATAGACCAACGAGCTGTAATGAAAAAGGTTTAACTGTTTGCTCTTAAACTACTTCTCCTTGCACAAATTATGAATGTTACTTTGAGAGCAAATCCTGGTGTGCAGCATGTTCCAATACAAATGTTGTCACCTATTATTAAGGCAGTTGCCAAGAATACTTGGAGTAAACAAATTCAATTATTCTTAGCTATATAAAAGCTATCGATATCATGGAAGAATTGGTTTAAAAATGTAGCTTCGTTCAGCCTGAAACATGCCCTGATACTGTTTAGGAAGTCTGTGTTACTGAAAGTTGTGATGATGATAAATCAACTTGTTAAAAGACTTATACTAATTCATGTTTGGCATGTTAGAATCCAAAAGTCATAAGTTACCTGCCATTTTCATGCTTTTCTTATTAATTTATGATTTGGATTGTGATTATCTATTTCATATATTGAAATTATAATTTGGTTGATTAATTGATATAAATATTCTATTTCTTTTCATATTATATATACTTCAAAATCAACTGTATAAATTTGATAGTCCATTTAAAACAAACTACAATGTTTCTTCATCGAAACTGGTGAATCCCCTGAATAAAAATTCATCACAGGGTGTTATAATCAATTCTAAATAAAATTCTAATTGATTGGATAAGACCGCTTTGAATGCATATTTACTTTCAGTTATTAAATCTTCATTCTCCTATTCCCATTAGTTCAACAGTTATCCTTACTCACTCAATTGTTTTAACTCTGTCTTACAGGTTATGGGTAACAATGGAGTTGCATAAATCTAACCCTAAAACTATTTCTTCATTGTTTTGTAGGTACTAGCCTCAATATGGTAATATTGGATGCAATTTCTTAAGAAACTTGGAAGATAAAGGATGAAATTCTCAAAACTAACTTAATAAATAATATTACCTCACGGATACTTTAATTAAGGTCAATTCATGTAGCTTAACATTTGCCTCTCGAACAAATTCATATAGGATGGTCTATTGTGATTACAACAGAGTGCTTTTAGTCTCTTTGTTACACCAAATGTTTTTATTGGTGTTAAAAATCTGAAGTTGGATAGACTTTAATTCCTTATTTTTTATGCTAATGGTTGTAGATATGAATTCTTGTTTATTCAATCCATAAGTTAATTGCTATCTTGATTTAATTTCAATTTTATTGGATTAGTATAATGTGGCTAATTGATTTAAGCTGGCCTTTTTATAATTAAGGAGATTTGCTGGATTCAATTGTAATTGCAAAGCGTTTCTATTAATTAAAGTCCCTTTAAATTGCTTCTTACCATTTTACCTGTAGTACTCAGCTGCAGTCTTGTGAGGATAGATTTATTCTGAAACATCCTTCATTCTAGAATTCACCATCGATTGACTTTAACTTGCATTCTATGTTCCCTACCATAGGTCATTTTCTTTGAAATTAAAGAATACAACATTTGAATTCTCATCTTTCTAATCTAATTCTCTAGCAAGGCTTTCACTAATTCTACTTTAATTAGCTTATTAATTTCCATACTCTTAATTTGTTTACTTCAATCTGTGGTTTTCTTGTTTCAATATGAAGTATTTGCTATCTAATTCATCGTACTTCTTCTTCAAGTTCATAAAATCATATTCACTAAATGTAACGTTTCCTTTTTATTCATAAATCTTTAGTTTTTCATTTAAAAGATTGTTAGAAACTCTAAGGTTTTCCATTTCTTCTTATAATTGTTGAATTTATTGATTTTATTAATCGTATTATTACTACGAAATAATTTATGACTATGATTGAGCTTATTATTAGTATTATGGTTATTATGATTCGTAATTTTATTATTTCAATGATAATTCATATAAATTCTTATAATGATCAATCTATTGTTAATATTCCTTCAATATAGTGGTATCATGAATCTATTACTCTTCCTTCCTTTAATTCTTGAGATTTTCAACTTAGACTTTATAATTCTATAATTCTTGTTGTAATTCTTAAATCTTTTTATCATTTTATCTTTAACATTCAAGCTGTGCTGTCTGTAATTGATTCCTCAGAGATTCAATTTCATTTTATTGTTAATTTAACAAAATTTAACTTTAGTCATAGGGGCTTTAGTATTATTATTATTATTATTATTATTATGGCTTTGCGATTTTAGATGTTTAATTGATTGATTAGGACATATTGGATTCATCTAAAACATTTTATGAACCCTTCTTCAATTAAGAATTTGTTAAAAATTGCATTCTAAATTCTTAATAAGAAATTCTTCCGCTTTAAAATTCCGGATATGTTAATACAAATTCATCTAAAAATTAATCCTACACTTCTTAAACCACCAGGTCCTCAATCTAAACGTTTATCTTCTCCAACTCATCCTTGAGGAAGGAATTTACTTCAGTGTGAGATTGCAAGTAATTAATTAATTACTAATTCAATTGTCTGATCTTATTTTGAATCGAACTAGTATCATCATGGGGAGTTGATGAGACCTGGTTCCTGTGGATGTGTTCATTAATCAATTCCTACTTGAAATAGTTTATTTTTGGTAAATATCCTTGTTCTTTCTCTAATTTCTGTCCGTGACCTTTGAACTCAGGGAACCACATGGCCCACACTCTAATACAATCCAATGCCAATCGTATATAACTTGCTCCATACTATTCGATCTATTTTTCGTGCTCTGGGTTTTTGAAATATGTAGTCCCTCTCGAATCATCTATGTCCTTAATTCTGTACGTGGCCACTTCGTATATGAGTTCCAGCAATTCATTTTTGACCCTATTCCTAAAATCACTGTTGAATTTCTCAATGCAATCCTTTACTATTTTCAACCCATATAAGCACTCTTTAGGAGGATGCTTCTCTTTCATGATTTTCTTCATTGCCTCTAAAAATTCAGTCACGTCTTAGCTATGATAGACACAATTAAGTTACTTATTTTCCACTGCCTTCGCTATGTCCAACCCTTTTTATTTGTCACTCAACTAAGCTATAAACTGATCCATAAAAGGAAATTTAAATTAATTTTATTTTATTGGAATATATTAAGATATATTTTATCAATTCCAAAAATGTTATAACTCAAGTCAACTAAATATTGATACAAGAGGATTTCAAATGCATCATATACATATTGCAATTATGGCATGCCATTCTGTTCAATTTATTTTGACATTAAATTAATATTAAAATTGTAAAATAACTATAGGAAATCACCATTCTATTTTTAGGATTTTAAGTAATTAATTCATGTTATTCAAGAATTTCTATAGATGTCTAATCTTATTGTTATTGTCTTCCTATTTGCTGATTAATTAATTATTGTCATTTTGGGTTAACTGAATCTTATCAATCTACCTCTAACTATCCTTCATTGACATCTCGAAACAATCAAACACTTAAGATCTACAACAATACATCAACTAATTTACTTGTTGAATACACAAACGGCTTGAGTGCACTTATACATCAAATTCAATAGGAATTGTGAAGCCCTGTATCTGAGATCGGCTCCTAAGGTGGTCTCAGATATGGTGTTCATGACCAAACAAGAGAGCTGTTGATTATTTATGATCATTTTTTTCAATTTCCCATTAAGAGAACAATTACTATAAATTAGCAGAATGTCTTGACATATAGGTTACTGGATGTCATTATCAACTAAGATCTCTTGCAATATATTAACAAACTAATTATTTGCTAGGATTCTCAATTGTGTTTCTTTGTAGAATGAGAGACTCAACATGAATTATACAACCAATGCATTGAATTGTGTATTGGTTTGCCATTTCCTCTTATCGCTCCAAACTAATTGAATTAGTATATGATATGTATACCTTTATTTAATTTCTCTTAGATTTCCTCTATGATTTTCATCCTGATGTACACTTGTCTAACATCAGAATTTTGACCCAATATTCCTAAGGCTTTCAGTAAAACTTCATTCTGGAATAAGGTCAATTGATCTTTACAAATGTGTTTTTTGAGCTCCACCAGTAATAGCCATTTCTATTCACTCAATTGCTAACTTAGATGCGACTGCCATAATTGATTACTGCCCAAATTGATTAGGATATCATTCATCAATTCGAAGTAGATCTGGCTATTAGTGGTAAACCCTAAGAAGAGGAGTTTCAGGATTGCATCGATGCATAATCCTATGACTTCAACTAACTAAGAGTTTGAGTTTAGAGAATAGTCCTCTTGTTCTTCTGAAAACTTTAACAGCAATTTCAAGAACACTACATGCACTTTAAAAATAGGGGATTGTTGGAGTTAATTCTGTTGAGCAAAGGAGACATTAGAAGTATTCAAATTCTTGACTTAGGATGATTACATTTTTTAAGGTTTTTATTAGGTTTTGTTGATCACCTTCTCCAATTCCTTGACTACATAGAGTGCTATAGTTTTGGCCACTCCAGTTTTACATAGAATGAGTTTAGCACTATTGCTCACAGAAACTATGGCACTTAAAATTTGGATGATGGACTGATATTGCAGATCAGATTGGTCTTCTTCATTGGGGGAATCACTCAATTGGAGTGGTCTGAAAATGGATGTTAATGAATAAATGAGATCATCATTTATGCTTTTGGTAAATTCAATTTAATAAATGCATTAAAGTATTTTTGCAATTCCAATCTTATTATCAATGCTAAAATTATCATTTTGAAGGGCCAAACTGATAACCGACACAATGTTCCATTTAGGCTTGGTTTGCTTAGCTTTGTTATACTCGAATTCCACATAATCTTTATGGTAGTGTGTGGCAAATTACAATAACAAACTGAGTTATAGTAAGATACCAGCAATTAGATTGGGTTGATTGCAATTCAAGTATTTTCTTAATTTATGTATTGAGTGAATAGCAGTCTCAACTAAATTATAAGATTACAAAATAGAGAGTGCCTTGGATACAGATTATCTCATTAGGACATTTAGGATTTCAGCAGCATGGAGAGTTAAAAATAATTGATCCACATTTTTGAATTTGACTAAGAATTAAGCACATTGATGATCTATTTATAGGTTGTATATTTATTAGATAGCTTCATCCTTATGATATTACAAACACAGATAAACAAGTCTTAATAGTCCTGCTTTACAAATGGATGCAATATCCGATTTCAATCTATTTTCAGTGTATGAAATCACTCTTGTGAGTTTCTTTAAGGGTTTGAGTTTGAGAATGATAGTAATGGATTACGAGTAGATATATTATGATTCATTGCTTTGGTATAAGTCATCGACCATTTAGTCTTCAATTCTATTAATTTGATCTGAATTCAGTTATTTTAAATTTAATGACAAAATGTTGAGTGATAAGAAGCGAATGATTTACAAGTGAGACTTAGTCAATTGAATTAATCTTGAAAATAGAATTTACTAGTCAAGTGGTTCTAATGATTAAAATAAATTGAATTATCTAGATAACTTTAGTAATTTGATCAAAC